AATCCTGGAATCATCAGCCTGCGGAGGGTATTTAAGCTGCGAGGCCACACAAAATCACCAAGGGAATGAAGGAGGACAGAAAAGAGAAAGGGCACAAATCAGAGCCCTGGGCACCTCGAGTCTCTAGAGGCCTAGAGATGAGGAAGAACCCGCATGGGAGGCTGCCGAGAAGCAGTCCCGGGGCTAGAAGGGGGAGCAAGGGAAGGGCGGTGTCCTGAAGGCCAAGATCCAGCAGAGAGCAAGCGTGATGCCCACCACCCCACCTCCGCCTTCCCACTCCCACTCTCAGACATTTCTTGAGCCTGGAGGTGACTCTGATGCAGACAGACTAAGGCCCTGCTATTAGGGAAGGACAGGAGAGAATAAATTGACAATTCCTTCACGTGTGATAAGAATGGGGGAGCACTTTTGCTAGAGATGGGGGCAGACAGAGTAGGGGCACCCGTGTGGCCCCGGAGGGGCCGGGGAACAGTTCTCATGGAGGAGAGTTGGGGAGGGTGAGACTTCACCTGGCCCGAGATGGGGGAGATCCCAGCAGCTTCGAGGGCACGGAGGCTTTGTGTGGGCTCCAGATTCCCGCAGAGAAGGTGGAACGGGAAGGCCATCCCCAGCAGTCTGCAGAAGTGTCGCAGGGAATGGTGGGTGGCCCATTTGGGTCAGGGGCCCTGGACTTTGGGATTGCTTGGAGATGGGAGGGGAAGAAGTATGCCCTGGCTCGGTGGACTGAGTGCCGGCCTGGGAACCAAAGGTTGCCAGTTTGATTCCCAGTCAGCGCACAAGCCAGGTCCCCATTAGGGGGGCATGTGGGAGGCAGCCACACATTGGTGTTTCTCTCCCTTTCTTTCTCCCTCCCTTCCCCTTGCTCTAAAAATAAATAAGTAAAATCTTTTTTTTTTTAAGTGTGAGAGAGGCAGTGGGAAGCTTTGACCTCAAGGAGGCAAAGCCCCACAGTTCAGGGTGGGAGGGGTGGGTACCTAAAAGAGAGGCCAAGAAAACGCTATAGCAGTTTTCTGGGCAGGAAGAGGTTGGCTGAGTGGAATCAGGGAAGGCTGCCAGAGGGAGGCGGACTTTGAAGAATGTGTGGGCTTTGAGTGTGTCCAGATGCACAGAGAAGCTTTCTTGGCAGAGGAGACCACACATGCAAAGGTATGAGGCAGGCGCTTGCAGTGTGTCCAGGAAGCGGAGCCTGATGGAAGCAGAGCCAGACCCTTTGGAGTCAGACCCAAAAGGTTTCACCCCCTCATTACATGGATACTGGGAAGCCCTTGCAGGTTCCTGAGCTGTGGTGGGACCCAGTGGGATCTGGTTTCAGGCAGGCAGGTTTAGGCAGCAATGCACAGGGTGGAATGGAAGAAAAGGGAAGGGGTGCTGGAGGTAGGAAGATGCCCAGACAGGTGTACACCCACATCAGGGTGGCAATGAGTTCAGCAGCAGACACAGGTGGGACCCATGCGACACTTTTCCTTGAAGTTGGGCCAACGGTTTTGCACACTGCAGTCCCATGACCACACTGCCCTGCAGGGTGGGGAGAGGCGAGTGTGCAGGAATGTCAGAACACTTCAGGGACCCCAGAGGAATTTGTGTAGGGGCTGCCTGAGGCCGGTTGGGAGCCAGGAGGACCACACTTGTATTATCAGCTTAAGCTCACATGTACTTAACATCCTGGGTACTTTCTACCCACTGCCCCCGTTTAACCCTCCTGCAGCCTTGTGAGGTGGGCCCTGCTGTCGTCCCTACTTTGCAGATGAGGACCACGAGGCTCAGAGGGTGACACTGACTTCCCCTAGCACACAGCAAGTGTGTGATGGAGCCATTTTGAACCCACCTCCCTGACTAGGCCAGTGTCTCAAAGTGAGCTAAGAGACCCCAGAAATAACCAGTGAACTGATCTGTCAAGTACTTGCTCTGCGCCAGGCACGTACAGATGTCTTTGGGCTACGCATGTATGTGACGCACGTATCCAGGCTCAGAAACCTGCAGTGGCTCCCCGGTACCCTACTCCAGTGGTCCTGACTTCACTTTACAGATGAGAATTTTGGCGCTTAGAGCAGACATGTTGCTGGCCCAAACTGGGGTTTGAACCCAGAGCTTTGTCCTTTTAACACCTCACTGCCTCCTGCCTGGCAGGAAAGGGCGCAGGGGGTCCTTTGTGAACAGTGAGCATTCAGAGCTGGAGCAGAGAGAGTGGGCCAACCTGAAACCTGCCCCAGGCCCAGGCCCAGGCCCAGGCCCAGGTCAAGCTGGCTGCCTGACTTCTGGGCCCTATTGGCTCTTTGCATATAAATTATGGGCCTGCCTACTGACTGGGATGTATCTTTTCTCCTCGGAAAGCTGCCCAAGCCGCCACAGGTGCAAATAGAGTTGAATTCAGGATAGAGCCTTCTCTCCTGCCCAGCCTGGCCGCTGGGCAACCTCTGGCCTGGAATGAAAGGCTTTTCAATAAGTGCCTTGCTGGCCCACAGCCCAGGTGTGTGGTAGGTGGGTATGAGGGCGAGAGAGCAACCAAGAGAAGGATTCGGGAACCTGAGAGCAGGGGCAGAACCTTGCCAACAATCTCTTAGCAAGCTGCCTTCTCAGCCGGTGCCTCTGGGGCTGGGGAAGGAGAGCTGGTCACGAGGGGCCCTGGCTGCCCTCCCAGCCCAGCCAAGGCCCTGGGGACTCTGGGCTAAGGCTCAGCCCAGAGGAAGCAGGTCCCACAGGGTGAAAACACGGGGCAGCCCAGGGCGAGAATCAGAAATCAGATACTCTGGGCCACCTCTGCCTCGGCCTGGAAGAATGCACAGCGCACCGTGGGCTTCACTTCAAGCCTTCCCACTCAGATCCACCTCCTGCCCCTGCAGGGGTGGGGCAGGGTCAGCAATCAGATCTGACATTGTTTTCACAGGGAGCTGAAAGGTACCCTTGTCATGGAAAACACATCACATTTGCCTGGGGCTGGGGCTCCCCCCTGCCCTTGTTCTAAAGTCTAATCTCAGGCCATCCCAGCCCTATCCTGCAGCCCTCACAGAAATCAGGTGTAGGGCCCTGTGGGATAACAGCGGGGGTCTTGGCTTCAGAGCCGGCACTCTGTGAGCTGCCACTCTGATTCTGTGGCCTGACACGTCTTGGTCCTGCCTGTGTGTGGCACATCAGTGTCCCCATGCCTGAGCACCTTAAGAGGGTAAAGAGTTCCCACGAATCATATTTGCCTTTGACACCTGCAGGGCAAGCAGCTGGGATAAACCAGGAAAGGATTGACTTTGTTTGGCTTCGGGTATGTTTTCCTACTAAACTCTTCAGCATGGGAGGCATTGACATTCTAGAAATTCACTTCAACCCACAGGTCGAAGCCTTCCCAGAACGGTGGATTGAGAAGTCCCTCACTTCCCCAGCCCTCCCCTCCTTCTGGAAGTGGATTCTTTAGCCTCCAGCCTTATCTTTCCCCCAGTTTCCTCCGGCTCTTCCTCCTCCGGGCATTTCCCAGGCGGTGCCCTTTTTCAGACCTAGCCCCGACTGGTGAGGTGGTTAAACGTCTGAGTTTCCCAAGGGTTCTCCTGCAGAGCCACACAAGTGAACAATGAGGAGAGCGCTGATTAAGGAGATCAGGCGCTGATTCCGTGCAGCGGCGCCCACAAAGCGGTGTCTGAGACTCCAGTGGGGCTCAGGGCTGCCTGGGAGCTCTCGAGCTCCACTGGGGCCTGCGATTCTCAGTGCTTTGGGCCACTTGCACGGAGGATATTGAAGGAACAATTACTTCTCATAAGCTGCCCTCTGGTCCCTAAAGGAAATTACTGCTGCCTGCAATGGTGGTAGCTTTAAGAAGTGGATGGGAGGCAGCAGCCGCCTCCTCCAGGAAGCCCTCCAGAAGACACCATATTATCTTTGTTCCCTTCCTCCCTCACAGTCTTCTACACTTCAGTCCCTGGTTGTGCCACATGGGGAGCTCTCCATCATCACTCCTCTGCCCGGTTTCCGGTTGGAAAACTCATTTTTGCACAGTTTTCTCAGCCTGCTCCCAGGACAAGAGTTGAAGGCCCAGTGGCGGGGCCAGGCCTCATCGCTCAGGCTTGTGAACTCTCTGCCTAGAGCAAGAGTAGCTGTGAAAATCTGCTTTGTGCGTTTGTGTGGTTTCTCTGCCCAAACTTTTTCCCTCTTTTTTTTTTTTAGCAGAAATAAATTTCTGACTATAAAAATAATTCATGAGTGAAGACATCAGAAAGCACCTGTAATCCCAGCGCTGGGAGCCCCCACTGAACCATGTCCTGCCGGCCTCAGTTCCGTGCAGATGCGTCCGCATGTGGGATACAAGGAAGAAATTATACTGTGCCTTTAATTTTTTTCTTTTGCAACCTACTTTTTTTTTAATTTCACAGATCCCATGGATGTCTCCCAGTAAACACAGGTCTATCTCACCTGTGTGCATTGCCGCGTGGTATTTTATTTTATAGTTGAGCCACAGTTTATATAACTAATCCCCTCTTGTTAGACCTGGAGTTTTTTTTCCCCCCAAACTTTTCCCCATTATATATGACTCTGCAATAAATGCCTTCCTGAACAGGTATTTATTAACGTCTTTATGGGTTTTTTTCTTAGAATGACATAAAGAATGCCAGTGAAGAGCCAGAGGACTGGCACATTTGCTAAGACTGTGTCAGCCAAGGGCCAGCTCACCCCCACCCCAGCAGCCCAGGAAAGTGGTGGGTGCCCGACTGGCGCTGACGCTGGACCTACTGGCAGATACGAGTGGCCCTGGTCCGGGGTGGGCCTCAGCCCATGAACTCGGTCTCCCCCCACCAGCCGCCTGCTCTTTGCTGCCCTGAGGAGGAAGCAGCCCCTGGGGGGACACTGGGTCCTTGGCTTGCCTTCAAAGGCTGGTGGGACTGGAGCCTCCCTAGATTGTTCCTGGTCCAGCCTTGGCCCTGGACCTGCCCGGGCATTTGGAGGGGTCTGGATGGCTCGTGTGGCTGGATAGAGAGGACGAGAATGAGCCTGGGTCACACCTCCGATCTTCTGTGCTGCAGGAGGCCTTAACGGGGCGACAGTCATCGACTCCCTTGACACCCTCTACCTCATGGAGCTGAGAGAGGAGTTCCAGGAGGCCAAGGCCTGGGTGGAAGAGAACTTCCACCTGAACGTGGTGAGTCAGAGCCGCCCCCCCTCCCCCGGTGTTAGAGCCAGTAGCGGCTGGAGAGGTCAGCAGCTGGCTCCACCCCATCATCTCTGAGACCCAGGGGCGTGGAGGCTCTGGCCCGAAGCTGCCCAGCAGAGCAGTCCAGCCGTGGCCATTCCTTCCCTGCCCTGGGTGCTAGTTGCTCACACCCAGGAAGACCCCTCTGGGGCTGAATCTGTCAAACAGCAACCTGGGAAGTGACACTATGGAGTGGAGAGGTGGCTTATCAGAGCCCCTGTAACAGCCTGGAGCCCCCCCCCCCCCGCCGCCCCTCCGCCCCTGTGCTGCCTTCCTGAGACAGATGAGACTCCCGTGGCCAGGTCTGACCCAGCCTCGAAGGCACCAGCCTGGTCAGGGACCAGAGCCTAGGGAGGAGATGGTAATGTCTTTGGATGGCCCAAAAGCCATAAATACCAGCCCCCACCCCCAACAATCTCCCAGCCCAGACTGGAGTAATGGAGCCACACCAGAGGCCTCCGCTCAGCATGGGGAGAGGCTGTTTAGACCGATTTAGGGAGCAAGAGATGGAGACAGATGGGAGGGGGGAGGGGGTTCCATCAACACACACTGCAGGGTTCCATCTGGGGCTCTCCGAGTGACAGGTCCTGTTGTGAACGGGGACAGCTCCCGCAGCTCGGCAGAATTGAGGCCAATGTCGGTGCAGAGTGCGGGGAGAGGTGGACTGGGGAGGGATGTGCGGGGAGAGGCGGACTGGGGAAGGGTGGGAAGGCAGCACCACAGAAGCGTTTCCCTGGCTCGGGCGCACAGCCTGGTCACTTCACACCCCCCAGCCTCAGTTTCCCTGACCTTCAGATGAGAATTACACCGCAGCAAAAACGGCAGTGCCTAACGCACAGGCTTGTGAGCTTTAACCATCACAGAGGGTTGTAAAAAGCATTTCATAAAACCATAAAGTCCGATACAGATTTAAGTGGTGCCATTATCATCATCATCATCATCATCATCATCATCATCATCATCATCGTGACTATTTTGAAGCTTGTTTTGACTTCTGATGGTCTGTGTGGGGTGTTGGGTTTAGAATCCCATTTCCTACTGGATCGAACGGAAGAAAGCCATGATGGTCTGTGTGGGGTGATGGGTTTAGAATCCCATTTCCTACTGGATGGAACGGAAGAAAGGCAGAGGCGGGAGAAGGGTGGTGTCTTCATAGACCCACCGTGTCCCTCTGCAGATGGCGGGTAGAGAGTGGGCATCGGGCAGCTGCCTGAGGAGCCAGGGGACCTTCGGGCGGGCTGGGGCAGGTTAGGGAGTGTCCCTGAAGGAAAGCAAGACGTGGTCCCTCCCCCTCTCTGAGCCTCGGCTCTCTCGTCTGAAAAACGGGAATGATGACACCGGTGAGCACTGGGAGAGTGGCTCTGCAAGTGCTCTGTCCAGGGAAAAGCCCTCCCAGAGAAAGGGATGACCACTGCTCTCATCAGTATCAAAAGACCGTGACAGGGAAGGGTGCCAACGCGGGCCCGGGGGCAGGGGAAGCCGTGCTGGCACTGGACGGGCATCTCACCTGCACCGCTCAGCCTCTCCCATCTGCCCTGCTCAGTGAGAAGAAACCAGGGAAAGGAAAGGCTGAACAACTTGCCCAAAGTCCCAAAGCCAAGTAAGTGGCTCAGGCGGGGTTTTCACCCAGATCTGGTCCTTAACTTGATGCCCAGCACCCCCTGATTGGCAGACCACACTCCAGAAAGGAGGTAACGGTGACTTGGGCAGGGCTGGGTGTGCCCGGAGGGTTGCAGAGCTGAGGCAGAGAAATTGCTGGTTACCTACAAATGGCTGCTTGGCCCTCCCCCACTCAGTCTTGGCCCTGCCCTGTCTGCCCCAGAACCTCCTCTGAGAACCTTTCTCTTGCCCTGTCACCCTGAGGAAGGGCCACACCATCCTCTTGCTAAGCCGAGGTGGCCAGAATAGAGCAAGATTTGCCTCCCCTCAGGCTCAGCTTCAGCCAGCAGCTCCCTTGTGGGTTCTTAAGCTTCTTGGAGAGCAGCCAGACATAACTTTGCTCTGATGGCCTTGGGCAAGGGCTGGGGAGGGAAGCCGAACCCGGTGTTTATTTGGAGTGTTGTCAGTGTGCAGTGGCTGCCAGGCAGGTGCTTTTTGCTCTGAACACCACCACTGAGCTTCCAGGGAACCAGCCCAGGTGTGGCCAGATCAACAGGGTGGGTGGGGTTCAGTGGTAGTGTGACCTGTCTCAAGGGCCTAGCCGCCCCTGGGAGCCCTGCAGGCATCTCAAAGTGTCCCCATGGCCCTCCCCCTTCTTCCCCCTGCAGAGCGGAGAAGCGTCTTTGTTCGAGGTGAACATCCGGTACATCGGAGGACTCCTCTCGGCCTACTACCTGACAGGAGAGGAGGTGAGTTGGTACTCCCAGGTCCTGGACGGTCAGGCTGCACAGGGCTTGGGAAAACATCTCATCCCCACCCCCCCGAATTTCACCAGTGAGGAAACGGATCCAGGAGGACTTGCCCAGGCCACCCGTGTCCCCCACCTCCATGGTGCCACCTGCAGCCTCTGTTGCCCCTTCTGTCTGATGCTTCTATTCTCCTGCCCAGGTGAGCCCAACGGGCTCCCACCTGTGGTAGTACATGCTCTGAGGGCAACGACCGGGACTGCTCACCATCCACACAGCCACTTGCAGGCCGTGCAGCGACACCTGGGCTCGGCATGGGCTTGCGGAGCTGCTGGCTGGCTCCTGCTAGTTCTCAGGACTGGAGAAGCCGAAAGCATTGTTTCACCCGGGGCCCCTTGGCTTTGCTCGGTACTCCTCAGCCACCCCTGCCCTCTCCTTCTGGGCAGGACACCAGCTCCGGGTCTTAGGGCGGACAGTGGGGGAATGGGGCAGCCTCAGGTTGTTAGCACCAGGCGTCAGCCCAGGCGCACTGCGCTGGCTTCCAGAAGGAGGGCCGTGGGCACAGTCAGAAAGCCTGGACCTCGTTCTCATCCCACACCTGCCTGTGGCCTTCAGCAAGTCCCTCCTTCCGTCCCTGGGCCTCACTTCCTTCCCCACCACGGGGACGGTCCTCGTTGGGTTAAAATCTCCCATTGGGTTATAAAGTATCGCAAAATGGGTCAGAAGGAAAAGGGTCTGGCCCCAGGGCTGCACTGTGAGAGAACTCTCACAGCCACAGAGTTCTGTGCGAGTGGGAGGCTTCCCCCCGCCCCGTGAGCACCTGTGAAAGCGCAGCCTGAGTATCCGCCGGTGAGGCTGGTCGAGTCCCCAGGGCGGGGGCCAGCTGTGTTTCCTAGTACTTAGAAGGTCCCGGGGTTACTGGGGCAGCCCCTGTCCTCCAGCCGTGCCTTCGTGGTCCCTCTCTGTCCCCAGCACCTCCATGTGGCGGAGAAACCGGGCATGTGCACCATGTCCGTGGCTCCTCAGACAGCCATGGAGTGGGTTTCCACCGACGTGCAGGTGCAGAACCTTGCTCAGGGCACACAGTCTCTGAGGGCTGCTTTGGGCCACTGCATGATCCTGTGGCCTCTCTGCCACGGGCCCTCGTCCAGCCTGGCCCAGGGTCCCCCTCTGCTCGGTCCTCGATCTGGCACACCGGGGGCACCTGTGGAGTGAGTCTTTCTTAAAATTTCCCATGAATATTTGTGGACCAAAAGGTGAGGGAGACCCCACACCCCTTCCTGGGCCCAGGCCCTTCTTTGCTTCAGAGAGAACCTGTGGGGACAGAACCCCCTGCTGGGCAGCCAGCCCTGCCAAGATTCCCATGGGGGGCACGAGCACAGCCACAGCCGCACAGGTGACGCTGGTGCCACGCTTTACAGCGTATACAACACATACACTTACATACATCCTCTCGTGGGATTTCCAGAAGAACGCTGTGGGGCAGCTGGGGCACATGGCACCATTGCATTATGCAGACAGGGCTCAGAGATGGTACCTGGCTTCTTCCCCAAGGTCACAGTGCTGCTCAGTGAGAAGGTCTGAACCTGGGCTCTGACTCCCAGTCCAGCACTGTGTTGCACCACAGAGTGTAATTCTTGCTGGTGTCTTTCTCCCCTCTGTTCCGGAGCCAGGAAGCTACCATCCATCGCTTACCGTGGCTCCTGAGGCCGTTCGGTGGTAGGAAGGCAGCTTGTGCCCCAGGAAAGGGCCACCGAGTAGCCCCACGCCTTGGGCAGGCTGCCCTGCCGAGACACAGTCCAGTCCCTCTCATCCCTTCCCCACAGCGCTTTCGGGAGGGTCGAAGGTCATGTAGATGAGATACCTGCCACGCTGCGATATCGTGATATACAATAAGAAATATGTATGTGGTCTTCATCCTGTTTCTGGCAGAGAGTTCCTAAAACCATTGGAATGTTCTAAGTGATGACAACGATAAAAGCATCTTTTGTTATGTTCTTGAGGTGACTTTTGGACCCCACCTCGGATGGGAGCTGGTTGCCAGGAGAAATAGTCATGTGACTAGAGTGTTGGCACTTTCTGTCCCACCCCTGGCCTGCGAGCAGGGGAGAGGGGCTGGAGGATGAATGCATGGCCAGTGGCCAGTGATTGCGTCCACCTGCCTCTGTAATAAAGCCTCCATAAAACCCAAAGCCTCTGGGTTGTGGGCAGGTGGAGGTTTGGGGAGATCGGCACCCTTGGAGAGCGTGGAAGCCCCACGCTCTTTCCCGAGTCCTTGCCCCGTGTCTCTCTCCATCTGGCTGTTCCTGAATTACATTCTTTTATAATAAACCAGTGGTTCAGTAGGTAAAATGCTTCTCTGAGTTTGGTGAGCCGATTTAGCAAATTATCAAACCCAAGGAGGGGTTGGTGGGAATCTCTTATTTGTAGCCACTCAGTCAGAAGTACAGGTAACAACTTGCGCTTTTACTGGGCATCCGAAGAGGGGAGGGAGCAGTGTCGCAGGACCGAACCCTAACCTGCGGGACCCGCCCCCTCTCCATTAGATAGTGCCGATCGAGCTGGAGCCTCAGACCTGCAGCTGGAGTCTGAGAGCTGCTCGGTGGCCTGGCGGAACCTCCACACAACTTCCGCACCCACTCACTTCCAAGATGACAAGGAGGATCAGTGTTTGCTCCCGGCAGCCCCGCTCTTGCCCACACATACTCACCCAGCACCCTCCCTGGGGTGGCTGAGACCGGCCCACCAGCCAGCAGCAAGGCCTTCTACAGGAAAACACGGGGCGAGCTGGCCGAGGAGAGCACTGGGGGAGTGAGCTCAGGGCCCGCAGGGCGAAGGGCAGCCGCACAGCAGCCTGGAGCTTCAGCCTCGGGCCCAGGTGCCTGCGGGCCCCTGTGCGCCTCTGGCTCAGCCTCCTCAGGAATCAGTGAGGATATCGGGGCCTCCAGCGAGGGCCCTCAGTTGTTGCTGAACTGCTGGCTTCTGGCTGTCAGAGGGACTTTGGAATCTGGAGTCTAGACCGGCTCCCCAGGAATCCTGATGTCGTGGGCCCCCTGCCCACTTCTGGGACCCACTGTGTGGCACTGAGATTATCATCTTCTCTTGCCCGTCACTGCTGGGCCCCGGGGGGTTGCTCCCCTCCTTCTCCTTCCCTCCCCGCCCCTTCCTAAGCAAGGACCACACCCACCCCTCAGGGTCTCTAATGCCTTCCCACACAGGGCTTGAAACACCCCTCACCGCATTCCCCAAACAGCCGCATTATTCTCATGCACGTGTTGGGGTGGGGACCTCAAGGACAGTGTGTAGCAGCCACACCCAGGCCACCAGGAGACCGGTCACCCTTGAGCTCCAGAAGTGAAAGGAGGCCTGTGTTGTCCCCACAGGAGCCATTGCTTAGGGACTGGCATCTCATCTTTTAAAAGATAAATGACCTTTAATGAGGGGTTGTTTTTCGTATAAAAGTAGGCCAGAAAATAGAGATAAGCCAAAAGAAGAAAATAAAAATCCTCCATGAGACCGTTGTTAACATTTTGGTGTATTCCGCCCTTTCCCCGCATGTCCATCTGTACGTAATTTTCACAAAAGCCGACCGACACTATTTTGACATATTTTTCTCTCAATACATTATAAACCCTTTCTTTGCTGTTAAACATTCTTCTACAGCATTATTTCAGTGCCTGTGTGGTGTTCCTCTGCATGGATAAGCCGACATTTAACTACTTCTATTGTCTGCTATTCCAAATATTTGCATTTCCTCCCCCGCTATTCTAAGCAATGCTGGAGTAAGTCGCCATGAGGTTTAATCTTTACACCATCCTTGATTATTTACTTCCTTAGAATAAATTCGATGAAGGAAACTGCTGAGTCAGAAGGTCACAGGTGACTCTGAATTAATCAGGAGTTTGCCAGGGTCAGAGCCCCGGGCAGGGGCCCTGAGTCCTGGGGCCCCCTTGTGACTCCCTTGCTTGCCATCACGTGGGCGGATCCAGATAAGCTGCCCTCCCCCTCCCGTCTGCAGAATGGAAACGGTAGGCAGAATCCAGAAGTGAAAGGGGAGAAGGCCCCTCCCTAGTTTACAAGGGGAAAGAAAGTGTTGCCCAAGGGAGGCCGGGGTTTGTGGAGCCACAGAGATGTCAAGCCGAGGACAGGGACTGGAGCCGGCTGGGGGTCTGGGTTCCCTGTGCTCCGCTCTTTCTGTTCCGTACAAATACGTTTCCCCCGAGCTCAGCCTGGGACATGCTGGTCCCACGGGGTGGGCAGGCAGGGACCCCGGAGACGCACTGCCCCGACTGCTGCGTTTTCCTGCTGGTCACCCAAATCACAGTTCTAGTCACTGAGCCTTTGTCGTAGTCCTGACGCCGCATTCAGTGTTTTACAGCTATGACCAAATTTGTATTCTTGTGCCCCGACTAGGGCCCGACTGGGAATTGAACAGGCAACCCTTGGGTCCACAGGCCAGTGCTCAATCCACTGAGCCTGTAACCTTCTGAGGAAGGCACTTCTGTCGTTGTTTTATGACCAAGGAGACCGAGGCTCCGAGAGAGGCGCCTCACCTCAGACCCCGGAGCCAGGCTCACACCCAGGCCTGGTGCTCCGCAGGGCCTAGCGCAGTGCCCCCTCCTGCTCCGGGGCCAGCACCGCTGTCGGGTCCACCCACCAGCAGCAGCTCCTTGCAGAAGCTGCACCCCACACAGCCCAGGTTGACAACGCCCTTTGACCCTTCCAGGTGTTCCGCGTAAAGGCCATCAAGCTCGGAGAGAAACTCCTGCCGGCCTTCAACACGCCCACAGGAATCCCCAAAGGCGTCGTGAACTTCAAAAGGTAGGGGACCTTATGCTTCCCGCCTGTGGCTCCGGCTGCACCTGCACGGAAACTGAGGCACGGGGAGAGGAACCACAGCCAGCCAGTGGCTCAGTGACCACGGGCCCTCACCCAGGGCACTCCTGGGCTGCTGTTGTCACCAGACCTGGTTCTTGGGGTTTAGGACACACAAGGCCCGGTCTTCCAGGGCGGTGGTGGGGGAGGGCAGCTGTGCCTCTGGGACTGTCCCACAGCGGTGCTGCGACTCACGCCCTCCGCGTGCGCCCTCCGTCCCTAGCCAGGGGCCAATGAGGCACACCGTACCCTCCTGCCACGAGACAGTGCCCGAAGCTTCCAGGGAGATGCCTGCTCGGCCGACCCCCACCCGCAGGCTGGGTCTCGGGAGCCCAGTGCCAGGCCCAGAGGGGCGCCGGTGTGAAGCCCGCAGAGGCTCAGACCCGGAGGAGCGTGGTGTGCGACTGGCTGAGGTCACATGGGCCAGTAACCGACCGTTCCCAGACGTGAACCCGGGAGTTCCAACTCCGTTTCTAATAATAATGTTTACTGGAATTCTCCCCTCTATAAAAATAATAAATTCTCCTTGCAGAACATGTGGACTCTACCAAAAATATTGGATACGACTAAAAAGTCACATGTGGTTTCACTAATGCAAGAATCAATTGGAAGTGTTTCTTCTGGCTCTGTTTTAAAACACTGATTTTTTTTAAGATGCTCTTTTTTTTAGATTTTATTTATTTTATTTTAGAGAGAGCGGAAAGAGAGGGAGAGAAATATCAGTGTGTGGTTGCCTCTCACGTGCCCCCAACAGGGGACCCAGCCCGTAACCCAGGCATGTGCCCTGACTGGGAATCGAACCGGCGACCCTTTGGTCCGCAGGCTGGTGGTGCTCCATCCACTGAGCCACATCAGCCAGGGCTAAAACACTGACTTTTATTGGTCACATCATCACTTCCCCTCCTGACCTGTTGCTTAGTTCGGTGTGTGAACTGGAGTCTCTCTGTGCAGTCAGTGAGTCACAGAGCCAGAGTGACGGCCAGAGAAGGGTGGGACCAGCACTGCCACTCGGTCCAGCTTCCCTGTTCCCTCAGCGCCTCGGGGCACTCACCTGTCCCCTCGGAGCTCCCCTCTCATGCACTGGGAGCGTATTTACATCCACCCATTTTGCAGATGTGGCAACTGAGACCCAGAGAGGGGGAAGGATGGAGTCCAAGTCAAGAAAACAAGTGGCCCAGCCAGCTTAAGACACACCGGGGAGCGTGGATCTTGCTCCTGGACACCCCGGATGTGCCCCCCATCTTGCCTTCTCATTCTGCCCGCCCCCCCCCCCCCGGGTTGCCCCTCACGCTCAGCCTCCCTGGCCGTCAAAGCCCAGCTCAGAGGCCGCCTTCGTCATTAAGCCAGAGTGTCTTTGCCTCTCCCCCTGGCCTCCAGGCACTTCAGTTCCTTTCTCATGGCCCTTGTCACCCTCATCTTCATGTCCCCATCCTCCCAGCCCCCACCAGGGAGCTTCTCGACCACAGGGTCCATGTCCAGTTCTTCGTTCCCTCGACAAATGTTCCTGCTACACAGCGTGTGCAGGAGAAAAGATCAGTCACGACATCGCTCCTGCCATTTATTGAGCGATAACTAGGTGCCTGGAGTTGTGCTAAGGGTTTCCGCACATTGCCTCACCCGACCGACTGCTCCCAGCAACCCTCTGAGGGGAGGGATTTGTACCCCCCGCCCCTTACTAAAGTGGAGTCTCGGAGAGACGGAGTAGCTCGCCCGAGGTCTCAGAGCTAATGGGCGGTGACGCTAAGATTTAAACCCGTTTTGTTGGGATTGATTGGGAAGCTCTGCTCTTACGGCCCGCCCTCAGACGGGAACCCTGCTGCCCCTGAGCTTCTCGGAGCGGACCCCTGGGGCACCCTGCAGAAGGCACTCAGCTCTCTGGGCCACCCTCGAGCCTTGAGCCCCTCTATAACCACAGGCCTGGGAGGACGGCTACAGTATTTCCACCACACCAGGTCTCCCCCTTCCACCTTCTGAAGCTATTTCTTATCTCAGGGTTCCCAACCCAAGGAGAGCTTCAGCCAGCTGCCTGGGAGGGAAGGAGGACACTGGAGCGGAGGTGGGGGCCCTGGGCTCCCTCTCTGTCCTGGGGAGGTCCCACCCTCATGGCAGCCTGCATTGCTTCGGCATCCCCTCTTGGGGCCCTCAGAGAAGAGAGGACTTGGCATCTACACTGTCCTCTGTGTAGAAAGCATTCTTGGGGTGCAACTTAACTCTCTGAGGGCAAGTGAAGGGCCCTCAGGGCCAATCGAACCCCATTCTCAGTGCCAGGGTTGACTCCTCAGAACTGGACCCCGGGATTCTGCTCAGATTCCTTTTCCACACACACTAGCCCTAAAGAAACAGGACCAGCTGACGTAGAGCCGAGACGCAAACACACTGTCTTCCCAGCTTCCTCTCCTGGGTCCAGCTTGCAGGGCCTCCCTGCCCCGGGTCTGGGATGGGATCCTGGCTCAGGCACCCCTCCCTCCTCTGTGCATGGCACTTTGAGCCCCACAAACTGCAGCCCTGGCTGTCTGCATGACCCATGCCCCCCAGAGCCTGGGCCTGATCAACACAGGTCCTACCATATCTAATTAAGAAAGCACATTTACCCCCTGGCTGGTGTGGCTCAGTGGAGCGATCACTGGACTGCAAAGCAAAGGGTCTCCGGTTCAATTCCCAGTCAGGGCACATTCCTGGGTTGCAGGCCAGGTCCCCAGTGGGGAGCACACAAGAGGCAACCACGCATTGATGTTTCTCTCCCCCCCTCTTTCTCTTTGCCTTCCCCTCTCTCTAAAAATAAATAAAATCTTTTAAAAAACGCATTTATTTTGGGGCTGTTTGCATGCTGCCAATGCTGCACACGTGTATGCATGTGCTGATTTCCTGGCAACACCCCTTTCCATTTTCTGGGCAAGAGTCTGTTGCTAAAAGTGCCTCCCTGTTCCCCGGGGAGAATGTCAGGGATGTTCACGGCTCGAGTGGCGCCGGCTCTGCCCTGTGGGGGGCCTGCTGGGGAAGCTGGGCCACGCACCGCTGCCCGGTTCTGGGCAGACCTGGCCGTGGACCCCAGCAGGAGGGGCAACTGGGCCCTGCCCCAAAACTGCAGGTCAGGAGGACCTTGAGGGGAGGTGGTCTCCGAGGGAGCTGGACTGCTCCTCCTCCCCAATGGGAGGCAGACGCAGGGGCAGCCATGACCTGTGACCTGCAGGGACCACGGGGCTATCTGGGAGAGTGGCAGTGGCCAGACCAAGGACCTCTGCAGCTGACTCACTCCCTCTCACACACACATTGCTTGCTCTACGGCCACCCATCTGAATCATAAAGGCTCAGATACACAAGCTGTCCTTTATCACGCACACTCTCGTATCCATACATACGTGTGCACGCTCACACACAGATGTACATTTACATGTGCATACACACACCAGTGGACACATCTTAGTAACTGCTACCGTTTATGGAGTGTTCACTGGGTGCCAGGCATGCTGTGGGCACGTGACACGGATGCTCTCTTTTCAGTCACGTCACGCACACGGATCCCATTTTACCAGTGAGGAAAGGAGGCTCAGAGGGGCGAGGTGTCTTACGCAAGGTCACACAGCATGGAGCGAAGCTGGAATCAGGTTCCAGGTCTGGCTCCAAGTTAACAATTACAACCATGCACGGAGCGCCTGCTCAGGCACACACACACAGAAGCTTCTGCCGGGCTGGGGAGAGGCCTTGCGGAGCCACCCCGCCCACCAGGGGAGCGAACCCAGGCTCCTGGCCCACTTGCGGGCTCCAAAGCCTGCGGGGAGGGGGGGGGTGTGGAGGACAGACTTCCATTCGCTCATTGCCTCCCAGGGCTGACCAGAGACCCTCGGGTCTCTGGATGCTGCCCAGAGAAGAGGCATCTGGGCTTTGGATTTAGATTCAGCCCTGCCAGCCCTTTCCCTTGCTGTGTGGCCTTGGAGAAAGTATCTTCCCCTCTCTGAGCCTGAGTATCTTCGCCTGTGAAGTGAGGATCATGGTATCTGTCCTGCGAAGTTGGATGTCAGGTGAAAATAAGACGCCACAGCTGCCTGGCACATATCAGGAACTTAATAGCTCTAACAAACAACACGTAATTTGCATGTGCATGATTACATAATGGTAAAGTGACAGTGATTACCTGCATAAATTATACCTCACAATGACTCTATGAGGGGTAGGTATTATCATTTAATGGACGAGGAAACCAGGATCTACAGAAACTAGCCCCCCAGCCCAGGGTCACCTGGGGAGCCAGCCTTTGAAGCCAGGCAGCAGAAGGGAAGGCACCTGCCCGCGGCCCACCTCTGCCCTGGCTGGCGTGGTCTGTCCGCCCAGGCAGCTCCACTGCGCAAGGCCCGGAGGGGAGGGTGAGCGTTGGAGAGAGGAGGAGGAGGAGAGGAAGGAGAGGTCATGTGGGGGAAATGAGAACGAGAGGTGCTGGGAGGCTGGTGGCTTTATTTGTACCTTGAATTTCTCTGCAAGGGCAGGAAGCATCGATTTTTCAGGTAACCCTCTGCCCCCTGAGATCACAAGCTGGAAAGAGAGAAGTCCCTCTTGGGAAGAGGGACAGAGTGGGGACAGCTTCCCCTTTCCTCTGGGTGGACGTGGGGCCATCTGGGGGGAGACCCCCTCAGGGGAAGTGCCCTCCAGACCTCAGTTGGAATCCCACCTCCACTGCCTGTGGAAGTGACCTTCGACGACTCGCTCCCCTCGCTGAGCTTCATTTGCCTCCTTTGCATATTGGAATTAATGATGCTTTACCTTGTGGGTTTTAAGTGAAATAATGATGCAAACAGCTTTCCCCAGCGCCTGCCATCTGTAGCAGCTCAATAAACAGAAGATGTTTTATTTATTGTCCAGGAGCCAAGTGTCCCCTCCCTGTGGAACCGGTCCGTCCCCCACCTGTTCCCTGCCCCCAAGTCAGGGAAATGCCCAAGGAAGTAGAGACAGGAAGAAGGGGCCAGTGGTCACCTCTGTGTTTACCGAGGTGGCCTGTCCCCCAGAGATCCCAAAATGTGAGTCCTCTGACGTTTCTGGAAGCTGGGAGACGTGAGCTCCCCGACTTTCCCGGAAACCACATTCAGGCAGAGACTGGGGTTTAGATAGGAGAAGGGCAGCCTCTGGAGTCCCAGCCCCACCCCAGGGAAAGCAGCGCCCCTCAGGTGGCAAACCATGACCTCCCGCACCCACCCCCGCCGTCCTGGGCCCTATTCCTAGGAGGCAGAGGGACTGATGGGGGCCATTCCTGGGAAGCCAGAGCCACCACAGCAAGGAAGCCACGGGGCTGCCCCCACCCCCGCCCTCACCCCTGCCCCCACCCGCCCTGTGCTAACAGCACCTTGGAGCCTCTACAGATAGAGAGCTCACTCCACCCCACTCTGTCCTCCCCCCGCCCCGTCCTCCACAATCCCTTGCAGGAGGTTGACCCTTGCCCCACCCCAAGTTGGCCCAAATGTTCTACAGGATAGATCATCATGATACATAAGAGGAAACTGAGGCACAGGGAAAGGACACCGCTTGCCTGAGGCCACCCCTATTCTGTACCTTCCTCCCCTCTCTTAATCCCCCACAAAAACCCCAGGAGGTGTAATCCTGGCCTAGTTTGTCTGGTGCAGAAACCAGAGTACTAAGGAGGAATGGTTTGCCCGAGGCCTCTCAGCTAACACACTTGAACCTGTGCCTCCTGCTGGCAAACCCCAGGGAGATTTTAAGCAGAAACACCTGAAAAGGCAGTGTCCTGGCTTATCATGATGTAACTGAAAGCATGGCGAGTAAGTGGCTAGGACATCAGACCAGCTTTGGGTCCCAGCTGCTGCACTTGCCGTGTGGTCTCAAGCGGGTGACGTTACTCTCCTTGGCCGTGTTTTCCTCGTCTGTGAAAGCGGTGGAGGGAGGCAGTTACCTGAGGCCCTGCCTCTGCACTCACTCTTCCTCTGTTATGCTAAGAGTACTAGCGCATTCCAAAGAAATAACCCGAGAACTGACTGCGAAAGACATGAGCTTATTGGACTTCTGTGTGCAGAGGGGGCAGCCTGCCAGTGAAGTCTCTGCAACACAGGCTTTCCCGGCACAGGGTCGAACAGCGTGCAGAAAACAGAGCACACCGCACATGCAGGGTGGGTGTGTTGCACACGCAAGCTGTGTGAGATCAGAACGCCGGCTATTTACTATCCCGGGCCCACACCCGGGAACAGTTTCTTTTCACCTGTTCCCTGACCCAGATGGTGGCCGGGCCCGAGGCCCCACAGCACACTTAGGGATGGCCTTCACTGTATTCCCACGGGTGGGAGGGGGAGCTGGAGCTCGGGAAGGGGCCGTGTTCTCACACCCCACCCATCCTCCGTGAAAGCATACCATGTGTGAAGTGGTTATCTGATAGCCTTGTCCGGTGAGGTGGCAGGGTGCTAAACACACCTGGTTTCCTTTATCTAAGGTGTTCTTGAGAAGTGCGTGGCTAACCGGTGCAGAAATCTTTGCTCCAGAAGCCTCTGGTTCTCTTGTTCCCAACTTGGCCTTCCCCGAGGCCTGCAGCTCCAGGGGTGTGGTTGTGTCAGAGCTGCCTGCCTGTCAGGTGCGGGTCCCACGAAACACGGGGAGGGGCTCTCGTGTGTCCGTGGGCGGTGTGGGCAGTGAGGGGAGAGAGAAGGCGCCAGGTGGGGCCCCCGCTTTTCCTCTGCCCCAGTGCATGCCCTCCCTCCACAGGCAGCACGGTAGACTGAGTGTCTGAGGGGTCTTTAGGGTCCCTGACAGCATTGTCGGTGTCACCTGTACACTTAGCAAAGCACCTGGGCCATGTCTTGGCCGCCAAGACAGCTCTGTTATCATCCTTCCCAAGCCCACAAGTCTTACAGGGACACAGAATATTGCAAGTCAGGCAGGCCCGGGTTTGCCCTGACAGATGTGGCTCAGCTGCTTGGGCATCAGCCCAGAAAGTGAAAGGTCACCGGTTCGATTCCTAGTCAGGGCGCGTGACTAGCTTGCAGGTTCAGTCCCCTGTGGGCCGTGTGCCAGACACAACCAATCAGCGTTTCCATCTCACATCGATGTTTTTCTCCCTCTCTCTCTCCTTCCATCCTCCCTCTCTTAAAAAAATAAACAAAGAAAGGCCTGGGTTCACATGACCTTCGGCAAGTCACTTCATCTCATTAACCTCAGTGTCCTCATCAGCAAAATGGGGCTATTCCTAGTACAGACCCCCAGGGAGGACTGACTGAGATTATGTGGTGAAAGCTCCCAGGACAGTGCCTGGCAGAGAGCAGATGCTCCCCCACTAGCCCAGGAGCCATCTGGAGGCAGAGGGGTGACGGTGGCTGCTTCTGTCTCTTCAGCGGCTCCAACAGGAGCTGGGGCTGGACCATGGCTGGGAGCAGCAGCATCCTGGCGGAGTTTGGATCCCTGCACTTGGAGTTCTTACACCTCACCGAGCTCTCTGGCAACCAGGTCTTCGCTGAAAAGGCAAGTCTTTTCCCTGCTCCCTCCCCAGACGTCTCCTTCGGCTGCTCCCCACAGGGAGCAGAAGGATAAGACACAGCCCTGCACAGGCCACAGGGAAGTGGCTCCCAGATCAGCAGGAGGGCGTGTGGGGAACCCAGAGGCCCCCCTAATAGGTACTTGTGGGAGACCCAGTGCACCCAGTCCTGGGTGGCAGGGAAGGCCAGCTCGGGGAGTGGTCGGGGTCCCACAGAGGGCAGGGGAGAGAGAAAGCCACCTGGGAGAAGGTTCTCACCGGGGTGCGTCAGCTCACTGGGAACCACACACGTGTGCAAATCTGCAAAAGGTTCAGCAGCTGAAATCTAAGCACCAGTCTGCATTGGCAGGAACCAGCCACCTGGTGCAAAAGCCCCCTTTCCCGAGACATCTAACTCTGTCAGGGGAGATCTGCCTGGCTTTTCCCTCCCGGTGCTGTCTAGCTCATGCTGTCAGCAGGCTGGCAAAGCACTCTGACTCCGCAGCAGGCGCACGTGTCTGTCCCTTCTCACTGTTGGCGGGCTGGCTAAGGCCCCAGGGGACGCCGAGAGATAGCATCCGGGCTGTCGTCCATCCTGACAGCTGCCCATTCCCCTGTGAGACCCTCCGGAAGGAGCTGTTTCTCCATGTCACAGCCCTGGTGGTCCCACTGTCTGGAAGTGTCTCCGTGGGTCTAACCCCGACCCCAGAGAGGGGAAGTGCACACACACCACGCTCAGACGGTGCTCGGGCTCCATCAGAGGTTGCCCCTGCCTCAGTCCTGCCCTCCAGGAAGAGCCCTTTGGCGGGCCCCACTCCCAAAGCCTTCTTGGGCCCTAACACAGCCTCTTAGGATGCCCGGGGGCTGGGAGCTCCTAGGTCCACGCTCTACCCAGGGGCCCCCAGTGCCTGTCAGCCGGCCAGCTCAGAGCATCGCCCCACATGCCTGTGAGGCAACAGACCTCTGGGCTTCACCCGGGCCTAGGAATCTGCATTTTATCAGCAGTCATGCTTTTTGAGCCGAGGTTGTAGATGACTGCTTACTCAGTGTGGGACTGCACCCACGTGTTCTTGAGGAAACACTCAAGAGGAACGTTTCGAGTCCTTGATCACTTCCTCTGCCTGGGGGCTCACTCCCACCCTTAGACAGCCCATCGCGCTGTCAGACCTTACATGGGGGGACTCTGCCTCCTGTGACGCCTCTCCTTGAAACCTCATGCAGTGAGTTTAATCCCACTTCCACGCCCCACCCCCTCTCCAGCATCCCTGTTTTCAGTGCCCTTGAGCCAGGTCCCCCAGGAAGATTGTGGCTGGCTCAGAAGAGAGGGACGAGGAGCTCACCCCAGTCCCTGGCTGGTCTGGAGATTACAGCCACCGCTGCCTGACTACCCACTGGGCACCTGAGAGTGTCGCTGACCCTCCCAGCAGTCCTAGGAGAGAGGGCTTCCTGTCACCCTCTCTTGCAGAGGAGGAAACTGAGACTCAGGTTAAGGCGCTTGTCCTGGGCGCCATCCATCTGCTGAGGGATAAAGCCAGGGTTCTTTGTCTCTGAAGCACATGCCCTTCCGAGAGCGGATCAGTACAGGAGTCTTCGGGCTTTTCCTCGCGAGTCCGCCGCCCGTCTGTGTCTCTGCCTCTCTCGGCATTTGCATTCTCCAGCTATTTTCATCCCCCAGCCATGCCTCCCACAGAGGCAATTATTGGCAGTCAACAAATTGGCCCAAATTCTCGAATCGCCCGCACCCTGTGGGGGAGCTCATTTAGCTGGCTTCACTGCTCACCACCAGGACAGCCGAGAATAAGTCAGGTACAAGCACATTCCCGTCCCCGTAATGGACTGCGTTAACTTGAATGGATAGGAAATCTGATGTGGCGAAGCAAATGCTGTCCCCTGGAAAGAAAGACCTGGCCGCTGAAAGGCTGCTCTCCCTGCTCCTTAGCTGGTAGATAAATCTGTGAGTGTGATACAGGACGTCCCGAGGGCCTTTCTCCCCGGGCGGGTTCCGCACCGGGAGGATTTCGTGCATTGCCGGAGTGCAGACCCGGAGCCATAAAGCCTTCCCACTTTATAGCCCAAAGCCCCCTCGCCCTTGGTTACCCCCAAAGGTTGCAAATCTAGCTTCCTCTTGCTCAGATGGGGCAGCCTCTGCTGCACATTGCTACCGAGCCCCCACCCTGGTCCACATTGGCCCCAGGGGCTACTCCTAGTGGTCAGACAAAACCCGACTCACCCCGGCCCTGCCACTTACGTCCTGGGTAACTGTGGGCAAGTCGCTGCACGTCTCTAAGATTCGGGTGCCTCTTCTGTTAACCCAAGATAACAATACCATGTAGGGCGTTCTGATGGTGGGAAATAATGCACGTGAGTGGAGCAGGCCTGGCGCAGAGGCACTGAGGCCTGTGAGCTGCCGCTGTTGTCATCAAAACCCCGAAGTGCCTCTGAGGGCGCAGGGCTGTTGAGGGGCCCGGGCCTCTCCTCTGGAATGGGTCCGACAGTGTGTTACCAGGTGGAACCATATGAAATTGCCAATATTTGACCATTCCTGACCGCTTACAAAACAGCTACTATCCCGACACGAACCCCCCCTCCTAAAAAGCCCCCCCCCGCCAAAAAGCAGCACACGGCGAGGAAGCAGTGAGGTGAGAGTGGGGTGGGGGCCTGGCAGACCCCAGGCAGTGTAGTCCGTGCGGAGATTGCGGGTCAGGCCCGCTGTGGCCCTGTCCTGCAGCACCCGTACATGGGTGCAAGGTCAAGGCCGTCCCAGCTGCTCCAGGTGGAGCCTGCTGTTGGTTACGCAGCTCTCCCTGCCTCGAGGAATAGCTTCCTCTGGAGCTGAACCAGCTGCTCAGGCCTCAGCGGGCCGGGCGGCGGCTGGCTTCTCCGGAAAAGTGAAGGTGCACCTGTGTCCATCTCTCGGCAGGTCAGGCACATCCGGAAGGTCCTCAGGAAGATCGACAAGCCATTCGGCCTCTACCCCAACTTCATCAGCCCAGTGAGCGGGAACTGGATGCAGCGTGAGTACAGAAACGCCGCTGCCCCTCCTTCAGCTGGTTCCCCGTCGGCCCCGTGCTGGGCACATGCCAGTGTGTCGCTCAGTCCTGGATCCCCCGCCCTGCTGGGGAGCTTGGGGAGTTCCCACGATGGTGGCATTGCAGTGGTGATGGGTGTGCTGGTCTAGTAAGGCCCTGCCCTGTACACCCCGCTCGTGATAGCTGTCTCCAGCCTCCATCAGGGCTACAGCTTTCTATCTCTGCGGTGCCCACCGAGGCCTGCTTCATCTTCCCCCGCCCCCAGGAGTGTGTCCCAGGCACAACTGTCCACTCCGGAAATGACTCCGAGAGAGGCCATGCCTCTTCTCCTAGCCTCTTTGATCTGGTTCCCCAACTTCAGATTTTAAAAAAATTAAGCAGAACCCGTATAATACAGCAACATAAAACTGTGAATTCCCTGCTGTATCTTACACCTGCAAGAATCGGTCCCAGGTTTTCCTGCCGTTCTCTGCTCAGAGGCTGTCTCTCACCCAGACGGTTGTTGGTCACCTGGTCACCTGTGGAGCCTCACTCGCAGCCCCCACCTTCACCCGCTGAAACAGAATGGGGTTTGGGGGCTGCTCAGGCGGGAGAGGGTTGGAAAGCCTCCCAGGCCCCTGGCACTGCACCCCCACTGGGAAGCCCTGCTCCACTTAGCCCTCCTGATCAAGGCCCTCGTCACGTGGTCGTAGCACAAACTGGTGGCAGCAAGTTCCATCGGTCCTGCTCTAGGGGCACCCAGAGCCCCTGCCTCAGTGCCTGTGCCCACACCAGGACCCCTCTCCCTGCCCCACCCCCTCTAGCCCTAGCTGTTACGGCATCAGCAAGGGCCCAGGGGCAAAGTACACGTGGGTCTAATTACTCATGGCTGGGGCGGGTCATTTTGTCTCTTTGAGCCTTGGTTTCCTCTCCTGCAAAGGGGAGAACTCGAGATGTGTTCTGTGCGTACCGGGGACGGTGTGGAGTGACTGCCAAAAGCTGCAGGAAGCAGATTCCCGTTCCTCTGCCGCAGACGGGCCATCCCAAGAGGAGAGGGCGCCCATCAGTACGAGTGAGCCGGCAGGGCCTGGCAGGGACGCGGTGGGGACGGCAGAGGCCTTGTCCTTCCAGGCCGAGCCCCCGTGACCTGCAGGTCCGGGGGACCAGAAAATGCGACCCAGGACTTTTCCCTGGTGACGACCTCACTCCCGAGGGGCCTCCTGCAAAAACCACTTATAGAAATGCTGAGCATTTTTAACCAAACACGCTGCCAAATCCAAAAGTGTGGGGAGAAAATGAAGCTTTGAATTACAGATTATGGCCACAGGAAGAGACAGTTCAATAACTGTTACCGCTTTTAATTGCAAGGCCTGACTGTGCAGAGAGATAAACCGCCCCGCTGCTGGCCTCGGCCACTTCAGGACAATGCAGCAAAACCCATAAGAAGGAGAGGGGTGTGGCCTCCCAGCCTGAACGGCTACCTTGGCAAATTACAGGGGAGCCCCCACCGAGACGCATAATTTTCTTTACAGTCTGCGCCAGGGGTCACAGGGCTGGGCACAGTCAGTCACATGTGAAATATTGCTTCATATTAATAAAATATGAATCCGCCGCCTGCCAAAGAGCAGAGGAGGGTTACAAAGCCTTGCTCCCCTGGGCGCCCGCTGTCCTTCCCCAGCTTTGGCGCCTGGGGGTATCTCAGGTTTACTGTGGTTTTCATTGGGCTTTTTATGTGCGTGTGATTATGTATTTTTCCAGAAGATAACATTCCCAACTTGCATAAACTAAGTGTATTCACGTCCTTCCCTTGAATCCTCTGTTTAGCCCATTTGCAACCACAGAAATCGCAGCTTAGAGAGGCACAGGCTGCTCTTGTCTGCTGCCCACTCCTGCTGGAAGCTGAGCGTCCGGGCAGCAGGGGAGACCAAGACCTCGTGCCACTAGGACCTCACAGCCAGGGGAGGCCACCAGGCTCCTGCTGGCACCGGGTGTGGATGCGAGGTCAGAGGGCTGCCCGCCCTTCAGCTTGGCCCCTGGAGGAAGGGCTCCTTGTCCGCTGCCTGGTCCCACTCTTTCCCCCGTGGGAAGGAAGTGGCAGGTCTAGGTTCTTCCAGAAGGGAACTTGAGCTGCCCGTCTGCCGCAGCCCGGCAGCCTCCCCCAGTTGCCCCAGTGCCTGCTACTTTCCTGCCGGCCGATTCCCAGCTTACAGGAGGCAGAAGAACCCGTCTCTGCTCTAAGGCCCATGGACACCAACTCGGGCCCCCTTTCGAAAGCATTTTACATCAGAAGGCGGAGGGCCCACAGGGGAAACGCTTGCCCCGAGCGGACGGCAGGTCTATCTTCCGATTCCCCCTCCTGCGCCTCTCCCACTGAGCCACACCATGCTGGGGTCAACACCGCAGACAGGCACGGCAGCTAGACCTCCAAATGAGAATTGTCCACTCAGTCAAGGTCCCCTGAGAGACCATACACACCCCCCCAAGAGGGTGTCATGTCTCAGTCACCTGTGGAACCCTTGGCGACCCGGCTCCCCTCTCCTGCACCCACCTGCCAGGTGAAACGCTCGACCACATCACACACGCTCTCTAAAATCATAGGATGAAGTCCAAACTGTTTGGCTTGGCATTCGAGGCCCTTTCCAGCATGGCTCAAACCCACCATCCTTTCACTCATTCAGGGTGTCTGCTGTGTGCCATAAAGGTACTGGACATAAAATGTGGGTCCTACACTGTCTATCCATGGAGAGCCCACAGCCGAGTCGGAGAGGCAGACCCACAGACAGATTCATTAGCAGCGTTAGCACGCACCCAGCGGAGGGAGGGTGGCCCCCCCGAGCCCTTCCTTAGTGAAGCGCATGGCCAGGTGTGGCGTGCGCCTTACCTCACTCATGCCTCGTGGCCCCCCCCCCACCCCGGTGAGGGATTGTGAGCAGGTCTCTGAGCGCTGGGGAAAGCCTTTCAGAGGAGAGGAGGCCTGAGCCCCGGGTAGCCGGGAGGAAGCGTTAGTCATGCAGGGTGGGGAAGGTCCTTCCGCGGAGAGCGGAGGGGTGGTCACAGGAGAGAAACGACGTGGGAAGACTGGGGGCTAGGAGTGTGTGGGGTGGCTGCCGAAACGGTGAGGGGAGGCGGGGCCAGGAGATGAGTATGGAGATGACAGTGCCCCTGGCTGCGTACCTGGGAGCCAGGGCCCCCTTCGGGCTGAGCTGTCAGTGGGCTCCAGGCGGAGGCTGACTCAGTCAGACGGGCATACTTCCACCCACACCTGCTCTGCACCTGCCTCCCGCTGCAGCGGAGACGCCATCAGCAGGCTGGGCCGGCATACCCCATCCCTCCCTTTGTTCTTGCCCAAGCTGCACTCTCCCCCTCGGGATGGGGGCACCAGGGGTGAGCAGTGCTGGCTCTCTCCTCCCTCTTCCCTGGCCAAGCCCACCCACACTGACCTCCTCCCACTGCTCCCCCAGGCTCAGGCTGTATCTGGCCTGTTCCAGATTTTGCAAGTGCTTATTCCTTTCCTGAGTCCTTCCTGACCAGAACGTTTTTATAGAAAAGGCCAGAAGGGCTGGTTTACTGCGGGGGCCTCTTCTCAGCCCCCTTTCCCGGTGCCCATCTGTCTCTACCCTCGACTTCTGGTCCTTCTCCCTTCGCACTTGTCCTCTCTCGACGCATCTTCGGTTCCGCTCTCCGATGGACTGTGCAAAGCTGCAGACGCTGAGAGCTCTGCCAGCGCGGCCCTGGGTGAGCTACGTAGGCTCGCTCTCATTTCCCCACCTGGGAAATGGGGTTGCTTGTGCCCACCTCACAGGGTCCTTGGGAAGACTGTTGTAAATAATACGGTAAAGCTCCCAACCACAGTGGACCCAGTAAATGGTAGCTGTCGGTGCATCCTCTATTTCTTTCCTCTTCCCCCACTCCCCACCCATTTTCCCCCTCTTTCTACCCTCTTTTTTCAAAGGAGCTGGAAATATTCTTCCCACTCCTCCCACTCTACCTGAAACCCCCCTCCCTGTTCCCCTTCCTGCCTCTCTCTGCTTAAGTGAATCGTAACAGGGAATGACACTTGCTCTTTGTTGTATCATTAAATGCCTTTATGTTTCCCTGTTGTTAATTTTCAAAGCACGTGAGTGTTTTCCGTGTCTTGCTTCTGTGGCCAGAGCCCATCCGTCTCCTGGGACAGCCCCAGGCAGGGACGCATCCCCAGGTCAGCCACAGCCTGGAGGTCCCGCTCTGGGGGGACCCCGGGCAGACGCCAACCCAGCAGAGAGGGGGTCCTCAAACCCAAACCCCGTCTGTGCTCGCCCTGCTCCCGTGAACTCCCTGTGTCCCGATTTGCTAAATTTACACTCAGTTTTCCCAGGATGGCTCAGCGCTCTGACCAGCTAAATCAAGCCTCTCCTTCTTCCTTGTCGTGGCCTTTTGTGGCCCTGCCCAGCATTAATTACCATGTTTGTCACCAGGCGATAAAAGTCTCTGAACTCCCTGCCACCAGGTTATCTTTTTAAAGAAATGCAACTCATTTATAGTTAATACCTAGAAGCCTGCCGTCCTCAGCCTGCTAGAGCGACATGATTTATAGCACCTGGGTGGGCCCGCCGCCTCTGTGCAGGGCCACCACACTGAGGGTGGCCCTGGCTCAGCCCAGTCACGGGCAGGCCCTTCTCTCAGCCTCTGCTCCGGGCGGTGCTGGTGGCTGCTGATGAAGTGCGCGCCCGGCCTGCACCCGTGCCGGGGCCATGGAGGCCCAGGGGGCCGGAGGCGTGCTCCGCCAGTCCTGCCAAAGCCTTGGCAGACAGAGACAATGTTCTGTTCTCTCTCCCCTCGCAGACCACGTCTCAGTTGGAGGACTCGGGGACAGTTTTTATGAATATTTGATCAAATCCTGGTTGATGTCGGCCAAGACAGACATGGAGGCCAAAGATATGTACTACGAAGCCTTGAAGGTAAGACAGGGCCTGCTGCTGCTCGGGCTGTGGGTCCACCACCTGCTGCCTGCGCTCTCACGGCCCCTGAGTGCCGCGGCCTTGTCGGCCCCTCCCCCACAGGGAGCGGGGCAGCAGAACGACAAGACAGCGCCCCCTCCCCCGTCAGTCACTTCGCACACCCAGTCTCATAGCTCTTCTCGAACACCTTAAAATTAGGGCCATGTTAGTCTTTGTTGCACAGATATGAAACCCAAGCGCGTAAGGAGGCGAAGTCACTTGTCTGAGGCCTCACAGGAAGCGGCAGGCAGTTGGACTCAGAAACCACGGTGTCTGTGCTTCAGTGGATGTGTTAGATGTATCAGGGCCCAGAATGCAGCCCGGCAGTGGGCTGGGAGCCCCCACGGGAAGCTGCCAAAGCAAGACCCTCAGCCGTCTTCCCCACGAGCCAGAGGTGACAATTAGCACACCCAAGCTGGGAGGGGCCTCCGCCAGGGGAGCCTCCAGCTCCATTCCTTCTCTTCGTGAGGGTGGGAACCAAGGCCCAGAGAGGGGGAAACACTTGCTCCAAGCCACACAGCACGGAACTGACAGCGTGAAGCGAGAGCCAGACCTCCTGGCTCTGCACCGATGAAGAGAAGGCTGAATGGCTAGACGGCCGGATGGGTAGGCGGGTGTGGGTGGGTGGACGGTGTGAGCAGTAGGTTGGATGGGGAATGGTCTCTCACTACCCTCTGATCACAGGAACCCAGCCAGCAACGGTAGCGCTTACAGGAAGCTCATTGTAACAGGCCTCCAGGGCTGTGGACTCTGAACTACGCGCTCAGTGATGAGTTTTCCCTGCCCAGCTCCCTGGCACCAAGATCTCAGCCATGAAGCAGCTCCTGGGACTCCAGTCCCAGCTCCATCTGGCTCAGCCCGTCCACTCCAAGCTCCTACGGCCGAGCTTAGCCGGCAGCCAGGGTTCCCTGTCGGATTAGTGTTCAGCTGGTGGCCAGGTGTGCTGCCTGGAGAGGCCCTTGCCCTTTCTGATGGACAGCCTTGCAAAGTAAACATCAAGTTAATGAGCGGCCTACTTCCCTGCCCCTGAGGGCACAGTGTAGCTGAGGCTTCAAGGGAAGAAACAACTATGAATTATTTAAGCAACTGGGAGCTTTATGGAAACCCTTGATTGAACAGGAGACGCCTGGCCTTGCTCCTCCTGTTTGATCTCCCCAGTGAAGGGCCTGCCGTGTCGCTGACACTGTGTGAGGGCTAAGCCTGTGGCAAGTTCGGGGCTTTGAAGAATGTTCTGGCGGTTCTCCACCTTGTTGGCATGTTAAAAGTCACATGTTAAAAATCCCGATGGCCAGCCCGCACCCCAGCAAGGTTACCTCGGAACCCCTGGGGCGAGGCCTGAGCAACAGCCTGGAGAGCTGCAGTCGCAGGTTACACCGACGTCCGCGGGTGGACATGGGGGCTGCAGACAGGCCAGCTGGGCAACCCCGGGGGATCCTGGGAGAAAGGACAAGAAGGACAGGAAGCTTCTGTCCCTCTGGCCTCCTCCGGGCAGGTACCCTCAGTGCCTGGTCTTATTTAGCCCCCAGCTTACAGATGATGAAACTGAGGCTCAGAAAGGCCCCAGGTCACACACAAGTGGCAGAGCCAGGGCGCAAGCTCGGTCAGTGGCTCCTGCGTCTCCGTATCAGCTGCCGGATCACAGAGGGGCCTGGCTTGCCCCGAGTCCCTCTCCAGCAGGTGCAGATGGGGTGGGGCCCGTCCAGGGGGCAAAGGAAGTCAGAGTCTCTGAACAGCCTCATGACCAGCCTGGAAATTGGTCTCATTTTACAGACGAAGAAAGGGAACCTTCAGAACAATGAAACCAGTGGCCCAAAGTCACCTGACTCTCAAATTGCAGCACTGGGGATCGAACATGGGACTCTGCCTCTCAGCTCTTCGCTATGTCTTGTGCCATGATTTAAGCCTTCTGACCAGCCTTTGCTGTCTTGCATTTTGCTCAGAGTTTTAGAAGCCTTGGTTTTTAGAGGTGTTTTTTTTTAATTTTTGCATCTGCTATTTCAGTTGTCTCCTCAAAGAGAGACTATTCCATCATTTCCTCTTTACCAAAATTATTTAGCTTGAAGTTAACCCCAAGCACAATAGAAATAACCTATGGGAGAGTCTCGAAGACGGAGATTTTTGGCTACAGTGGGAAGCTTCCGGGGATTCCCCCATCCCCACACCTGTGTCTGTGTTCTCTCCCGAGTGTTGACAGCAGGTAACTGCACCCGGTTTCTGCACCCTGGACTGGCCCCCACCTGCATGCTCAGGGGTGCAGAGCAGCCGCCCGGACCCAGCTCTGACCCCGCGCAGGGCCCAGCCAGGAGCAGACCCGGCCCAGCAGTGGTTGGCGCTCCCCGCCTCTCCCTGCGTGAGCAGGTGCCCTGGCGGGGCCATCACCCACACTTCCCCCTCCGCTGCTCAGGGGGGGGGCCCTGCAGCCAGCCTGCCAGCCCAGGCCTTACAGATGGAAAAGGAGAAAACACTCAAGGGGCACGTTCGCTTGAGCACCGTCCGTGGGCGGGGCCCTGGCTGGAGAGTGCTGGGGGGAGCTTCTGCCGAACACGGCACGCAGGGTGCTGGGGGAGAGCCGCGCTCCACAGAAACCCTCACAAAGGCGCGCACACGGCGTGAGCCGAGCACCACGTAGAGAGAGCACAGGGAGTAGGACCGCGGGCAGCAGTGGCGTAGAGCGGGCCGTCCTCTCCCAGGCAGCGTCCTGGAGGGGGCCGGAGGCCGAGCAGGAGCTGGCAGAGCGGCGCGGAGCGCGGGCAAAGCCGCGAGGCGGGCACCTTCACCAGCTTGTGAGTGTCACCATCACTGTGGCAGAGACCTTCTCTGACCTGACTGCAGAGTAGGCCCCCTCCCCAAGCTTTTCCCTGTCCCGTCTCCTCGGTTTGTTTCATTCAAAATACTGGTCGCAGCTGTGACACTTGTGTGTATTTGATTTTGTCGGGAAGCCTCTGTGTTCGCTAAGGTGGGGTCCAGGCCCACCTTGGGGGGCTGTGTGCCTGCCCCCAGCTCAGCGCCGGCCTGGAGGAGGCGCTCACAGGAAGCTCAGTGTGGGGAGGGGAGGGCGGGGGGCACGCCTGAGGAGCCCAGCGTGGCTGGGACGGGGCAGAGGAGGGAGGCACAGAGGGCGGACTGGGGAGGAACTGGCATCGCCAGCATTCAGTGAGAACTAACTCTGTGCTGAGAAGCAGGCGGACCTCCACAGACACATCTCATGTCTCCTTCACGACGCTGTGAAGTGGTCCGTGCTCTTGCCCCACTTTGTACTCGAGGAAGTTGAGGCGCAAAAAACACAGAACCCGCCCGAAGGCACACAGCTTGAAGCTGGTGGAGACGGGGTCTGAGCCGGAGGAGTCTGCGCCCGAGAACCACGTGCATGGCGTCAGGTCAAACCTCAGGCTCCAGATCGGGGGGCCCAGAGGCCCCACTGGACTTCCATCTGGAGGCACTTGGCATCCACGGAAGGGTGCTAAGCACACGATGACACAGTCGGGTTCGTCAGTGACAGAGTGCAGAGGCCCCCACAGAGCAGAGTGGAGGGGCAACGGTGCAGGCAGAGGCCTGGGCCCACGGACCCAGCCCGGGACCTGGACCCCCGGGGGGCCCATCAAGCCCCCCTGCAGCTGTGTGGGCAGCTGCCACCAACACCTCCATTTCCAGGCAGCTGGGACGGCCAGCAGGGAGTGGGAGGCGTGAGTGCCTGGCACCTGTCCCCCCAGCTTCCTGGCAGTCTTCACTGACAGCAGCGCCTCCCACGGAGCTGGGGAGGGCTCTCAAAGTGCACTGCCCCCAAAACGATCCTTGTCCTAATCCCGGTATGGCTGGGTGGCCTGGGTGCAGTCACTCCGCCTCTGTCTGTGGAGAGCACTGCAGCCCCTCCGCGTGCCTGGCTGGCGGTGGCGTCAAGTGAGAAGGCGAGTGACAAGGACCTGCAGAGAGCAGCTCTTCGTTTCCCAGGGGTCCTTTTGGGACCCTCGTCCCATGAAAACGCACGTACGCGAGAGTGGCGTGTACAATCTTAGGGGCATCTGTGGGCCAGCGGGCCCCAGGTTATGATTCCCTAACCAAGGATATAATGGAGGGTGATGATGTTTAAAGATTTTTTGAAATTTTTCGTATGTAGAAGATTTAAAAGTGTGTAAGAGATTCACCCTGGGGCGCTCCCGCAAGCTCCCAGCAGGCACCGGGGCTCAGCTGGGTGACAGAACCTCTCCCAGCCCAGTCAGGGCCAAGGTCAGTGCCCCCCTTTGCCCGGGGCGGAGGGTTCAGCAGAGCTGCCTTTGCTGCTGTCTCCAAAATATTCATTTTCTGTCCTCCCTGCTCCCTTCTCTGTACCTCCCGCACCCCTCCCCCTGCCCGACCCCCACCTTGCTCCCAGGCGATAGAGACCCACCTGCTGAACGTGTCCCCCGGGGGGCTGACCTACTTTGCTGAGTGGCGCGGGGGCATTCTGGACCACAAGATGGGGCACCTGGCCTGCTTCTCCGGGGGCATGATCGCCCTGGGCGCCGAGGACGCCGAGGAGGAGAAGAGGGCTGGCTACCGAGAGCTCGCAGCCCAGATCACCAAGACGTGCCACGAGTCGTATGACCGCTCAGGTAACCCTGGGGGGGGGGGTGGCGGGGACAGCGGGAAGGACTGAGGCCAGACCCCAGGGAGAACTGGGAAGTGCAGCGGAGTGGCAGCGAGCGAGGGGAGCTCACGCTCGCAGGGCAGTCCCGCCTTCTGCGGCCATGTGGAATCGGCTGTGCTGTGTGTGCTGAGATGGAGCCCCGGACTGAAGGGGACCGGGGCTGCCCGCGGGGCCCAGTGTGTGGGCCAGCGTGTGTCCAGCACTCCATGCACATCACCGCCGACCCCACCACCCGGATGAGGAGACTGAGGCTCCGATGATGCGGCCCAGGCCCCCTGTGTGGGGCCCCGGGGGGTGGGGAGGAGAGGGCCCTCCGGCCCCTGTGGCAGAAAGGTTGGCTTCCTGAACCTTGCAGGTGTTTCTCCCTGCCCCCTGCCCCACACACCTCCACTTCCCCTCCCCAGAACCACTCCGTTTTCTCTCTTCGGTCCAAGACAGCCGGGAAGCCTGAGAGCTTCTCGACCATCCGCTCAGCACTCACGCAGAATTGCCAAATGTGAGAGAAGTCGTGCCAGAGGACGGGAACCAACTCCTTGTTTATTGCACATGGGGAAACTGAGGCAGTCCAGAGCCACAGTCTCACTGCTCTGAGTGGCTAGGCTGGGCCCAGGACCCAGGTCTGCAGATGCTCAGCTCCACCTCGTGGCTGCCCCTGAACAGCGCCCTCAGAACCACCCCTGCACCCCAGCCCCAGGAGGTGCCCACTCCTGTGAGTCTAACCCCCATCTTGGCTGGAGGACAGGGCCCAAGACCTGCAGTAAAAATTCCTGGTTCGCGTGCTGCTCTGCCGCCTACCAGCGAGGTGGCCTCCGTCTTCCCATCAGTTCACCGAGAACCGTAACATGGGTCCCCAGGGTCAGGAGCCGAGTCCCACGGAGAGCGCATTGCCGGCGCCTTCAGCCAACAGCACGGGGCGTTTGTTAGCGGTGCACCGAGGTGACCGCCGCAGTCCAATCCCAAGCTCCTGGAGCCTTTCAGAAAGCCAGCAACTCACAATGCATCCCTCAAACTGGTCTTCAATTCCCTTCAAAGAGCTCTCTCTGCTGGCGCCATAAACAAATAGGAAATCTCAGGAATAATAAACAGCTTGCTATTTGTCTGGAACAATCAGCCCAGACCGTAAAAGACAGTCCGCTTAATAGAGCGTATGGTTCCAGCCAGCCCGGCTCGGCCACGGGCGGCCGCAGCAGTCACGCATGCCCTCGCCCGTGAGCAGCTTGGCAAGACGGCTGTTTTCCCAACTGTTTTCTGAGGGCACGACTGGTGGCCCCATGTGCGAGGCTGGGAGGGGCCCGGTCTGGCTAATTCCTCTTCCAGGAAACCTCCACAGCAGAGTAGGGCACCCTGCAAAGCCCACGTCTTGAGGAAGAGCAGCCCAGGACCTCTCAGGGACTAAACCCTACTAGGAGGAGAGAGGGCTCACAATAGGATCAGAGCCGGGCCCTCGGTCCACCTGGACGGGATGTGTAGGCAGGGTCCTCAGAAGGGAGAGAGAGAGGGCGCCGCCCATGGAAAGGGCAGCAGGCAGACCGTGGGCCATGTCCCAGCTCAGCCACGACTCCTGCGTGTTCCCCGGGCAGATTACTCAGCCTCCCTGATCTGCAGTTTCCACATGCGCGGTAGAGGAATAGTAACGTCTCCTTACCAAAAGAAAAACCAAAACCCCCACATTTCTTTAAGGATTGAAATCACGTACGTAAAGTTCCCAGCACAGCCTTTGAAATCAGAAATGGTGGCTGCGGCAGTGGTTATACAGTTGTGGTCATACAACTATGGTCATCCAAAAAGCAGGAGTGGCCATCAGTGGTCCAAAACCAAACCAAACAACAGCAGCAGCAACCCCCAGGCCTCACCAGCCTTCTCCACGAGCCAGCTCCCTCCCCCTGAGTGCACGTTCTGGGCAGGTCTCCCCTCATCTCCAGTCCGCGGTCTCCTAAGCTGGCAGCTCTGGAGGGCTGCTTCTGGGAGGAGCTACAAGCCCTAAGGCGGGAGGAGAAGCCTCCTTGCATGGCAGCATGTGAAAGGGTCTGGTAGGTCCTGCAGGAGTTCGTTTTGTGTGACCCACTGTGTTTAAACCCAAATGTGTTTAACCCCGGAGTCCTGTCGTGGCTGAGCTCTGGTAAACACCTTGCACAGCTAGTGTCTCAAAATACGCAGTTAGGAAGCACAGTTAGGGACGTTCATTTGGATTCCCAAATTCTAAAACTGCAAAATTTTTGAGGCCTCAAGAGTCTTGTTTTGGCCAGCCCAGGCCAAGAGGGAAGCTGGATATCTGGCCGGCTGAGCCTTACCGGGCAATGCAGGCAGGGCCCACCCCACGGCCACATCACCGGCCATCACCCCCGGATCTATCCGGGGCACCTGGACCCTGCAAAGCAGGTGGCTGGTCTGACCCAGGCCCTGTGCTTGTTCATTCTGCAGACACCAAACTGGGGCCCGAGGCCTTCTGGTTTAACTCCGGCCGAGAGGCGGTGGCCACGCAGCTGAGCGAGAGCTACTACATCCTGAGGCCCGAGGTGGTGGAGAGCTACATGTACTTGTGGCGGCAGACCCACGACCCCGTCTACCGGGAGTGGGGCTGGGAAGTGGTGATGGTGAGCGGCCGGCGTGGGGGAGGAGTGCGGGTGCGGGTGGGGAGGCTTGAACAGGGAGGGGGCAGGTGCCCCTGTGAAGTTGCAGTTGAAGCTCAGGCACCGAGAGGAAGGTCCAGCCAGGCGGACATCTGGCTGAAGTTCAGAATGCAAAGGGTCAAGGTCGTGGTTGCGGAGCCAGCAGACCCCGGCTGGGCAGAACCAAACCAGGAACTTGAGGAGAGGGTTCTCAGACGTGTCGTCCTGGGGACCTGGCGCTGGTGCCAGCAAACGTAGAGGGGCGAAGGCAGGGCAGCAGCCAGAGAGGGCCCAGAGCACGTGCGGTCACCGCTTCTGACCCTCACATCCGAGCCAAAGCTTTAGATTTCTCCTCTCGAACAGGAACAGCTGCCAGGCCAGCAGCTCACCTCCCGCCTCTCCCCAGAGCCAGCCCAGCCCCACGCAGCCCCCACCCCTCTCCGGGCTCTGCCCGCACACCCCTCACCCCACCAGTCCCCAGCTACCTCCTGGGACATCTCATGCCCACTTTGGGGTAGGTGCCAAAAGCAGGTGTGGGAACTCCGGAAGGTTCCTCGATGTCTGCTGGGCCCCCCTGTCCTCCCCCACCCCCTCCCCAGTGCCTGGCTCTCAGAGGCATGCGCCGTCCTGGGCAGAGCCATGCCCAGAGCCTCCCGCTCAGGCCGGGTGCAGGCCGCTCAGGTTCGCTGTTACCGTTCGCTGGCCCGAGCCTCCTGCCTCCCTGAAGCCTGGTTCTTGGCCACTGAAGGCCAAGTGTTTTGTGCTCCTGGGCCCCATGTGCTCCTGGGCCCCACCTGCAAACCCTCCGTGGGTTAAAAAAATGCATTTCCGTGCAAAACGCTGACATCCCGTGGCTCACCTCACTCTGGCCCAGGGACCACGTCTCCACAGGGAATCCTGGGGCACAACGGTCCCAATCCCAGCCCGAGAGCATCACCAGTGCCTTCCTCTGTCCCCTCCTGGGCAAGCCTGTCATCGGTCTGCCCCCTGAGAGGCAAAGAGAAGGTTTCTGTAAGCTCACACCGGGCGGAGAGCTTGGGGCACAGCCCTGGGACCAAGCTCCCGGCAGCACGCCCCCCAGCCTGGCGCCGGACCTTCAGGAGACTTTGGCCTTCTGCCGCCAGGGATGCTAGGGGTCCCCAGTCGAGGGGTCAGGGGCTGCCTGTGGGTGAGCTCTGGCCCACTGTGCGGGCATGAGTCTTGGGGGACCCCCACCGCTCCCCACACCAAGGCTGCCTTCCTTCCGTTCAGGCCTTGGAGAAGCACTGTCGGACGGAAGCCGGCTTCTCCGGGATCCAGGACGTGTACAGCGGCGCCCCCAGCCACGACAACAAGCAGCAGACTTTCTTTCTGGCTGAGACGCTGAAGTGAGTGGGGGCTTGGTCAGCGTCCTTCCCTGGGCGGCGTGGCTTTTCCTGGGGAGGGGGGAGGGGTCAGCAGTTTGTGCCCTCACCAGGGTCAGGGTCTGCCGTCACAGGAAGGGGGCCCAAGAGGGGTGGGGTGCTCCGGATCCAGAGTGTGACACCCCCAGGGGTGAGCCCGAGCCGGGGCCAGGCTGGTTTCTCGCCTCGGGGAGTGAGATGGGGGGGACTCACCCAGCGAAGGGGCGGCTGTGCACTAAGTCCAGTCCCATAGCCTGTCTCCTCGGTCTGTGAAACTGCCTCCGTCCGTAAAATCAGAGCAACGGTGATGGTGTCGCTACCGACTTTCCCTCGCTCCCTTCCTGTTCCCCAGAGCGGTCCCCTGTAGGATGAACCGGAGTGGCTCATCCCTTGGAGTAAAAGCCCACGTGGCTTGGGAAGCAGAGGTTCTGGGGTCACCACTCTCTGTCCGTTTTAGTGTCCCCGTGTCTACTTTACCGAGTCCCGGGGGCACGCAAGGAAGCCGCCCAGGAGTGGACGGTGCAGGGCGGCCTGAGCCGAGAAAGCAGAGTCTAGGCCGTGAGGTGCCCTGGCGGGACTCGCACACGGGCCCGGCCGGGACCGTGCCTGCACGAAGCTGTGGGGGTGAGGGCCAGGGCAGAGCAGGATTAAGCCAGGCCTGTCTGCCCCAAAGCTCGGTGCTCTTCTCGGCGTCCACAGCGCTTCCCTGGGTCCAGCCTTCCGAGGAGACCTGGGGGCGCGGACTCCCCTGCACCCACGGCCACAGGCCTGTCGCCAAGGCCCCTGAGACTCCTTCCTGGGGCCCCTCGCTCCACAGAGCGCTGACAGGCCGTGCCTTGCTTCCCTCCCTGCCCGGGGCACAGGTATCTCTATCTCCTGTTCTCGGAAGATGACACGCTCTCCCTGGAAGACTGGGTGTTCAACACAGAGGCCCACCCGCTGCCTGTGAACCACTCGGACAGCGCCGGCAGGGCCGGGGACCCGCTCTGACCCCGCCCCCTGCTGCCCCCGGGGCCACCGCCGCAGGGACACCTTGCCTTTCCAGGTTTGGGGACTGTTCTCAAGAGGACTGGGCACCCGGACCCCACTCCGGGCAGCTGTGCTGGACAAGCAGCTTCTTCTCCTCCATGAGGAGACAGGACGCGGGACGCGGCGACGTCACGCCAGGCCCAGACACCCGTCTGCGGAGAATCTCCGTGAAACCCGCGCGGCCGCCGTCCCAGGGCCAAAGGACTGGAGGTTTGCACATCGACCCCGTGTGTTCGGTTCCCTCGGTTTGTTTTGGGGGTGTTTTTGGTTTTGCTTGATTTTGCCTTTTCTCGCTAGTTGTGTTGTATCACAGGTTATAAATAGTTTCGAAAATCATGCCTTCAAAAACGATCACCCCGATAAACTAAACCTTCAAGTGTTTGCGCACACAAAAGCCTTGACCTTATTTTCTATATTTTAAGTGCTTCTCGCCCAACATTCTCTGTATGTTCAACTATGTGTCACTTACCTTATAATTTGAAGGGGGGCCCCTTTGATTTGGGCCCAAGTGTTATGAATCACTAGTGCTGTTTTCATCATTGTAATGGGAAGATCTGTAAACCTACAATAAAAGAACTTATTGAATAGGAAATATGGTTGGGCTTGTTGCACACCAGTGACTACTGGGAAAATCACTGGGATGTTAGCATCTTAACGATCGACCAAGGTACAATTTAGTAAATGACTCCAGCGTCTTTTGCCTTCCCTTAAGTGGTACCCAGTGCACTCGGGAAGGGGGAGGCCGATCCTTCTAAAAGAGCAGGCGAGGTATTTGCACTCGGGCCACGGCCTGGGAGAGGCCCAGAGGGAGGCAGCAACTGACATGAGGTTACTCAGCAGACACCCAGTGGGTGCCTACAGGGGTCAGACACTGGGTGGACGCCAGAGACGCCGTGAGCCACACATCCTAGGCCCTGCCCTCAGGGCATGGACACGTCACAGAGGGAGAAGCAGACGGTGAAGGAACCGTGGGGGAAGCAGCCCTGCTGTGAGTTACCTGAGATGCTGCAGAGAAGACCAAGGGGCTGGCGTGCTGGTGGCTGGGACCTGGCTTAGGGGTCAAGGAGAGCCTCTCGGACCAGATAACCTTCGAGCTGAGACCTGGGAGATAAGCAGGAGCAGTGGGACAAGCACCCCACAAATCCACACTCCCCCGTGACCTCCCCCTGCTTCCCTCTGAGGCCACCTATGAGGCCGCCAGCCTGCCGGGCAGGGCATCCAGGTCCCATCAGTGGGGGAAGGGAGGTGAGGTGAGCACTGACCCACACAGCTTCATGGGACAGTGAGGGCCCTTCCTCAAGTGGAGCCCCTTCCTTCCGGCTGCTACAAACTTGGGTAGCCCCTGGGGTGCTGGGGCCCTGGGCCAGGCAACCTGCCCTCTCCAGCCACCTTTCCCATGAGGTTCCTGTGGGAGTCAGTGGGACAGCGCTGGCACCCGGAGGTGGGCAGTGCTTCCTCCTCGTCCTGAGGAACGAGAACACACGTGTTTCCCACGTGTTTCCTGAGCTGCAGGCAGAGCTGTCAGGAGCTGCCCCGGGCAGGAGCCCCGCACATGGTGACTAAGTCGCGCTTAAGGCCCACACCTCACTTTATTCCCACAAGCACGGCTCTGCAACTCACCCGTGCCCGTTAGAAAAGACAGAAAAACTCATCACACAATCACTGCAGAAAGGTTAGGGAATAAAGATAAACTTGAAGAAAAATCATTCACTGTCCAACCCTCCAGGATGAATACTGCAATATTTCCTTCTAGATCTTCTTCTGTGAAGACAAATATATTTTTTTGCAAATACAGTACTGTACCGTGCATCCTGTTTTGTTACAACCTGCGTGCACGCCGCACTCTGTGCTCGGGGCGTCTGTGCGTGTCACTGACACTCAGCCTCCATCCCACTGCTGTTCCTGGGGCCGAGGGTTCCGCGTGCGCTGCATCGTGCTTTGCGGGGCTAAGCCCCTGTTGCTGGGCTTGCTTTCGGGCGTCTATCAGTTTGGGGTCTTAGCTACAAATATAAACCAATTCTTTCTGCCTGAAGCAGAAGTAATAATAATAATTTATTGAAATGCCTTGGGATGGCTCAAGAAATCTCAAGAGAGTGAACAGCGAGACCTCAAGAAGGACCAGGAAGAGGATTTGGCCCCGGGGTCCAGGCCGCAAGGTGGGGCAGCCGCCCCGGCGCCATCACCAGCACAGGCGAGTCCCAGCGTCTCCAGGTCTCCCGTTTCCCCTCGAGGACGGGAGCTTCCGGGCGGCCTTGCCCAGGTCAGGAGCCCGGCCCTGCCCCCCGGAGGGCGGGGCATCTGGACTGCGGGGGGGGGGGGGGGGATGAGATTTGCTACGGAAATAACAGACCTGCCTGCGGGCTGGGCAGACACAGCAGGGCTGTCTTATACAGGTTGTCGGCGTGGTAAAGAGAGTCAGAAGAGCACACCTGGCCGCTCCTCCTTCCCTCTTCACCTCCGTCATCGAGGCCACTCCTGGGGCGTCTCCGAGCTCGTGCTGCAGTCACTCCGAAGTTCCCTGAAGCCCCGGCCTCCCCCCGCTGGACCGTGTCACTGTCTTCTCTTCCCCAGCATCTTGTCTTCTGCTTGTCATCGCTGAGAGCAAGTTGTAAAAATGAATATTTTAAAATTCATCCTCCAAGAAGGCCCTTGCCGCTGCAGAAACATCATCCTTTAGGCAGCTTTACGCTGTTCCAGGGATAAGACTGCGTAAGACCCCAGGCAGGCCGAGAGGAGAGAGGAATTTAGGGATGAGTCATCCTCAGTGAAGCAGAATCCAAGGCCTGGAAGCGGGTCCTGAGCAGACCCTTCCTTCCCAGCGGGTGTCGGCGTGCTGCTGGGCTCATTTAAGCCTCATCTTTGTCCCCGCTGTGAACGGAACCGGAACCGGAACCGGAACCCCCCTTTGCACCTGTTTTCTTCACAGAACAGCTTAATGCTGGTTCCTCCCCAGGAAGATTTGCTAGCCCCTGGCTCCGGGCCCCGAGGCCTGCAGAGCATCCACCCCTGGAAAGAGGGGGACACAGTCCTTCTCCAGATGCCTCGCTTCACGTGACTCTGTGTTTGTTCAGACTGGCTTCATGCACCACATTGTGTCTTTGGCAAGTTACAAAGTTCAAAAGCCAAGTGCGTTGGAAAGAAAAGAGTAAAAAATCTGATTTAAAGGTGGCATCCCCGAGATCCAAAATGTCATTTTCGGTTCTGTTGCCTTTGCTTTGGGGAGGTGACCCTTTGTGGTCTGAGAAGGTGCTGGAGATGGGAAATGCACCCACCAGCTCACCTCTGGGGGTCCTTGAAAATGCATGCATGGATCATGTGACATGAGATGTTCAGCCCCCACTGACTAACGCTTAATCACACACTACTGGGGGAGAAGGGTGCTGATGCTTCTTTTTTTGTATCTAAAAATATCTGTTTGGCTTCCTATATTTGGACAATATTTTGATCCCACTCAGCCTGTCTCTTACATCAGAGCTTCACAACCTTGGGCACCTGAACCACCTGGGGATCTTGTTAAAATGTAGGTTCACATTCCGTGGGTCTAGTGTGAAGCCTAGGATTCTGCATTTCTAACAGCCCCCCGGGGAGGCTGATGCTACAGGCCTCATTTTTTTAAAAGATTTTATTTGTTCATTTCTAGAGAGAGGGGAAGGGAGGAAGAGGTTGCCTCCTGCACACCCTCAACCCGGGGCCTGGCCCACAACCCAGGCATGTGCCCTGACTGGGAATCGAACCAGCAACCCTTTGGTTCACAGGCTGGCGCTCAGCCTGTTGAGCCACACTAGCCAGGGCGATCTGTGCTTTCCAATGGGATAGCTACATGTGGACGTTGAGCATTTAAAATGTGGCAAGTGTAACTGAGGAAGAAAATACTTGATCTTGTTTCATTTTAATTAAATATAAACAGCCACGTGCGGTTCCTGATTGCTGTTGTGGATGGTGTGGTCTTAGAACCTAGAAAGCCGGTCCCCTGACTCCCTGACTCCGCCAAGGGCATCGTTACAAAAGTAATCTTAACACAACACATATTGTTTGGGGATGCAAGGAGTCCCTTGAACATACCTGGTTATTTTTATACTCATCCCAGCCTCTGACTGTATTCTCCAAAAGCCTCTGGTTTTTATTTTGTTTCGTTTTTTCCCATTCACTGTTTACCTGCAGACTGCCGCTCGTTAGGTCAGGCTGGAGATGAGAAAGGCGGGGTGGCAGGACGGCTAAAGCCAAGTGGACCTGGGTTCAGGTCTACCCCACCTTTTCCGTGGGCTGTGTGACCTTGGGCAAGACCCTTAACCTCTCTGAGCCTCTGCATCTCCAGCTGTGGAAAGGGAGGGCGATTTCAAGGGTTCACTGAGCTCCCCAGCGTAGAAACTCAACACACATAGTGATGGTTGTTATTATGTGAGTGTTCTTTGTAAACTACAAAGCCTTGTGTAAGTGCTAGGCAAAACACTGCTGTCAAATTCTTTTTTTTGAAAAAAACAAAATTGCTCCAAAACTCAAAGGAAACTGTGTCAACCAGGCCCAGGAGACAGGCCGAACTCTCAAAGCAATGCATCTGAACATGTTATGCCTTTCGCACTGAACAAGCATCTTGCCATTAGCTCTGAATCTGCGAATTTGGGAAATTAGGCTTGCAGGGCCCAGCCCGGCCCTGGGGGGATGCTCAGGCAGGGGTGGGGGATGGGAGGAAGATGCTGAGAGCTTGCCCAGGGGTCCAGCAGAGAGGGGTCTGTGCTTCGGGATGTGTGAGATTCAATGCATGTTTCATCTTCATGGAGTCCACAGTCCAGAGAATCCTGCAGGCAAAGGTTCAGGGGGGAGGAAACCAAGGCCCAGACAGGCCTGCTCAGGTCCAGCAGCTGTTCTCAGCCTCTGGGCAGCCCCGCGGAGGCCTGGAGCTGAGCTCTCCCCGGAGCCAGCCGAGTCCCCAGGTTGACCCTTTTCCCAGCGGCTCCCTCCCCCACACCCTGCTGAGCTCTGAGAGCCTCGCCCTTCCCTCTCCCAGCAGCCCGTCTCTCCAGCCCTGGGCCCAGAGACCTGTGGGGTGTCTGTCTTTAACAAAAAGCAAGCGTAATAAATAAAAGAAATTTGGTGGAGAAAACTTCTCTCATTTATTTTCCAGGGTCCGTGGCTCATCAATCTTCCCCTCCTAACCTGCTTTGTGCTCTGTTAGCTTTGCTTCCTTCCTGATAGAAGGGAATTAGCTTTTCTAATGGCATCTGCCGTATGCTGGGTGTCCCCAAACATTAATGGTAATGAGTTGGAAGTGGCACAGTTGGAAGCCTTTGAAGACAACACCAGATGTCAGGCCCTCCTCGGGCGCCCTGAGGATGTTGGGCCAGAGCGTCCGGTCTAGCAAGGGCTGGGTCTAGGACCCACAACCTCTGGTCCCGGGAGTCACTCGTGCCAAAGGCACTGGGGTGCCCCCCATGCCCCAGATCCTGTGTGGGAGCTGGGGGGACGGGCCCCACCTGCGCGGTGCTGTCAGAGCTGGTCACCCATGAAGGACAGAAGTGGGGGCAGAGATAAGCCCCGGCCCCCACGCGGCCGGCTGGCCCCCCTCCAGAAGGCGAGCCTGGCAAGAGATCTGGACTCAGAACGTCCTCGGGGCCAGAGCTCAGGCTCCTTGATCTTAAAACGAGGCGAACAGTCCTTACGTCACCGGGTGGCTAGGGAACAAAACGAGGTCACGTCAGGCATCCAACACCTAGTCCAGTGCACAGTGGGTGCTCAGGACCTGGGAAATCCTCTGCCACCCCAAACCTGACCGGTGCCTGAGCGGGGCGAGGAGGGTGGGGCGCCAAGGACGGCACCGCTGCACCCCTGGGCTCAGGGCACTCGTCCAGAGGCTTCAGTGGCTGCTGAACTCTCCCAGGAAAGCACAGGCCCAGCACCCCCCCCACCCCCCACCCCCCGCCCCCGCGATCCCCGAGGACCCCGATATAACAACGGAAGAGAGCTCCCATGGAGCCCAGGGTCCTGGGGACCTGACAGACAGAAAAACGTTTCCTCCACTCCTTGGAGAAGACCCCACTCCACACATGCCGAATGTTGTCCTCCAGAAGGATCACACCTGCGGCGGTGCCAGGCCCAGCAGAGCAGAGGGCGGCCGCGGCTCGCAGCCCAGCCCCACCAGGCAAGGTGTCCCCTGCCCGGCACAGCCCACAGAGGGCCTCTTCCTCCTCGGGGCAGGTGAGGGTTTCCCTGCCCCGCCTGCCCGTGCACCCCTGGAACAGGTGCTCTCCACCCCCGACAAACCTGCAGAGGCGGCCTTCCAGGTGGACCGTGAAGGGAATAAACGTTGAACTCCGCAATTCTCCTTTTTCTAACTGGCTGAAGACATTTTAGAAGCAAGTGGGACACGGGTGGAGAGTGGGGAGCCCGTCTCCTGCAGTCGGACGGGCAGCGGCAGCAGAGGGGGGCAGGAGGCCTGCTGGCCCGTGACCCCACGCCCGGGGAAGCCGGGGGATGTGCTCATCGTCCCCACCCTCCGCCCCAGTCCTTTCCCGCCCCGGGTCCTCAGCCTGGAGTTGCTCGCTGCCTCCGCCAGCAAGCCGGGACGCGGAGGCCTGACTTCAGTTCGGGAAACTGCAGCGCAGGAAGGAGGCAGGGGGATGGCAGGAAGGACGGGCCTGAGGATGGCAGGGGTGGCAGGGCGTCCCGGCATCTCTTCACTGGCTGGCTCAGCACCCAGCGACGCCACAGTGTGTCCAGACCCCGTGCCAGACCCCGTGCCAGGCGGTGGAGAGGGGCACGGCCCCCACACCGACACTCGGGCCGGGCCTCAGCCCTACAGCCCCGAGGCCGCCCCGGCCCGCCGCCCCGGCCCGCCCCGGCCGCCCCGCCCCTTCCCTCCGCCCGCCGGTCCGCTACCCAGCCGCCCGGAGCCGCAGCCGAGCCGCAGCCATGGGCCGGGCCCGGCCGGGCGAGCGCGGGCCCCCCAACCCCGGCCCCGCCGCACCGCCCGCGCCGCCTGCGCCCTCGCCGCGCTGCGCCCGCGCCGTGGCGCTGCTCGGGGCCCTGCTCGCCGCCGCCGCCGCGGCCGCTGCTGCCCGGGCCTATGGCCGCTACACTGAGGCCCAGGCGGCCGCGCGGCAGGTCCGGCCATCGGGCGGTGGGCGCGGGGGCGGGGGGGGGGGACCGGAGACTCGGGGAGCGGGGGCTGTGGAGTGTCTGGGCCCCGGGGAGGGGAGGCGGCGGGGGCGGGGGGGAGGCCCACTCGGAGGGTACAGTGCGGAAGAGATGGGGATGAGGAGGGGTGGGTTGGGGTAGGGGCGGGGAAGGAAGGGCGGCCTGCAGGGAGGTGGACCCGTGGGACCAGCGGGCTGGGGAGGACAGCGTGGAAGCAACGAGAAAAGAGGGCACCAGGGTCGGGCAGGCTTGGAAGGACTGACTGGTGGGGCAGGTGAGGCAGGGGCTGAGACGAACTGCAGGCGGACAGTCCACAGGACAGGGGCGCAGACGAGGCACAGAGTGAGGTGGGGCCCAGAGAAGCTGGAAGGGGGCCCGGGAGCCCTGAGACGGCAGGAAGGGGAGGCGGGAAGGACAGCGGGTCTGTGAATGGGGCGAATGGGGAGGGGACCAGACAGAAGGGACAGGCCGGGGAAAGGTGGGGCAGACAGCCGGGGAGGCCCGGAGGAAAGCAGGGGCCAGGGGCGGGGCCTGGAGCCTGGGGCAGTGACGGTTGGACAGAGGGGCCAGGAGGTGTTGAGAGGACTCCGAGGATGGTGTCCGATGGTGTTCAGCCAGCCCCGCCCCCGCCCCCGCCCCCGCCCCAGCAGGAGTCGGCGCTGAAGGCCCTGGGGACAGAAGGCCTCTTTCTCTTCTCCTCGTTGGACACGGACCACGACATGCACATCAGCCCCGAGGAGTTCAAGCCCATCGCAGAGAAGCTGACAGGTACCAGGAGAAGCTGGGGAGGGAGCACAGGCACTGCCTTCTGCTCTGAGCAGGAGGCCGCCCGGAGAAGGGGAAGGCGGTGGGTCCCGGCACACTGGCGGGGATACTGCCCAGCTGCCCGCCGCCCTGGGCACGCTGCTGCGGCACACACACTCCCATCCGTGCCCCACGTGTGAACAGTGCCAGGTAGTGTTCCCTGACCGCGTCCTCACGTGCGCCTTCTCTTAAACCTTTGCAGTGCCCCAGGGACTGGCGCTGTCCTGGTCCCCAGGTTCCAGTGTGGGGGAACTGAGGCGCAGGGAGGCTGGCCGGCCCGCCCCAGCTGGAAGGTGCGGGGCCAGGACCAGCTGGCCCCGGGTTCTGCCCCAGCCCGCAGGTTTCGGGGTCAGAGAAGGTCACTGCCAAGTGGCTGGTGAGCAGTAGACACTCGGGAGGAGCTGCTGCCGTGAGACGTCAGTGAACGCTGGCCTCTCTGAGGGGCCATCAGGCTCCTGCCCCCCCGCCAGGCCCGCTGTCCGTTCTTGCCTGCCTGTCATCCAAGTTTGGTTCTGTTGTTGTCGCCGCACGATGATGGGGGCCTGAAACACCTTGTGAACTATAAAATGCTGCTCTCAGTCCCCACCACTCCCCCCAACCTCTGTGTCCATGTCTGGTGACATTTCTCACACTTGTGGCCTTGGCCCCCACTCGGTACCCGAGTCGCCCGGTGTGAGTAGGTCAGCGGATGGGAAAGGCGGGGAGAGACGCCCGCTGCTCTCCAGTGAGTCGGCACCAAAGCCGCGCGATGGGCTTTCTGGGTCTCGGGACGGGTCAGCTAGGTCCGTCACCCGCTGGCCTGGTGACCCGTGGTCACTGCCAGAGGAGGAGAGTCGGAGGGGAGGCGCCGCCTGGCCGGAGCAGGCGCGTGTGTGTGTCCCGGCGGCAGCGGCCGGGTCTGTGGGGAGAGCAGACGGGCAGGGACGCGGTCAGCCGGCGGACTGGCACCAACCCTCCGTCTGCACGCCCGTCTCCGGTCCCCCACACGGCCGCCTCCTCGTCCCCGTCCCCGAGTGCAGCGTGAGCGGGAGTTCCCTCACGACGACAGCGCGCCGGCTCGCTGGCCTCAGGGGCCTTTCCAGCTTTTCTTGCACAAATTTTTTCTCCATGGGGAAAGTAAGCCGGCCCTTCCTTACCGCTGAGGCCGCTGTGAGTGCAAACGGGGCCAAGTTGTGGGAAAACAAAATAAAAAAAAAAAACAAAACGAAACACCAAATCGAAGCAGGGAAATGAGACAAACAGTCTCTCTAGTTGGTACCGTCCTGAGTGTTTAATTTTCTGCTTTATACCTTAAAAGTTTTACAGATTTTCTATAGTGAGCAAAAGGTACTTATAAGTCAGGAAATAAAACTTTTTTTTATTAAAGAACCAGAGGGCATAAAATGCTGGGCACTATGAATTGCCTGTGACCACAGCAGGATGATTGAGCAGGTGGGCTGATGACCCCGCACCCTCCCCCGCGCCCTGCCTCCAAGGCCCCGCGTTGCCGGTCTGGGGGAGACCTGGGCGCCGCGCCCGAGTTACAGATGAAGACACACGGTGGTTCTTCAGGACAGGGTTTGCCTCAGGAGCCCTAGGGAGTGCCAAGCAAAAGGGCAGTGTGGTGGTTCTAGCCGCCGAAGCTTCTGACCCAGTGGGTCTGAGATGGATCCTGGGTGCCTGTGGTCCAAAAGGCACCCCGGGCGGCTTGGGTGACCCCGGTCAGGAACTGCTTCCAGGGCGCCCGTGCCGCCTGTCAGCGGCGGCCGAGCGCCTTCTGCATACGGCGGACCTGCCCTGGGAGAGCAGACGTGATGCCCGGGCTGTGGGGCCCTGCCCTCCCGTTCGTCACCCCTTGGAAACAGACTCGCAGACACGGGGACCTCGATCGTACCTCCACACTGCAAGACTGCGACTTGGCCCACCGCGGAGCAGGAAGAGAGCTGGCAGAGGAGTCCGGTCAGCCCCGGCCAGTCCAGCCCTGCCCGTGCACACGGGGGAATGCCGCCCCCCAGAAAGTCGGGAAAGCGCGTCTTCTCACCCCCGCCCCAGCGCTCCTTCCGTGACACCAAAGATGGCCCGTTCTGTCTCTTCCTTCCTGCACTGCTCCGGCCGGCCACCGAGCGCCTCCCTGAGCCGGGTTTGTCTCCTCCTGCGGCCTCATGACGGCACAGTCTCCCTTCCCACTTGGGAAAGCAGAGGAGGCTGAGAGACTGGCCCCAGAGCGTCCAGGGAGTGGGCCAGCCCCAGCTTGGCGCTGGGCTGTGGTCTCTTCTCCCAGTGCCGGGAAACAGCTCCTCTCTTTGGTGCTGGGGGTCCCAGCTGCTGGGAGAGGCGGCTGCCTGCCCACTTGCCACCCTCGGTGGGCCCAGCACCGGATTCACCTGGGACTCGGGTCCCTCGGGCGGGGGGGGGGGGGGCTCTCAGGGGAGGGTGGCGGTGAGGATGGCCTCTCTGCAGCCAGCAGGGCCTTCTGGAAAGAGTGCAGGTGGCGTCAGGAGGACTAGGTTTGCGCCTAGAGAGCTCCCTGGCTCCCTGACCCTGAAACTTCTGGTGATAGTAACACAGTTAAAGTTTAGTATGGGTTTGCTCTCTACCAGGCCCTCTGCTAACAGCACGTGGATTGTGTCATTTAATCCTTCTAACAAGCCACTGGCCCGCCCGCACACAGCTGGGGAGGGGCAGGGCTGGGATTTGAACCCAGGTCACCTGGTTCCTGAGCCTGTGAGATGCTGAGATCTTAACTCCCCTGGAAGAGGGTCGTGGTCAATGGGTTTGGAGTAAAACAGGCCTGGGTTTGAATCCCGACTCCCCGCTACCTAGCTGTGTGACCTTGGGAGAGTGACATCACCTCCGAGCCTCCAGTTTCTCATTCATAAAACGGGAGTTGGTAGTGATGTTATCTGCCTCACGGGGCCACGCTGAAACTGAAATGCCGTGCGCATTGGTTGTTGCTCAGGCGACTGGTAACTTACCCCTCAGCTCCAGGCCGGCTCCCTTAGCCCCTGGCCGGGGTGGACGCCTAAGGGCGGCCCCTCTCCGGTGATCTGTGTCTTCCAGGGTCAAGTCCCACGGCCAGCTACGAGGAGGAGGAGCTGCCGCCTGACCCCAGCGAGGAGACGCTCACCATAGAAGCCCGATTCCAGCCTCTGCTCCCCGAGTCCATGACCAAGAGCAAAGATGGATTCCTAGGGGTGAGGCTGGGTGCGGGGGCAGCCCACAGGTGGGACCACAGATGGAAGGCCACCCGAGAATGAGCTGTGTTCATCTTCCCTTTCCTTACTCCCTTACCAGCTGCCCTCTGCACGCCCCGTGAGCCAGGCCTGGGGGCCCAGAGGCGGGTGTGTTTCATCCCTGCCGTCCAGGCACACAGGCTGCGGGGGGAGGCAGGGGGGATATGCACAAGCCTCTCACCCCATGGGGGATCTGGGAAGGCTTCCTGGAGGAGTGGCATCTGCTGGGGATTGCAGGAGGAGGAGCAGGGCTCAGCCAGATGAGGCAGGACAGAGCTACCGTGATGCAGCCCCCTCCCTTAGGATCATTACTTTTTGCAAGTCAGTCTTTCCCCCACAGGCTGTGTGTTTGCTGAGGGCCAGGCCTGTGTCCCCACATCTGTGCCCCCCCGGCCCCTGGCAGGGGGCGGTGGGGTGGGGAGGGCACCTGATAAGCGCTTTGCCAACCGGCCCGCCCCAAACCCAAGGCCCCGTGGAGGAGGTCTCAGCCCATCGCGGGACCTAAGCCGCCCCACACCCTGCCTGTGTCTCCCACCCCCTCTCCCGCTCTCTCCCTGGGCTCGCTCTGTTCTGGCCACTCCCCAGGCCCAGGCTTCCTTCCAGCCCCGAGCCTTCTCTGTGCTGTTTCCTCAGCCAGGAAGGACTTCTCCCCAAGCCCAGCCCACACCTCCTCAGCCTTTAGGTCGCGGCTGAAGTGTCCCTTTGGCCTGAACACAGAAAGTGCCGGCCGGTCACCTAAGGGCAGGGAGCAAGGGGCCTGGGCACAGGCACCCCAGCCGGTGGGGCTGGGCGAGAAGTCACCGCACCGAGAAGGGCCTGAGTTGCCGAGCTGTGGCCTTCGTTCTGCAGCAGCAAAACACCGTAGCAGATTTTTAAGTAGGCCAGATCTGTGCTGCCCAGGACGGCAGCTGGAGTGGAGGGGATGGACGGAAGTCCAGAAGACCAGCTCCCAAGAAGGGGGCGGGCAGGCTGGGGAGGCAGTGTGCATGGAGGACAGACAGCCTGGAGGATGGGGGCCGGGAGGAGACAGGGCGTGGCCACTGATGGGAAGTGACAGGGAGGAGTCGGGCTTCCCGCGGCTGGCCAGAGGCTGGCGGCCATCGGCCCCCTGGGGACTGCAGGAAGGAAGCAGGTCTGGGGGAGTCAGAACCAGGGCAGTCTGGGCAGGTTGGCGTCGAAGTGCTGAGGGGGCGTCACGGGGAGAGCCCCGTCAGTGGTCTGAGGCACAGGTTTGACCTTCCGTGGGAAGCTCTCCATGGAGATGGGTTTGGTGGCCTCGAGCCTGGAGCTGGGGCTGAAGCTGTCTGAGCAAACGAGTCCCCCGCAGAGCAGCGAGAGCCCTCACTCGCAGGGGGGATGGGTCGGGAGTGGCACCCCAGGCACCCCGGCCGCCCTCGCAGAGCCCCGCAGAGCCCAGTCCCCGCCGGCCTGCAGGCAGCTCCCCAGCTCCCGAGGCTGTGCGCACCTGCCTGGTCCGCACCCCGCAGTGGGAACTCCCTGCTCCTCTCTCCTCCCACCTCCACTTCCCACTGGACCTTCAAGGTGGGGAAGGGAGAGGGGACCTGCTGCTGTCAGAGACAGGGCAGCACCCCGGTGGGTGAGCGTCCCTGAGGGGTGCCAGGCGCTCTCGGTCCTGGGGCTGATGCCTCAGTGGGAAGGGACCCCACCCCCCTGTAGCCCAGAAGGGCAGGGAGCAGCTACTGAAGGCGGTACCTGCGTGCTCCCTAGTCCCGCCTGCGCCCCAGGCAGGTGCGCACGCAGGCCTGCACGGTCCGACCCTCACACTCTCCTGCGCATCAGATAGAAGTGAGGCGGGCGCCCATCCAGTGGGGTCCGGGCACTCCCTGGGGGGTGGCCTTTCTTCCCCGTCTCTGCAGTCTCATCCTGCTCTCGACCCTGGAGATTTCACCCAAAAGGTGGCGACTGCCTCTGTCCTCAGACTCGGCTCCAACCCCGAACGCTGCCCTGGGCTGCAGGACAGTCGCCTCCTTAGGGGTCGGACTGGGAGGAGGGGTCGGGGAGCGGAAAGCAGGGTGGGTGGCAAGGGTAAGGAAGGCTCCCCTACCTTCCTGTTCCAGTCCTGGGTGGCCCTCCGGCCCCCTCAGCTCCCCATGCTCCAGCGAGCTGCTGTGGCCTGGACTAGGCCTGAGTGGGACCTGGGGCACTGCTCCTCGGGTGCGGGGCCCGGGAGGGCTGGGTGGAGATGAGCCTCAGCTCCGGCAGGACGGTGCCAGGCCTGTGGCCGCCACCAGGGCAGGAGCCTCCCCCGGGTCCCTCTGCACCCTTGGCTCGTGGGCTGGCCCAGGGCTAATAAAAGACCTCCACCCACACAGGGGACAAGGAACCCCAAAGTCATGTTCTCAGTGCCCGAGATCTTCGGCTTTCCCTGCCCCAGGTCTCCCGCATGGCCCTGTCCGGCCTCCGCAACTGGACAGCCGCAGCCTCGCCAAGTGCCGTGTTTGCCGCCCGCCACTTCCGGCCCTTCCTTCCCCCTCCGGGCCAGGCGGAGCTGGGCGAGCCCTGGTGGATCATCCCCAGCGAGCTGAGTGTCTTCACCGGCTATTTGTCCAACAACCGCTTCTACCCGCCACCGCCCAAGGGCAAGGAGGTGAGGGCAGCCCGGGGTGAGCCCCAGCCCCTGCGCCCCAGCCCCCGTCCGGGCACGGCCCCCCCCATCTGCACCTGGACCCCCATGCCAGCCCCACCCCACCCGCTGTCCACCTCCACCCCGAACCCTAGGCCTGCAGGGCCCAGCAGCCAGCCTGGGCCCCACTGCCCGCCCCCCCCAGGTCATCATCCACCGGCTCCTGAGCATGTTCCACCCGCGGCCCTTCGTGAAGACCCGTTTCGCCCCTCAGGGGGCCGTCGCCTGCCTGACTGCCATCAGCGACTTCTACTACACCGTGATGTTCCGGTGAGTGGTCCTCGCGGCCCCCCCCCCTTCCTCCCACCCGGGCCCGGGACGCCAGGGCAGCACAGAAGGGCTCAGCGAGAGGAGGGCAGGCCTGGCTGGAAGCCCCACTTACACCCTGTGTTCCTGGGCCCCCTGCGCCTCAGTTTCCTCATGCGGGGATCGGGGTACTGGTGACTTCCTCCTGGGAGGAAGAGAGAAGGCGTGGAGCGTGCTTAGCACGGGCTGTCGGCTGGGATTGTCACCTACACATAAGAGGGGTGTTTAGAGCTGTGACCCCGGGTCGCACACCCCTCGAGAGACTGCGAGAGCTGGGAGGAGGGTCCGACAAGGCTTCTGAAGGCAGCCTGTGGACTGGGCCCTGAGCGGGGCGGCGCCCGGAGGCCGTGTGCCTTCTCCCCGCCGCACACACACTCTCCGCGGCCCCTGCCCAGCCCTGACCCCCACAGACTGGCCAAGGGTTCCCAGACTTCGGAGCAGACATGGGAGGGTGGGCCCTGGCTCAGCAGGGCCTGCTCCCAGCCGGGCCCCGTCCCCCCAGGATCCACGCCGAGTTCCAGCTCAGCGAGCCACCCGACTTCCCCTTCTGGTTCTCGCCCGCCCAGTTCACCGGCCACATCATCCTCTCCAAAGACGCCACCCACGTCCGTGACTTCCGGCTCTTCGTGCCCAACCACAGGTGGGAGCTTCGGCCCAAGCCCCCGGCTCCAGGGTTAGAAGCAGGTGCCCAGAGGCCTCCTCAGTCTCTGGCCCGTTTGTGCTCCCCAGAACCATGCCTCCTGGGAGGGACCTGGAGCCAACCCAGGAGGGGGCAGGCTGAGGGTCATCTCAGCATCCGACAGCATGTCCCGGCTGCTGCATGGGCCTGGCCCACCAACTCTGACCCAACACAGTAGTAGCAGACCCTCCTTGAAGCTGAGCCTCCCCACCCTCACAGCACTGACCCCCAACCCCAGCCTGCTCGGGCCACCCTAAGCGCAGGCCAGCAGGCGGGCAGGGTCCTGGCCGGTAGGGTCTAGGGAGGCTTCTCGGGGGAAGGGACATCCCAGCAGAGACCTGGAGGACGAGGAGTGTTTAGCAGGCAGAGGGAACTGCACGCACACTCCACCGCCTGCTGCAGTCGCTACCACCGGGCCTCGGGGGGCGGGGGGAGGCGTATCAAGTCTCCCCTGATTCCTACGTGGCCGCTCAGTGACTCGGTACAGGGACAAGACCTGGCTGGGAGCAGGGAGGCCCAGAGTTACGTCACTCGGCCGTGACGCCAGCGGGCTGCGTGTCTGTGGTTAAGGCTTTGGCCCTTTCTGGGCCTCAGTTTCCTCATTTTCTAGATCAGAGGCTGGCAGGAGTGAGGGGATGGTTGGAATAACCTGGGAAGAGGAGGCTGCCCCCAGGAACAGAGTGGCTTCCTCCCACTCCTTTTATTTCCCCTCCTTCCACTCCGCAGGCAAGCGGCTGGCTCGGCCTGGTTTCATGTACCCCTGCCCCAGGGTTGAAGTCGGGGGTCCTGTACTGGAGGAAACAGAAGGGGAAGGGCAAATGCCCAGCCCCAGGACCAGGCCACAGGGACTGCTGAGCCCCCCACTGAGAGCACGGGGCTCACCGGCCCTCAGCAGTTGGTTGTTAGTCCTGGGGCGCCCTCATGTGGCAGATCTGCAGATGGCGTCTGGTCGGGCCAGACTTCCTGCTGGAGGACAGTGTCAGGGTTTCGGGCCTGTTCCCCTGCGCCCTGGGGGGATGCACTGATGACCTCTGCCTGGAAAGGTCAAGGGCAGCCCAGAAGTCATGGATATGGAAGCCCTTTGTGAACTGTGAGGGCTGGACTGGTGGAAGGTGATGCGGTTGCAATGCCTTAGGAAGAGCAGCCCCGGGGGGAGGAAGGGGCCCAGGCAGCTCTGAGACCTTGGGTTCACCCTGCCAACACTCCGTGTGCTCACCTGTCAAACGGAGTCAGCTGTGCACTTTCAACCAGATAATGTCTGACATCGGCCTGGCTCCCTCTCCCCCGCCCCCAGGTCTCTGAACGTGGACATGGAGTGGCTCTACGGGGCCAGTGAGAACAGCAATATGGAGGTGGACATCGGTTACATACCCCAGGTGAGCGCGCGGGTGGTCCCTACCCGGCTAGGAAGGCGGGGGCTCAGCTGTGGGGCTCCGTCACAGGAGCTCGGAGCCCGGCTGCAGGGAGAGCCTGGGCGGCCAGGAGCTCCAGGCCTGTCCGGGGTGCAGGACAGAGCTCCCGGCAGGCTGAGGCCAACTGTGCCCAGAGCAGGATTCTGGGAAACCACCTGTTTCCGCACACGGAACCCAACATCTGCCACGGTCCTCAGACAGCTTCGTGCAGTGGAAGGAGCCCTGGCTGGACACTGGCTCTGTCCCAGACCCACTGCATAGCCTTGACTGGGCCCTTCCCTTCCCTGGACCTCAGTTTCCCCACCTCTGCAATGAGTGGGGCGTCTCTAAGGGTCCCTCCAGGCCCCTTGAGGATTCTGTCCCATCTCTGAGACATCTCTCACTGACATCATCCCTCGCTGACCTCCGGCCTAGATGGAGCTGGAGGCCACAGGCCCCTCGATACCCTCCGTGATCCTGGATGAGGACGGCAACATGATTGACAGCCGCCTGCCCTCGGGGGAGCCCCTCCAGTTTGTGTTTGAGGAGATCAAGTGGCAGCAGGAGCTGAGCTGGGAGGAGGCCGCGAGGCGCCTGGAGGTGACCATGTACCCCTTCAAGAAGGTGAGGCCGGGCAGGGGTGAGGGCGGGCGTCGGTATTCGTGGGGCTGGGGCTGCAGCGTTGGGAGCAGCAGGGCGCTGGGCTCCATGTAGGGCTTGCTCCTGAGGCTCTCGTCCTGCAGGGCCCAGCAGTGCCAGGGGGGCCTCCCTTTGCCACTCAGAACTGGGGAGGCATCCCACATCCCAGCAACACCCCTTTACAGACATGCACTCATGCACACATTACACACTCAGCCCCTGAAGGGGACCCTGGTTGCACATGGTAGCTTCTCTCTGTCTCGACTTGGCCCCAGGTCACCTACCTGCCATTCACCGAGGCCTTCGACCAAGCCAAGGCCAAGAACAAGCTGGTGCACTCGATCCTGTTGTGGGGGGCCCTGGATGACCAGTCCTGCTGAGGTGAGGGAGACCTGGCCAGTCCAAGGGGAGGAGGGGGGACCTTCACACCTTGTGGGGTACAGGAGGCTCTAAGACCAATGGCCTCTCCTGTTGGAGCATGGGGCACTCGGGACTGCGCGGGGCAGGGGCTCGGGGGTCTCTGTGCCGAGCTCAGAGCAGGCTGCTGGATGCAGCAGAGAGAGCCCAGCTCAGCCATCTGGGCCTTAGAAACCGTGGCCAAGTGACTTCCCCTCCCGGAGCCTCAGCTCTCTCCACAGCAGAGGAGGGGAACACGCTCGCCTCCCAGAGTTGTAGGAAATGGATGTGTGAGGGCCTGTGCTCTGTAAAAGGCGGCACACGGGTGAGATAAAAGCAGAAGTTGTGCCAGAAGTGGGGCGTGCCTTCACACCATCAGAAATGCACTGAACACCTGCTGGATGCAAAACTCTTTGGGCGTCAGACAGACAGTGGGCACCGAGATGAGTAGGACAGTGAGCCTGTCCCCGTCCGATCGATCAGCAAGCACGCTGGGCCCCCTGTGCCCGCCACAGGCCGGGCGGGGGGAGTCTCGCAGCCGGGAAGGCAGAAGCGGCCCTTGTCCTGGGGGGCACAGTGTGGGTGGTGCAGAGGGCAGACGTCGGACGAGTAAGCGCGAGCATTGTGAGTGTGTGGTCCGGCGCAAGGCCCAGAGTGGCACGTGGGTGTGTAACTGGGGGTGTCAGGACAGGCTTCTTAGAGAAAGTGACATTTAAGTTGAGACTCTGAGGATGAGCAGGAGTTTGTCGAGCGACAGGAGGGAGAGTGTTTTAGAGGAAGAGCCGGCTGGGCAGAGGCCCTGGGACGGAGCCTCGTGGACTCGAGGCTGCAAGCCCCAGGATGCCGGCGCGTGACAGCTGCGGCTGGCTCAGCGCTGCTGACCCAGAGTCGCCTCCCACCGGCACACAGCCCGCTCTGTTGCCCGTGAGGGTTACTGCTGGTCGAAGGCCGGGGAGACACGTGGGCGCCTCACACTTCTGGCTGCATGTGTCCCTGAACAGGTTCCGGGCGGACTCTCCGGGAGACGGTCCTGGAAAGTTCGCCCATCCTCGCCCTCCTCAACGAGAGCTTCATCAGCACCTGGTCCCTGGTGAAGGAGCTGGAGGACCTGCAGGTGAGTGGAGGGGGGTGGGGACAGCCCCTTGGGGTCCCCGAGCACAGTGCCGGGGGCCACAGCGTCAGGAGTGTGCCCGACTGTCCCCGTAGAATGACCTGGAGAACCCGTCCCACAAGGAGCTGGCCGACCTGCACCTGGAGAAGTACAGCTTCCCAGTGGAGATGATGATCTGTCTGCCCAACGGCACCGTGGTAGGTCGCCCCTGCCCCCACCACCCGCACCCCACCCAGGGCCGGGCACTGTGGGTAGAGGAGGCAGCCAGCCACCGGCAGGGACTCACAGACCTCACCGGGTCTGGCTCCCCGCTTCCCGGCTGCCTCCGCCAGGCCGGGCCTCGGCCATCGCGTCTGTAAAAGAGGGATCTCGATGGCCAGTCTGCCTGCCTCACACAGGCATCAGGATGCTCCTCGGGGGAGGGGGACCTCAACAGCATTTGGGGACCAAGAAGCGACAGGCACAGTGTGGCAGTGTTCCAGAAAAGGCGACTCAGACGGCTTCGGGGTTTGCGAAGTGGAGTTTTATTCACGCATGCGGACCCAGAGGAGGCTGTCTCCGAATTCTGGGCCCCGAGCTCAGGCTGGGGCTTGCTTATGTTCTTGCTGCAAAGGCGTTAGCGGGAGCAGGGAGGGGCGCAGTCTCTGGCGGGAAGCGGGCTTACCGAAGCAGAATGCGGAGGTTAGAGCACGACCCTGAGATAACGGCCATCTGAGAATGGCCGCTGCTCAGGATGTCCTGTCACAGCAGTGGAGTGGAAAGAGGCTGGGCTGGAAGGGAAGGCTCACCTTGGACCACTGCGGACAGCCCTGGGGTGGAAGGAGGGACAAGCCGGCCTTGTGACAGGGAGAGAGGACCAGGGACCTCCCCTTTCCACCTCCCCCACCCCCCTGCCGCCCAGGCAAACTTCGAGGCCCTGCAGCTCCCTAAGGGCCCCTCGCACGCACTCACTCACGTCCTCCAGGCGGCTCTCACAGCGGCTCTGGGAGCTGGACGGCCACAAACACCCCTCGTGCAAACAAGGGAGCGGAGGCTGGAACGGCGCACGAGTAGGAAGTGTGGCTGCCTTTCAAAGCCGCCTGCCTGGGAGCCTGGTGTCTCCTGCTCTTCTTGACAGAGGGGGTGCGGGGGGCGGGCGCACAGGAGCTGGGGTGGGGACGGGGAAAGTGCGATGGAAGTCGGGGAGGTGTTGGGCGCAGTGCTCAGAGGGCCCTGAGTGGGCGGAGGCAGGAGCGGGGAGCAGCCTGGGCTGGTCCGGCTCTGGCAAGGGCTCTGCCCGTCGCCATCTGCCGCGGGGAGGACGCTTGAGGCCTGAGAGTGGCCACATCTCCCTCGAGAGGCGGAGCAGACAGAGCAGAGGGGCCTGCGCCTGGGTGCCCCGCCTCACCCAGTCCCTCTCCAAGGTCCACCACATCAACGCCAACTACTTCCTGGACATCACCTCCGCGAGGCCTGAGGACGTCGAGAACAGCGCCTTCAGCTTCTCGTCCACCTTCGAAGACCCGTCCACGGCCACCTACATGCGGTTCCTGCAGGAGGGCCTGCGGCGCGGCCTGCCGCTCCTCCAGCCCTAGAGCGGCGGCCCCACCGGGGCCCCGGGAGCCAGGCTGAGGGCAGAGCTGCAGAGAAAGGCCCCCAGCAACCACGGACAGGCCCCTTGGCCCCAGAGCCATAGTGGTCCTCACACATTTCAAATAGCGGGCATTCCCACCCCACCGCTCCCAGACTGCCTGTAAGGTCGGAGGTCAGCTGGGGTACTGTCCTAGCCCTGCACCTGTTACTGGGGAGGTGACGAGGAGGTGCGAGGGCTGACCGGCATGTGAACCTGAGGCTCCAGCTGCCAGCATCGGCCCTTCACTACCCACCCGGCTGCAGAAGCTGCTTGAGACGCCCTGACATGACGGCTGAGGCCGTTTCACTAGAGGTCACCCTCTCAGGCACATGGCCCAGGCCCTCGTGGGGTGAAGCATGGGGGGAAGTGAGTGCTAGGAAAGCAGGGTCACCCCTTTCTCCTTCCTTTCACCTCTCCCCGGAAGGAACACCCACCGAGAAGCCCTGGAGTGGTGGGAGGGGCGCAGGGGCCAGAGAGCGTCCTGTTTTTGTCTGGAGCCTTTTTCCCAGTGGCCGCAGCCCTTGCTGCCCTCCGGCCTCGCTGCCCTCCTATGTCTGGTGTGCCCCGGGGGGTCGGTCTCAGCGGGGACAGCCATCTGGAGGCTCTGGGCAGAACCCGTCCTTCTTCGGAAGGGAAAACCATTCGGTCCCCCAGAACTTGGCTCCCCAGACCAGTCTGTCCGACCTGATGACAGGACCCCCACACCGTTTGGGGACCCGCCAGAGGCCAGCTGTCTGGAAAAGTTTGCTGTGCAGCAGGCCGCTGCCCTTGGCCAGGGGCTCCATCGGGGAGGCCCTGAGGCCCAGGCCTGAGGCATCCCCGAGCCACCGCAGCACCGGGTCACAGCAGGGTGCTGGAGCCAGAGCCCTGGTCCTGCCTCCTGCCCTGAGACCTCGGCTCCACGGGAGCGCAGCCCAGCTGAGGGGCAGAGCCTCCCCAGAGCCGGCACCATCCCGGCGGCCAGGGCGGCCCCGACCAGCCTGTCCACTGCTGGGCGGCTGCTGACCCTCCTCGGCCCCTCTTAGGGTCTCGGTTCCTATCCCAAGCCACTGACCACGGCCAGTCTCTTTTTTATACACGCAGAGAAGTGTTTTTATGTGACCTTTCTCACAATTTGTAGGTATTTTTGATAACCCCAGTCCTAAGGAGAAGGACGGGGCAAAGGCTCCCTCCAGCAGCTGCCCCATGACGGCTGGGTCTGAAACCCTGGATGGACCCAGTTCGATGTCTTCGCAGTTGCTCCTGGGGACGAAACATGCCTCTCTCCCTTCTCTTCCGTTTTTTTTAAAAGCCAGCCCTCAAAGGGTCAGTGTGCCCTTGCTCTCCTCTCAGGCCCACAAGAGCCCCTAGGGCTTCTGTTAAGGCCCTGGGGCCAAGCCTGCTCCCCACCCCCACCCACAGGGGTCCTCTCTTCCGCCGGGAGGAGGAGGAAGGAAGGCAGACGTTTCCTCAGACGCATTCCCAGGCCTTCCATCGGCCGAGCGCCCCGCCCGCCGCTGGAGGGGCCACGCTGAGCTCTCTCCTTCTGAGGCATTTTGTTAACATTACATGTCTTTCCTCATTTCATCCCCACAACAAGCCCGTGAGGCGGATATTATCTGTTCCCGTTTTTCAGATGAAGAAACTGAGTCTCACCCTGGCTGGTGTGCCTCAAGGGATTGAACGTCGACCTGCAAACCAAAAGGTCTCCAGTTCGATTCCCAGTCAGGGCACATGCCTAGCTTACAGGCCAGGCCCCCAGCTGGGAGCGTGTGAGAGGCATCCAATCAGTGTATCCCTTACACATTGATGTTTCTCTCCTCCTCTTTCTCCTTCCTCCTCTCTAAATAAATAAATAAAATATTTTTTAAAAAAGAAAAGAAATTAAGTCTCAGGGAAATGCAGTGACTTGCCCAAGGTCACTCGTGGCAGAATTGAGATTCAGCCCGAGTCTGGACTGTGGCGTGTTTTGTTCTACGTGGCACCCCTGCCCCTCTCCCCTGCCTATTTTCACTGAGGTGAAAAAGAAGTCCTTTCAAGCCAAAATATTTCCTTCCCCTCTGATCTCCAGACCAAAGGAGGCACAGCCAGCAAACTCAGCCAAGTGCTTTACGTCCTGGGGGCGGCGTGCTTCCATGCCCTTCACAGGAGGCAGGGCCCCTAAACCTTTCCCGGTGCTTCCGAGTGTGGGTGGCAGTGGGCACTGATCGCCTGGGCTTTCTGCGTCCTCATCAGAGGCCTCTGTGTGACACCTGTGTGCCTTGCAGCTCATGGTGGGGGGCCTGCCCTCTTGTCACACCTCTGCCACTCCCCTCACCTGTCCCCAACATGTCCTATAATGAAACTGGAGAGACGAGGGTGGCTTCAAGTGCCTTTCCCTTAAGTGGGCTGTTCAGTTTCGCCCTTCTTGGTCTGACTCCTGAGTGGTATTGGCTTGCCAGATGGGCAAGAAGTGTGGCTGGAATGCCTTTGGGGACTATCTTATCTGTCACCAGGAGACTTGAGCAACTTTCTTAAAATAACTTTTTGAGGGGTGGGAGCAGGGAAGCCACAGGAGCTGTGGTCTCGACCAGGGCTTTGAAACCTCCCTAAGTTCTCTGGGCTTCCCTGGTTCTCATCTGGAAAATGGGGGGGAAGAAACTCAACCTTGAAACAGTTGCAGGAGTATAAAGACCTATAGCTGACTTCTGGCCAAGATGGAGGCATAGGTGGACACACCGTACCTCCACGCACAACCAAGATTGGAACAACAACAATTTAGAGGCAGAATAACATCCAGAACTGACAGAAAATTTATCTGAATGGAAGTCGGAGAGCCAAGAAGTTGAAATAGACCCATTCCTCCAGACCGGTAGGAGGGGCAGAGAGGAGCAGCCGGGCGTGGGGCACGGCGTGGAGAGCAGGGAGAGTTGGACGCATAAGGCTTGGTGGGGGGGGGGGGTGCGTAAGGCATCTGGGGTGTGCAAGATCACAGTGGGTGGACCCTGAGTATGCAAGCGGCAGCTGGCGGACCCATTGAGGCGGCAATTGTGGAGCAGGGCAGAGCGCGCAGCCCAGGATCCCAGGGAAGGGACTGAGGTCCCTCGGAGCACAGAGCCACCGCCATTGTTCCCTCTCGACCCTGCCCTCACATACAACGTCACAATCTAGCGACTGGGGTGCCCAGCCCAAGTGAACACCTAAGGCTCCGCCCCTCACCGTAACAGGAGAGACCAGACAAAAAACAAAAAACAAACAAACAAACAAAAAGACATGTTTCAAACAGAAGAACAAATCAATGCCCCAGGACTCATCCTTTTAAGCGACCAAGAGATAGCCAGCCTATCAGAGGCACAGTTCAAAACACTGGTGATCAGGAAGCTCACAGAATTGGTTGATTTTGGTCGAAAATTAGATGAATAAATGCAGGTTACAATAAAAGAAATGAAGGAAAATGCACAGGGAACCAATAGTGATGGGAAGGAAACTGGGACTCAAAACAATAGAGTGGACCGGAAAAAAGAAAGAAACAACCAAACAGGAAAGAATGGAGAAATAAGAATTCAAAAAAATGAGGAGAAGCTAGGAACCTCCAGGACATCTTTAAATGTTCCAACATCTGAATTACAGGGGTACCAGAAGGGGAAGAGGAAGAGCAGCAGATTGAAAACATATTTGAACAAATAATGAAGGAGAACTTCCCCATTCTGGGAAAGGAAATAGACTTTCAGGAAGTCCAGGAAGCTCAGAGAACCCCAAAGAAGTTGGACCCAAGAAGAAACACACCAAGGCACATCATAATTACATTAACCAAGGTAAAAATGAAGGAGAGAATCCTAGAAGCAGCAAGAGATAAGGGGACAGTAACCTACAAAGGAGTTCCCATCAGACTGTCAGCTGATTTCTCAAAAGACACCTTGCAGGCAAGAAGGGGCTGGAAAGAAGTATTCCAAGTCATGAAAGGCAAGGACCTATATCCAAGAGTGCTGTATTCAGCAAAGCTTTCATTTAGAATGGAAGGGCAGATAAATCGCTTCTCAGGTAAGGTCAAGTTAAAGGAGTTCATCATCACCAAGCCTTTATTTTATTAAATGTTAAAGGGATTTATCTAAGAAAAGATTTTTAAAAATGTACAGTAAAAGGACAGCAAACTCACAATTATTAACAACCACACCTAAAGCAAAACCAAAAGAAACTAAGCAAACAACTAGAACAGGAACAGAACCACAGAAATGGAGATCACATGGAGGGTTAGCAACAGGGGAGTAGGAAGAGGAGAGAGGGGGAAAAGGTACAGAGAATAAATAGCATAGATTGTAGGTTGAAAATAGATAGGGGGAGGGTAAGAATAGTATGAGAAATGTAGAAGCTAAAGAACTTATAAGTATGACACATGGACATGAACTAAAGGGGGGGATGTGGGTGGGAGAGGGTGTACAGGGTGGAGGGGAGTGAAGGGGGAGATGGGACAACTGTAATAGCATAATCAATAAAATATATTAATAATAATAATAATTTTTGATGGACTTAATAGTGGAACTTGATATATTTGGAGTCTGATGCTGTATTGATAGAATCAAACCCATCGTCTCAGAAGCACAACTGCAGACAGACATTAGGTGGTTTGTTTTTGAAGGAGTCCCCTTCAGGAAAAACACAGGAAGAAAGTGAAGCAGGAAGGAAGAATGCTGAACAGGGATAGAGTCAAAGCCTAGCCTCGGCCTGATCACAGGGAAACGGCTCTGGAGCATAAACCACACCACAGAGTTAAACCAGCCTTTTGGAACTTATATCAGCCAGCCATTGACAAGGAAGGTGGAGTAACTTCCCGGGTTGGGGCCTCCATTCCCCCTTCTGCAAGGGCAATTTTCCAGAAAACGGGGCAGCTGTGAGCAGCAGCCAACACAGCAGCTGGAGGATGGATTCACACTGGCAGAGTAAAGGGGATCCGGGTGAGGCTCCAAGACAGCATCCATCACATCCAGGAAAGATCTGCCATTGCCCGGGAAAGTGAACTGGATGATAAGCAACAGTTTGCCAGCCTGGAAAAAGAGCTGGACCTGGAAGTCAACATCCTTTGAAATATGGTGGGGCTCAGGGACCTCTAAGGTCTCAGGCCGAGATCAGCTACATAATGTGCAGGATCCAGTGCAAAATGAAAATTCATGGCCCCTTGGGATCTGCAGGATTTTAGACCAAAGAACTGCAACCCGGGAGCCACGCACAGCCACGTACTGCGGTCAGGAGGGCACGTGATTCAGGCCTGGATGCCATGGACACCGGGACGGGAGGGTTTGAGCACAAAGAGGGAGTGGGTGAGTGGCCTGGAAGGAATGTGGAAATGTGGGTGGTTCTCTTTCCCAATGCCTTTGGGATTTACCCTACCCATCTGGTCAAGTCACTGAAAATACTGTGTGTCTGTGTAACACATAAAGGCTAAAATAGGAGGAAGGTACAGAGCGCTGGACGGCAGGAGTCAGGGAAGAAGCCCATTTTTGCTGGAGAGAAGGCAGAGGGTCTTGGCCGGTAAGAACTGTGAAGGGGACCAGGGAGATATGCAAGGCAAGCTCTGCAGCCCTAGGATCTGGAACGCAAGGGTTCTCAAGTTTGCAGTTGGGATGGGGACCGTGGCCACCACACAATTTGGGGGCCGAACAGCGACATAGTCAGATCTCGTACTGCAAAGGTCAGATCGGGACTAAAAGCAGCAGAGACAGAGACCAGAGGGGTAACATCTCTGAGCTCCGTCAATCTTTATCTAGGGCTCTAACGGGAGGGGGCCTGGTCTCGGAAGGCAGTGTCCCCCCACCTCCAGTCTGCACGGTGCGGCGGCCCACCGCCCCGCCCGCTCAAAGGCAGAGCGCGCCCCGCCTGGAGCGGCCCGCTATCCGCGGGCGCGCGGGGGCGCGGCCGCTGCGCAGCTGCAGAGGATTGCTTCCGGAGGCCGACGAGCGGAAGTGAGGCCGGCCGAGGCTGGGCGGCCCGCTGTAGTGGGAGGGGCCGCGAGGTGAGTGAGTCCCGGAGCCGGAGTCCTAGGTGAGAGACTAGGACCGAGCGCCGCTGTGGAGGAGGGGGCGCGGCCTCGTAGGAGGAGCCGTGCGGGCCCGCGACTCCGGTTCTGGCTGTCGTTCTCGTGGGAGTTTCTGTTGTCCGCCTCGTTGGGCCGGGGGGAAACTGAGCCCCCAAGGGGTAATTGCTCAGCCGAGTCGCCCAGCTGCGGTGGCCGAGCTACACCGTAGGCTTCTCCTTTCGGCCGCGGTCCTCAGCGGGCTGGGCCGCCTCTGCCACCTCCTCGCTCCTTCTGGGGCCTGGCCCCGGGCCTGTGGGTCTAGGGACCGCCTGGCGGGCAGCGAGAACTTGGCCGACCTTGCCCCTGTCGGGTCAGGCCGTTGCGGGGGAGGGGAGGCGTGTCCCGGGCAAGGTCCCCGCACAGGCAACGGGCGCAGCTCTTGGCTCGGCAGAGTTCCGCTGAGCGGGGCGGCCCCCGAGGGCACCCTGGAGGGATGAGACCGGGCCCTGCCCTGCCCTGCCCGGCTCCCGCGGGAGACCGTGTGTAAACATGACAGCAGCCTCGAGAGGGGCTGTGGGAGCGCAGAGGTGGTGAGAACCGACCGGCGTTGGCACGGACGAGGCTCTTCTAGGCAGCACACTGTGTGAAGGTGGTGGGGAGGTGTGAGGGCTAAGTCGGCGCTCTCTGCTTTCCTTCATTCATTTTTTAATCGGACCAATGTTTGCATGCATGTTTACATGCTTACCGTGGGCCGGGCTGGCGCAGTGCTGTGCCTAGGGAAGTCCCTGCCCTGGGGACAAATGGCATCTTACACAGTTAATTATGGAGGAAAGGCGGGGTGCGGTGGCGTGAACAGCAAAGGACCTGACTCTCGGGTAACGGGAGGTGATGCTTGAGCTGAGCTCGGAAGCATGATTAAGAGTGAGCTTTGGGAAAGGGGTGCAGGTGTTTTGTTGTGGACAGGGCCTCAGAGGCGTGTTGAGGGGCTGGGAGATGGCCGGGGCTGCTGAAGGGCAAGCTGAAGGCAGGATGCGTGGCTGTGGAGTGCGCAGCGGCCCGGTTGCAGGCCTAGTGGGCTGTGCTGGGTTCGGTCTGCTGAGGTTGGGCCTGGTTGTGGAGGGCCTGTAGGAGTCTGGATCTGTAGGGGTTTTAAACATAGGAACAAGATGACTAGCATTGTGTTCTAGAAAGGTCCCTCTGGCTGTTGTGTGAGACTTGGGCCCAACTGAGTCTTTGGAAGTGAAGTTCGGAGAGGAAGTGACCGACGTGAGAAGCGGAGGGGAGCACTGTTTCCGGGGACTTGGGCCAGGTGCTGACGTTCGGCACAGAGCCTGGCGCTCGCAGGGACTTTGATCAAAGGCTTGGTCTGCGCCTAGACGTTGAGCCCATGTGGGAGGCAGCAGGATCTGGACCAGACTCGAGGTGCTTTCTACTGTCATGACCACTGAGTGACCTTAGATCAGTTCCTTCGTCTCTCCAGTCTCTCCAGCTTCCTTTCCTTGTGTGAGTGGTAACTTCCTTCCTTCCAATTTCCTTCCCCCGTAAAGTGAATGATCTCTCCTCTCCCAGGAGTGAGAGACTCTACAAGGAAGAGCTTCCAGAAAGCACTGGGTTGGTAGTCCAGCCCACCCCTGATCAGAGCCTTCCCCTGGCTTCCTAGCTACCCATGTTTTGCTGTGTATAATGCGCTCCCTTGGATTTGTGCACATTATACATGGATTATCCCCATTATTATACCCATGTATGATGCATTCTTTTTCTTCCCTCAAAAATTTGGGCAAAAAGTATACATTATACACAGCAAAATACGGTACCTCTCACCTGGGCGTGCCCAACCCTCATGACTTGACCCCCAGTTAATCTTCAGCCCTTGTACTCTGCTCCTCCAAGATGTCTCTCACCATCCTGTCCTGGGCACGCGCTATTGTTACTGCTTTTCTTCCTCCTCCCTCCAAACCACCACAGGACCTTGAGGCCGGGGGCTAAATTCACCTGACCACCTGCCTGGTGTGCCTTCCTGAAGATAATTATGTATTCTTGGCTAGAATTATATATTCAGGTGCTATCTCTTCTAGATTGTGAGTTCCTTCAGAGCGTGGCTGTGACCTCCTCTTTCATGGCCCCTGCAGTGCCTGGCACGAGGTGGGCAGCGTTAGCGTTTGATGAACCAGGGGATGAGTGGGCTCACTGATTGCATCTGCTCCCCAGGCAAGGGCAGCTGTGAAGGATCCAGTCAAGAGTGACCTCACCCATCTGTCACATTTTAACAGTTCGTTAAGCCCTTTAAAACTCCCTACTTCACTGATTGATCCTGAAGGTAGCCTACAGTGGCAGCTATTCTTGTTCTCTTTTTACAGGTGGAGAACCCACACTTGGAAAGGCTAAGTGACTTGCCTGTGGCTACAGAGCCAGTAGATGGCTGAGCCAGGACAAAAGCATTTGGCTCTTTTCCCTGTAGCCTAATAGACGAGACTGGCTAGAGCAGGCTGTCCATTCTTCTGTGGTCTGTTTCACCTCTCCCCCTGTCAGGGGCCCAGCAGTGCTGGGTGGCCCGTGCTGGGCTTTTATATCTCATCCTCAAGAAGGAATGCTGAAGCTCTGGCCAGGTAGCACAGTTGGTTAGAGCATCATCCTGATTCACCAAGGTTGCAGGTTCTATCCCCAGTCAGGGCACATAAAAGAATCAACCAATGAACGCATAAATAAGTAGAACAACAAATTGATGTTTCTCTCTCTAAAAACCAATAAATAAAAATTTTAAGAGAGTTAATGTTGGGCTTGGGTGGTACCTACAATTTGCCTTTCCCTTTAACTACCAAAGGGTTCTCTTTCAGCTTTAGAAGTTTGGCCTCGGGAAACTAGGGGCCCAGGAGGGGGTCCAGCACTGTCCAGGCTCATGCATAAGTCTGGAACAGAACCTTCAAGGGTCTGGATTTGGAAGAGCCATTGTTGGGTGAGGGCAGCTTCCTGAGCTGGTTTTCTCCCCTGTGAAATGTCAGAGAATCCTTGGTGTCAGTCATGGCTCTGCAGTGCCCGGTTTTGTGGGCTGGTGTGGTGACCCCTGAGTCGCCACTGTGAGGGTTGTTTCACAGGGAAGGAACTCTGATGTTCCTTAAGATGGCCTGATATGAAGGAATCACGCCTCCCGACTCCCCAAGCTGCCTCGTCCTTCAAGTGCAAGAGCTGGTTGAAATGTCGGGAATGGAAGCCAATGTGGTAAGGGGCCCTCGGAGGGCAGTGGTGTGGTGGGGAAGGCTGAGCATGGGGCCCGCTGAAGCTGAGACTCTTCAGTTAACCCTTCCTTTCCTCGGGAGGCCTGGAGCTGGAGGGAGGCCACCCTTCCACCCATTCTGCCAGGCAGAACCCACTGTGATCTTGGGGGCAGTTAAAGAGTCAGTGTTTTGTGCAGAGGGAAGGGAGGGAAGCCCAGATGATCCCCACACCAGCCAGTTTCTCAGCCCTTTACTGGATGGACCCTTCCAACGCTGACTGTGCCTTGGCAGCAGCAGGTATCGCTAAGGTGGCCTGCCAAGGGAAGGTTAACAACTGGGAAACCCACCCTCACTTATAAATGAGACTTGACTTACCCCCACAGGGTGCCCTCTCCCTGAGATTGAGGAACCCAGTCTACCTGGTCAAGGGGAGCAGGGGAGAGGATGGGGACCATTCTTGAACTCGTCTCTGAGGTTGTGGCTGTGGTTCTCTCTGCTCTAGACTATCCCAATCTGGCAAAACAAACCGCACGGGGCTGCTCGCAGTGTAGTAAGAAGAATCGGGACCAACCTGCCCCTGAAGCCATGTCCCCGGGCATCCTTTCAGGTGAGTGCGCTGGGAGAGCAGCGAGACTAGAGACTCAGAGAGTACGGAAGGATGGTGCTGCTCCACGCCCGACTCCTTGGCATTGCCAAGGCAGGTTGATTTCCTGGTCATTTTTTTTGTTTCATTTTGTAAGTGCTTACAATGAATGGGTCCTGGTCACCGTGTCTCCCTGATTGCATACAAACCTGTCACAAGTCAGGTTTCCAGTTTGCTCATAAATTCACAGTCTTCCCTGTTTGATGCCTCTGCTGAGTGACTCAGATTTCGTCAGGCTCTCGCGGTCCGGTTTCTGAGAGTGGGCTGCGGGCCCTTGCTGAACCGCATCCCCAGACTAGCCAGGTCTGTGCCGTGAGGTGTTTGCCTACAGCCCTGGCTGGTCCCCACATGGGACACTGCGTGCTGTGTGTGACTCAGAGCTGAACTGTGCTTCCCTTTACTAGCCCTAGGACCGGCCACTTAGTCACCTATGTTTAGTTTCCCTGAGGCCCGGGCTACTTGGGTCTCACCTCTGTCTACAGGGCCTTTAGCACTCACTCTGCAGTAGTGATTCTTCCCTGGCCGGTGTCTCTAAGACCCCTTCTGCAAAGGAAAATCAAGTAGTATTTATTAGTCCCAGCTGCCTTCTGCAAAGAACTAATGGTTAAACACCAGCCTGGGGCTACATGCTTAAGGTACGTGTCTGGGGAGCCGGGACATAGAACACTTCAGCTTCTTGCCTACACAGGGAAGGCAGAAATATATGCCCAAAAAGGTGTGCATCCGGGTGGCTATAGAAACAGAGATGAATTTGCATATTAGATGTTGACCTGCGAAATCTGTGTAGGAGCTGGATCTGGAGTCAGAAGTGGTGTCAGGGCTGGTATTAGAGTCAGGAATGGGGTTGGAAATGCATGTGTGTGTTGGGAAGTGGAGGGGAAGCTGTCCTGTGACCCAGACTTGCCTAAAGGGCATGCACAGGTTGTGTCTCTAGCTGCCTTAAGCATCAGAAACAAGGGGAAGCACAACTACGGAGTATGGGGGACCTTGGAAGTTGCTCCCACACTTAGTTACAGTCTCTCTAGTCCTTTGGCCAGATGCTGCTGGGCAGAGCTAATCAAGGGCACCAAAGCTAGTCATACTCCCACAGAGGAGGAGTATGTGTGAACACAGGCACACCTCAGAGATACTGTAGGTTTGGTTCCAGACCGCCACAATGACGGAAGTATCACACTAAAGCGAGTTGTAATCTTTTTTACTCATGGAGGGTCTTGCCTTCAGTTTGTAAAAATGCAACATCTGTGAAGTGCAGTAAAGCATAGTATATGCTCAGTAAACTCATTTAATTGCCAGTAGCAGAGCAGTGCTCTAACTTCCCTAAGCGGCCCGTCCTCGCAGTAGCTCCTGGCTCAGTGGACGACCCCTTCACTCCTGTGAGACCCAGGTTCCCTGTCTGAAAGCGAGAGCCATCAACCCCTGATCCACCTCCCAAACAGTCCATAGCAGGAACATCTGAATTTAACTCATGTATAGGGGTTTTTTGAGAAATTACAGGTATCCCTGAATTTGTTGTAAATTACCTTAAATATTATTTAAGGGACGCTTGATTTATTTTTTAATCTACCCATATAAAATATTAAATTATGGAAAATGAAAGGAGAAAGGAAAATCAATGACCTATAATCATGTACTCATGACACAGTAACTTTTAATGTTTTGGTGTAGGTCTTTCTCTATGTGTATTTGCTTTTTGCATTCCCACTCAAAATATAATTGAATCCTCCTAATTTTTCCTTTAATTTTTAACATAGTATCACTCAGCATCTCTGAACCCTGGATGTTGTTCATTTGGGTTGAGGGGTTATTTTAAAGAATCTTACTCTATTCCTTTTGTATAATTAATCATGTATATTTGTTTAAATATTCAAATTAGCAAGTTGGCTTAAAACAGTATTGCTGTTAATAGAGTAAATCCCAGTCAGCTACAAAGGTATTGAAAAGAGGTAGCCAGAGGAAACTTCCTGTTGATATCACAGATTATCGATGTCCACGTACCTATATTCCCACCACCTGCGGCTCACAGACGTAGTCACCTCCGCTACAAGGTAGCTCTGGCCCATCCCACTAAAGACCCCTTTTTCTTTAAAAGTTCAGATAATAAACATTTAGGCTGTGGGTGGTAACAGTGTTACAACTACTCATTTTGCAGTTAACAGCTTAAAAGTCACCACAAACAACATATAATAAACAAATTGGTGCAGTTATTTTTCAAATAAAACTTTATTAAAACAGGCCCCATCCCTCCTCTAGAGCACCCTGTTTTTGCTTGGAGTAAACAGGAGACTCGTAACTGGACTGTTTGTTCACCCTCCATCTATGCTCCCATCTGTTTCAGCAGCAGAGTGATCTTTTATTTGTAAAAATATTTACTTAATTTTATTTAATTATTTATTATTTCTTTATTTATTTCTAGAGAGGGGAGAAGGGAGGGGGAACACCAGTGTGTGAGAAAAACATCAGTTGCCTCTCACACACCCCCAGCTGGGGGCCTGGCCCACAAACCAGACATGTGCCCTGACTAGGAATTAAACTGGCGACCTTTCCTTTCAAAAGTTGACGCCCAACCCACTGACCCACACCAGTCAGGGCCAGAGTAATCTTTTAAAATCTAAAGTCTAATTCTTACATAAAACCTTCTAGTGGCTTGCTACTGCCTTAGAATCAAAGCTCCTGATTGACTTTTCAACCTCTTGCAACTCCCCTCACCGCCCCTCCTTCTCTATTCCAGCCATGCTGAACTGTTTGTAATCCCACAAAATCTCTTGCTTCTGGCCTCTTATTCAAGCTGTTTCCAACCTAGAACTCCCCTCTCCCCCCTCTAGGAAGCCTTCCTGACACCCAGTGCTAGATTAGGTGCCCCTCCTCTGTATTTTGCCCAGTCTGATTATCTCATCATGATGCACTTGTTGATGAATTTTGCTTCCCTACAGACCTTGCCCAACGTCTCTGATCTGTGTCTGAGGGACGTGCCCCCAGTCCCGACTCTGGCTGACATCGCCTGGATCGCTGCAGATGAAGAGGAGACATATGCCCGGGTCAGGTAGCTGAGGAGCTTCTTCCCAGATGAGGTGGCCGGCAGCAGGGGTAGTGCTTGTGAGAGGCTGAGGGCAATGGCAGGGAGATCGGTGGGCTCTGAGTGGCTGTTAATCTTGTAGTGGGTGAAGGAATTTAGAAGGGGTGCCGCAGCCAGCTGACTCTAATATTACCTGTCTTTCCCTGGTCCAGGAGTGATACACGCCCCCTGAGGCATACCTGGAAACCCAGCCCTCTGATTGTCATGCAGCGCAATGCCTCCGTGCCCAACCTGCGTGGGTCTGAGGAGAGGCTCCTGGCCTTGAAGAAGCCAGCCCTGCCAGCCCTAAGCCGCACCACAGAGCTGCAGGATGAGCTGAGCCACCTGCGAAGCCAGATCGCTAAAATAGTGGCAGCTGATGCAGGTAGGTGCCCCTAAGTCAGGGCCAGAATATAGCAGGCTGCTCCTCCCCCCTGGCCTTTGGACAGAATAGTGGTAAAGAAAATGGTCCTTGGTTCAGGGGGACTTGGGCCCAGGGCTTTGGGGTTGCTCTGAGACCTGATTAGCCTGTAGTACTTCTTGGATGGTTTCTGTCCATTATTTTGAGCTGACAGAAACCAACACCCTTTGCCAAGTGTCTTTAAGATCACGTCTTCCATCAGCCCTCAGCAGCTTCCCTTTGTGATATAAGAAATAAGCATCCCCATTAAGCACCTGTCTTCCTCTCCCTTGTCCTGTCCACCAGAGACTGGGAATGGATGGGAGTCTGCCTTCACCAGTGGCGTGGACTACCAACAGGTGTAATCTCCCAAGAAGTTCAGGGTTTATTTGTCCTCGTGTTCTTTTTTTGCTCCTAGTGGAACTCAGCTTCCAAACCTTATCAGTTGGTAGAACACATGACAATTGTGGTGTTCTCTTTGACATCTTCATGTATTTAATTCCCTCGTATGCCAGTTTTATAAAGGAATTCACTTGAATTTTCCATTTGTATTTATTGGCTACTTTTTGGTCATCTGCAAGACAAGCTAATGTAGTAATGTGTGAAAAACCAGAGGGATTCTTAGAAACTTAGAAGCAATTCTATTAAAATTTGGGAAACTGGGGCCGTCACCATTCTGTTTTCTGCTGCAGAATGCTTCTTCCATCCAGAGTATTCAAAGGAAGGTAGTCAGAAGCACTAGCCCAACTAGAGAAAAGGACAAATTCAGGCCTTGGTGCTGTCATTGTTGTTCCAGCCTAAACAGGGTTGTTTCTCCATAGCTCACTGTGGAATGGAAGCTTTTAGGAGCCAAGGCCTTTGTTTGGGGGGCAGGGTCGGGGGAGAGGGGGTGTTCTACTCCCCTGGAACACTGACAAACCCAGTGCTTCTACATCTTCTTGAAGTCCTGAAAGGGAAGGGTGGTGGGGGAACCTTCCACTGGCTTACAGATTCCGTCCTGGGCTCTTCCAGGATGTCATGGTGTCAGCCCAGGAAATGAGTGTTTGGTAGGCAGTGCTTATGAGAAGATACTGCTGCTGTATTCTAGCCCCAATGTCCATCCATGACTATTGTTTTCTCTTTCAGCTTCAGCTTCGACTTCATTAACGCCAGATTTCTTATCTCCAGGAAGTTCAAATGTCTCTTCTCCCTTACCTTGTTTTGGATCCTCATTCCACTCTACAACTTCCTTTGTCATTAGTGACATCACCGAGGAGACCGAGGTAGAGGTCCCCGAGCTTCCATCAGTCCCCCTGCTTTGTTCTGCCAGCCTTGAATGTTGCAAACAAGAACACAAAGCTACCTGCAGCTCGTCTGAAGAGGATGACTGCGTCTCTCTGTCCAAGGCCAGCAGCTTTGCAGATATGATGGGAATCCTGAAGGACTTTCACCGGATGAAACAGAGCCAAGATCTGTAAGTACTTGATAAGGAGCTCTGGGGAGTTACTATTTAAGTCACTGGTAGCCAGTGATCTAATAGGCGGTACTTACATAACAAGTCCTCAGTAGTGGCCACGTGTTACCCCAGTTTGAGGAAAGAGGAACACTTCAGATTTGGTTGAAGTGATCTAACCCAACCAAATGTTAGACTAATAGGAATTTCACAAGGTTCATCTAATCCTACTTCTGTCCCCCAGGGGTTTTACGACTTCCATTCTCATACTGCTAGTGAGTGTCCCTCATGCCCCACCCTTCAAAGTAGGGTTGCATAATTAGTATCTCAAATTAGTAGACATTTTTTTGTGGAAGAAGAACTGCATAAAGCTGGGAGTTCCTACGTTCAAATACAGTGGTCCATTGTGCAAACTAACCCTGCAACTTCAGAGATTTGAGAACAAGGCTTTTTTTTTTTAGATATAGGAAGTTCCTAAACCTGGCTGCCAATCAGAATTGCTCATCTTTGTTCAAATACACCCCACACTTACTAAGCCCGACCCATGAGGAGTAGAGCTCTAGCTGTTTGTGGGAATGTGAGGGAGTTTGGGAAATACCTACACTTGAGCAGCTCATCTAGCAAGGAAGCCCTAGTGCTCCAGCTGGAGGCAGCAACCACCTCACAGTGTTTCCATGTGTGGTCTGAGCACCTGCATGGACACCAGAGGAGTTTGTCTGCAGGTTCCTAGACATTGAAATTTGGAAGGTTGCCATCCAGACTCGAAAGGCCAGAGGCCAGAATGTGCAGCTGTATTTGTTAATATAGATTAAAAGCTCTTGGGGGTGGGGAAGGAAGCTCTTGTGGGAGGTGAGGGCCCTCTCCTGAGTTGATGAAGGGCCTATTGAAGGGAAGGGCCTATTGTGCAGGGGCCCATTTACCTTTGAAAACAAGATAAAGCTAAGTGCTCCCTCATTGCTTCCTAGTAGTCAATCCTTTGCAGAAGTCACTTTCACATTCCTTCTCCAGCTGAAGCCAGGTTGGACTAAGTCATACCCACAGTTCTTTGGTCTCCTGCATTCCCAAATTCAGCTGCTGCTTTGGGGCTGCCTTGAGTCTTTCTCTTCTGGTGTTTCATAGATTGACTTTCAAATTTTCTTTTACTTTCCTCTTGCCCTGTATTAGACCCAAGCCCCTCCTCCCACTTGTGTCCTGGGGTCTTTTGTCCCTGGTTAATAAGTGGAGATGGGTTAATGACTAAGGATGGGAAGGTAGCCCCACCAACAAAGGGGCACAAAAATGTGCCAAGACTGAAGGCAATTACTTGTTTTTGCTTTCACGGTTTAATAGTCAACTTTGACCTTTATGAATAACCTAAGGACTATTAAAACACCTTCATGAGGATGTGTATATATGCATATAAGTCCACTAGGATTTCAAGCAACTATTTCCCAGATGTCTAGGACATTGTTGTATATCAGATAATTTGAACCTACCCCAGTCTGGAGTTGGTTTTGTTCCCACAGGTCCCTTATGATGTGAACATTTTACTACAAATTCTAGATCTCGTTTTAAAAAATCTCACAGCCCTCTTGTTGGGGAAACACAATAGTAGGTAATCTTCAGAAAACCTTTTCCGTGGAACTAATAAAGGTTAGAATGGCCAAGAGTTATCAGTCACTTCCGACCAAAGGTAGGAGCAGAAGCTTAGCCACCACCGGCTGATTCTAACTGGTTTGATTGTTCTTTACTTTGCCTACACTTTACAGCCATCTCAGGAAATAGTAAAGCATTCTAGTTAAGAAATGAGGTCTACAACTAGCTAGCTTGGTTCTGGACCCTGGATTCACTATTTACTAAGTAGCTTTGGGAAAATCAGATAACCTCTCTGTGCTTCAGTTCTCTCATTTGTAAAAGAGGGTTGTAACACTACCTGCCTCAGATGATTGTTGTGAGAATTAAATGAGATCGTATTCAAAGACAGGGAACACTCCCCAGGACACAGTAAGTACTCAATAAATTATTATTGTGTCTCTAGGAACCGGAGTTTATTGAAGGAGGAGGACCCTGCCGTCCTTATCTCTGAGGTTCTAAGGAGGAAGTTTGCTCTGAAGGAAGAAGATATCAATAGAAAAGGAAACTGATAACACTCAGCTCTGCAAACTCAGTTTTGTGCTCCTGGAATCCTCAATAGCTGCCTTCTTCACTGCAGATGTTTCTGCCTCTCCATTAGAAGTTTTCTGCAACAGTCTTGCCAAAAACTAGAACTTGGACTGAAAGAGCTGGATTGTTTCCCATACTTCAAACCTTAGCAGAAGCTAAGGCCTGTTTTGAGCTGAGACACCTGTTACAGGTAAATGTGTAAGTTGGAATGTTTCAATCTAAAGGCTGAGCCAGCGTTTCTGGGTTTTCCTCACCCCTGTGTGAAAATAGGTCCTGAATGACTGACTTCACTGCATTAGACCCCATAACTGGTCTCACTGGACACTGCACCCAGCTGTCACTTTCAGGAGCTTCCTTGCAGCAAGCCAAGGGAGCTCTAAATGTTTATGTACATGTTCACAGGGCAGAAAAAATCTTACGCTGCTCCATCATATACTGGCACCAATGCCCAGCAGTCACCCTCTCCCCTGTCCAACACCCAGAAGTAGAGGTCTGGCCTCTGAACCAGCTGATGTTTGGGCTGCTTCTGGGAGGCCTGGGCTGTTTTTTTCTTAAATATATTTTGTAATACTGTACAACCAAATCTACCCTCCAAGGCCCTGGGGCCTCATTGGTTCCACTGACTGAGCTCTTGCTCTTCCGTGGACTTTAGTTTAAGCCCAGCAGAAAAGAGAAATGGGGAGGGGGAGGAGAATACCATCTTTCTTGCAGGCCCTGACTTCTCCTTTGCATTGGGACAAGGTTTGTACCCACACCATGCATGACCCAGACACCCTCAGGTCCCTTTCTCTACGATATGTATTGTGTGTGTTCGGGTTGAAGCACTACCTGACATTAAAGGAAGGATTTGCAGAGATACTGCATCTGCTGTGTCCATTTCTGAGTTATCCCCCGGTGTCCCCCGCAGGTATAGGGTTCCTGTTGATTTTATAGTATGTGTACTTTCATTAACAGGACCCTGGCTTTGTCCCTTTCTGTGGAGGTTTTGTCCTAAGCTCTCAAAGCAGTTCCATCTTAAAACTTGCAAGCTTGCCCCCTAGGAGCCTCTTCGGTTCCACACCCGAATCACAGGGAACTGCTACCTGCTGGGTAAGATCTTGGGTAGAACACAAGTCAAGTTACATTCCTTTGAGTTTGGACCCACAGCAATGACAGCACAGAACATTAAAAAGTTCCTTTTTCAAAAATAAAATTGGTAATGTTTTAATTACCATCAGAGCCAGCTTTGTAAACAGTCATTTATTTGGACTCAGTTTTACAAAGGGAGTTCTCTCCCACTTTATAGTAGAAGAGTGATGTAGTCACATCTACATTGTTATCTAGCCCAAGCTTTTTAAGGGAGATGTTTAAACAGAACATATAACTTTTAAATGCTGTAAAGTTATCACAAAAATAAAATTAAAAATTACGCTGTCATCATGCTACCCTCTACCTATCTCTCTATCCCCCTGCCCCTGTACACCCAGGTCAGGGAGCTGTGACTTGCCACTCAAAGTGTCAGGAAGAATGGTCCCAAGCTTAGGTCCAGTAAGTATGATTACAGCCAGAGGCTAAAAGTAGACACGTCTGTCTGTAAGAGGCGATGTCTCAGTGAAGCATCTGAAAGGGCAGAACGGTGGCTGGCTGCAGGCTGTGTAACAGGCTCTGTGGTGGAGAGATGAGGCCCTGCCCCGCCTCCCTGGTGCTCACCACAGCTTTGTGCAGAGGATTTACCGACCACCCCTAATTTAGGAAAAGGCATGATGCCAACCATATTGTCTCGGGTGTCATGTCACCACCTGCTTTATTTACACAAAGAAAAAGCTCAATAACAGCTTCAACACACACTTCCCCCTTACCAAAACACAGACATACTCCCAAAACCCCTCCTGAAAATATTTTTAAAAGCAAACCCTGAAAGACATTTAAACTCGGTGCCTGATAACTTGATTGCCCTCAGAGTCCTGGGTAAAGAGCAAATCAGGCTGCAGACTTAGCTGAGCGGGCCTGGCCTGGCACTGAGCCCCAGAGCTGCGAGGAAAGTGCCCTAAGCCCTGGTTCTGGCTGTTGGTTATCTCTCGGAAAGGAGCTCTCGAGTTGTGGGCGATGACCCGCTGGCCCTGAGAATCCTCAGTGAAAAGCTGACTCCAGGAGTCCCTGTCATTCTTTTCACTGTCCCAGGAAAACACAGGAACAGGATAAGAACTTCGTTTCACTGCTTCTGCCTCTTCTCCACTCCAGGAATCCCTATATGTTTGAACGAGGACAGGAGCCTGCCTATTTTCTTGGGCAGACACCTTTAGCAATTCAGACTTGTCCCAGGGCTGATGGCCCTTGCCCCAAGGGGGTTCACTGCATCTCTCCGTACCCTGACAGTTCTTTTTCTTAGATCCACGAAGCCATTCCCTTTTCCAGGAAGAATCCTTCTCTCCCTCCTTCTGGTCCAGCAAGTAACATTCCAAGTCCGGGGTGAAGGAACAAGCCAGTGAGTCTTGCTTCTCTCCAGCACAGACTAAGGTATCAGGCTGGAACAAAGACTCAGTCAAGACTGGCGCTCCCATTCTGTGTTGACCAGAAGCCTGGAGGGACTGAGGAGAAAGTCCAGCTTCCTGGATGTCTGCAGGGGTTGAAGTGGCTAAAGGGGGTGCCATGCAATCACCCCCCAGGCCCTGGATCGGATGGTCTAGCTGGGTTGCATCTTTCTTACACTGTCTGCTGGTCTGACTTTCTACATGAGATGAAACATTCCTCTCATCACCACCATTTGTCTTTCCTAGTAAAACAGACATGAATAAATATTATTTTGCAGGAAAACTGTTCCCTGAGCAGAATTTAGCTGGCTCTTTCTGAAACCATTATCAGCTACTATCACTACCTAGTGCAGGGGTTTTAGGCTCTTTACATACTTTTTGTAGCTGAGCTTCCTGCTTTCAGTCTCTCTGTTCTCACCTGAATGATCTTCTAAAACACAGATCTTATATATTCCCCTACTCCAATATAGGGATGGTTCCCACGACCTACCTAATAAAGTCAAACATGACATATAATCAGACCACAGCCTACTTTTCCAGCTGAGTTTTCGTATGTGGGATTTGTGTAACAAGAGGGCACATCAATTTTGCTTTTGTCTTTCATTTAATTTGCTTTCTGCTAGTGACCCTCGCCAAATATTACTGCGGGATTTATCCTTTGAGAAACATGCTCAATACACTGTTTTTGTAAGCCCTCAAGGATATTAACCATTCTAACTCTAAGAAACCTTCTGGTGACAGTGTGAAGAACACAGGTTTCCCACTCCCCAACATTTCATGGTAAAGAGTAAAGACAGATGCTAAATCAAGCAGCAGGAAGGGCAATAATAAACAACTGCTAGTGTCCGGCCTACCAGTTTTACAAGGTGTGGAACGTACCCTGTTCTGCCTTAAGGACTAATGCTATGGAATTCACCCCCAACGAAATTATACAAAGACCTGATTATAAACAAAACTGAATTACCAATTTCTTCTCCTCTAAGAATTACACTGCAGAAACTATGCTTTGTGAGAGTTCTCAGTTTTGCCTAAGAATTCTATATAGACTGTAGAACAGACCAGAATTTGAAATTTGTAAAATGTTTTTGTAAAAAGTCTGTCCTTGTTAAAGCAAAAAGGGTTTTTTGTTTGGGTAGAGAGAGTGCATTTTGGAGGTTTATGCAAAGAAATGCTGGGAATCACACGAGAGTGAGAGCTCTCCTTCCAGCACCCTCCTACTAGCAGGAACCTTGCTCTGTGAGCCCCAGCCTGCTCTCAGTCAGCTGGTCCCCTGGAGTGGGGCAGGAAAACAAAGAACTGTCCAAGGACGATGAGACCCAAGCCAGCTTTAATGCCAACCTTTCTAAGAAAAAAGGCATCGATGAACCTCAAATAATTTGAGAAGCTTTATATAAAAATATCAATTAATCTTATACAGACTCCTCATTGTGACCAATCCAAGACACACACCTAACTGAAGGTGAGCTCCCATGTATACCCTCAACTCCCCAGTATACCTTTCCTTGCTGTGCTGACAGGGAATATGAATATTTAATACTAGACTGAGCAAAACAGAACCAGAAAAGTATGTTTGTAAAAGCATGTATATATTGCTTTTCAAGGTGATAACTTTCACAGACAAATCTTATATTGATTTTCATGACGATTTCTTATGTTTTATAACTTCTAATAGATAAGCTATTTTAACACAATGCCCTGGTGTCACCACCTATAAACGTTCGTTCTAGCATGAAAAAAGCGCACTCTTTTTTACTTTCTGGGCGCTCCCAGACAGGTCGTCATACCTGGCTGCAAGGCGAAGAAGGAGGCAATGCTGGTCTGCCGAACACCTGCAGACGGAGTTCTCTGAGTAAACGAGATCTTAGCCCTTCTCTCTCCAGGGAAGAGCGTTAGCATTTTGGTGCTTGACTTGATTAAATGTGTCTGAAAATGGAGAGAAAAAAGAATAGAACTTATTAATATCAAAACAGCAGCCAGACAGGAGAAATTCAATCAACATCAGTGACCGCCCCCGCAGTGGACCCTTTGGGATCCACTCAGATCCTACTTCTTAGGTACTTTTTGCTGTACATCATCTTCCACCATTTCCTGCCATATCGATGATGTGTTTTTCTCAGGAATCACACATTCCAACTACAGCCCTGTCTTTCTTCTTCCTCGTGGAAAACAGATTCCAAGGAGGAATTTACAGTTAAAGACAGTGAGTCTCCATAAGCAGCAGTTGATGCATTTCAATAGTTTCAGCGTCAGTCTTAAATACACTTTCATTTCAGGCCCCTGTATGTTGTACTTTACAGTATGAATTAGAAGACAGTCCAGAGAGGTTTTGGAAGTGTCAGCTTTTATAACCCTTATTTAGTGAGATCTGTTTTTGTTTCTATTTGCTTGTTATGAAATGCCTGAGAAGTAGGGAGAATAGGGTTGTATTCAATTCAGTCTGTCTGTAAAAGTCAAAGAAAAAATGAGGCTTGCCAATATTCATGCAAGTTAGAAACAGGTGTGAAACCTGGACCGAAATTACTAATCCCAGCCCAAAGCTAACTCTATTTCATTTTTCCATTTGGAAACCAAAAATTTAAGTGGTTAAAAGAAGAAAGAAATCCAGGACTTAAAATTCATACTTTGACTTCTAATACTGGTACAGAGCTCTCCCTTCTAACATACAAATCTAGAAAACTGGGTAAATTACATGAAACAACTGATTACAGACAGTGGATTAACACTGCAGGACGGTGATTCCTGGAAAGAATTTCTGAGAAGTAAAACAAAGGGGGTCCTGTGATCACTAGCTTTCTGCTTGGAAGTACTTTCCAGGCTGCAATGTAGAGTACCAGGCAGAGCGCTGCAGTCTTGATGAATGGAGTAAATTGAGATCAGAATTTGAGGAAGCTGAGGTGGCTGGGATTTGCAGCACAGAGAAATATATCCAGAAATCTACAAAGAGATCCCCCCCTTCAGTCTATTATGAATACTGACCTACGCATGTGTTAGGTGATACCCCATGGGGCCGGACAAAGAAATGCCAGGATGTGCCCTAGCTGGTGTGGCTCAGTGGATTGAGTGCCGGCCTATGAACCAAAGGGCTGCGGGTTCCATTCCTGATCAGGGCACATGCCTGGATTACGGGCCAGGTCCCCAGTAGGGGGCATGCAAGGCAACCACACATTGATGTTTCTCTACCTCTTCCTCCCTTCCCCCCTCTCTAAAAATAAATAAATAAAATCTTTAAAAGAAAGAAATGCCAGGATTGTAAACTAAATAATCCCATCAAGTCACACAAGGCTGGCTTGCAGCCAGAGAGGAGAGACCTCCTTGAATATCAGCGATGTTCAGGAGAGTTCTCAGAAGGGTCACCCCTTAGCCTTAAAGCTAACCTAGCCCTAGAGCAAAAGCAATTCCAAACTTGTCTTAACAAAACTTAAAAGCATTTAAAGTAGCAAGCTGATTAGGAAGTAACTACCTACCTTAACAAATTTCAGTATTCTTTAAAGACAACAAAATCCAGATCCTAAAAACGTAGCACTGAAGATGCTAGCATACAATAAAAATTACTAGATATGGGAAGAAGAAGGAAAAGATCCACAGTTCGGGGGTAATGGGAATCGAAAGAAGCAGACTCAGAAATATCAGGGATGAAAGAATTAGCAGACCTTAATTACTATAAATATACTCAAGGATTTAAAGGAAAATATGAAAATAAGAGAAATAAAAGATATGACAAATTCACAAGATGGGTTTAATTAACAAATTAGAGACTACATAAGAAAATAACAGTCGATCTGAAGGTAATAATATAAACTATTAAAAATGAAGCAAAAAGAGAAAAATTGAAAAGAATAAAAGTTTCAATGATCTGTAGGCTATCAAGCATTCCTAGAATTCCAAAATCAAGGCAGATGAGGACAAAATATATTTGAAGAAATTATGGCAAAAATTTTCCAAATTTGACAAAAACTACAAACTTCAAAGGACTCTCTTTGTCAAAGATGGCCAATACAGGATCTTTCATTTCTCATGCTCTTCTTATGTGAGCTTGCCACTCCTCTCATCAAGTAGTGAGAACCATACTCCCTTACCCTGAACTTGAGAAGAACTCTCTCACTGCCTGACAAAGTATGATACAGAACTAACATACATGATTTCCCAGACTAAGTCATAAAAATGCTCTGCACTTCTGCCTTGCTTTCTTCAGATGCTCACTATTGGAACCTGGCTGCCATGCTACAAGGAAGCCCGAGCAAATACTAAATTTTATGAGATCCTCATTCTAGATAGGTGAAATAATGTGAGTTACTATTCCAACAAGTATTTGAGCACCTTATATGCTAAAAATGGGAATACAGTGATGAATAAAACAGACTGTTTCTGCCCTTGTAAAGCTTATAGCTTAAGGGAAAAAACTAGTAATAGTTATTTAAATTGCTACAAGTATGCTAAATCCCATAAAGATGACTTAAAGAAAACTCCAGATTATCAAATGATAAGCAGTAAGACCTTAGTTAGCAAAACATCCAGGAATAAAGCTTGGCTTTCCAAGTTGACCGTACTCAGGAGGAATAAAAGGGATGCTCATTCCTTAGCTCAGAGTGATGTCATGAGTGGTATTGCCCCAGCTGTAGCCCTCTTAGAAGACCCATGGCTTCGAGGATCTACACTTATCTCAGTGGAATGTTAAGGCTAAGATCAGGTCACGAGGAACTGAGAAGGGCCCAGGCACAAAGTCCTTCAGCAGATTACCCCTACCTCAAAGTACAGGCAGCCCCAGTGTGTACAGAACACAGCATGAGAAAGCCTAACAGGCATAGGACTCCTATAGGACCAAATCCCTTAGTGAGCCACAGCCTAGGTATTAACTCTTCTTGCCCTACAAGAACGCCCTAACCAACCTAATCTTAAGAAACATAGTCCCTCCAAATCAGAGAATCTCTAGTTCTTTGGTATATCACATTCATGGCCCCATCAAGTTTTCTTCTTTCAGAGTGGTAGGAGGAAAAACTGACTTCCTACAACTATGTATTCCTACAAAGAGTGATGCCTTTTTTGGGAGGTGGGAGGGCTGCAAATCATCCCAAAAGTGTGACCCTTATACTCCACAAAGTATCAAAGCAGATCTGAGATCATAAACTTCACCCCTTTTACTATTAGAAAATGGTTTCATTCTTCCACAGCACTTAAATTCAGTTGAGCCCGCATTCTCTTTATCTTTTCTGATCATTTACCTGTAAACTTGCCTTAAAGTTCTGCTTTCAAACCAATTCAATTCCTTGTTTAATGATTCATGTGGCCTTCAATACAAGTCTAATACATAATTTGATCCAACTTCCTTTTTTTCCATAATGGTGACTCTGGTTTTGAATTTGCGTATGAATTTATACTTTCCATATAAACTAACGTAGCTTTGGTATACACAAATGTATGGGTTTCATTCTTTAAGCCATACTATCTCTTCCTTTATGCTTCTCAGAACCCATACTCATCTCTTCCCACTTCTAGCATCACTGACAGCACCATCCCCAAGTCCCCCGTTCCTCCTTAGTCTCTTACAGCACTAATTTGATGACATTTTGGACAAAAACCTTTTCCAACCAGTCACTAACATGCCTCATCAAGTCACACTAAAAGGGTGACGCTACCTAATAAGGGTGTCCCCTGGACTTCCGGCCAAGATGGAGGCGTAGGTAGACACACTGTGCCTCCTCACACAACCAAAAGGACAACAACAATTTAAAAACAAAAAACAGCCATAACTGACAGAAAATTGAACTGTATGGAAGTCCAACAAACAAGGAGTTAAAGAAGACACTTTCATCCAGACCGGTAGGAGGGGCAGAGATGGGCAGCCGGGGCAGAGACCAGCAGCCAGGGCAGAGAGGGCTCGTGGAAAAGCTGCAGCTGGCAGACCCAGCGAAGCGGCGGATTGTGGAGGGGCACAGCACAAGGTGACTGGCAGACTGGGCGGTCCCACATTCACAGATAAACCAGACGAAAATGGGTAGCGGAACAGACTGAGCAACCCAGGGCCCCAGTGCAGGGAAATAAAGCCTCAAACCACCTATTGAAAACACCTGTGGGGGTTGAGGTGGCAGCAGGAGAAACTCCCAGCCTCACAGGAGAGACCCACAGGGTCCTAGAACATATACAAGCGCACCCACCAGGAATCAGCACCAGAAGGGCCCAATCTGCTTGTGGGTAATGGGGGAAGTGACTGCAAACTGGCAGAGAGCAGAGAGAGCACCATTGTTCCCTCTTGGACCTCTGTCCCACAAACAGTGTCACAACCCAGTGACGTGGGTTACCCCCCACCAGGTGAATACCTAGGGCTCTGCCCCTCACTACATAACAGGTGCATCAAGACAAAAAAGAATGGCCCAAATGAAAGAACAGATCAAAGCTCCAAAAAAAATACAACTAAGCAATGAAGAGATAGCCAACCTATCAGATGCACAGTTCAAAAACACTGATAATCAGGATGCTCACAGAACTGGTTGAATTTGGTCAAAAATTAGAGGAAAACATGAGCCCTGGCTGGCGTAGCTCAGTGGATTGAGTGCGGGCTGGGAACCAAAGTGTCCCAGGTTCGATTCCCAGCCAGGGTACATTCCTGGGTTGCAGGCCATAAACCCCAGCAACCGCACATCGATGTTTCTCTCTCTCTCTCTATCGCCCTCCCTTCCCTCTCTAAAAATAAATAAATAAAATATTAAAAAAAAAATTAGAGGAAAAAATGAAGGCTATGCTAAGTGAAATAAAGGAAAATGTACAGGGAATCAACAGTGATGGGAAGAAAACTGGGACTCAAATCAATGGTGTGGACCAGAAGGAAGAAAGAAACATCTAAAAAGAAAAGAATGAAGAAACAAAAATTCAAAAAAATGAGGAGAGGCTTAGGAACCTCCAGGACATCTTGAAACGTTCCAACATCTGAATTATAGGGGTACCAGAAGGAGAAAAAGAAGATCAAGAAGTTGAAAACTTATTTGAACAAATAATGAAGGAGAACTTCCCCAATCTGGCAAAAGAAATAGATTTCCAGGAAGTCCAGGAAGCTCAGAGAGCCCCAAAGAAGTTGGACCCAAGGAGGAACATACCAAGGCACATCATAATTACATTAGCCAAGATTAAAGATGAGGAGAGGATCCTAGAAGCAGCAAGAGAAAAGGAGACAGTTACCTACAAAGGAGTGCTCATAAGACTGTCAGCTGATTTCTCAAAAGAGACCTCGCAGGCAAGGGGCTGGAAAGAAGTATTCCAAGTCATGAAAGGCAAGGACCTACATCCAATATTACCCCATCCAGCAAAGCTTTCATTTAGAATGGAAGGGCAGACAAATCGCTTCCCAGAGAAGGTCAAGTTAAAGGAGTTCATCATCACCAAGCTCTTATTATATGAAATGTTAAAGGGATTTATCTAAGAAAAAGAACATAAAAAAAAACATGTACAGTAAAAGGACGGCAAAATCACAATTATTAACAACCACACCTAAAGCAAAACCAAAAGAAACTAAGCAAACAACTAGAACAGGAACAGAACCACAGAAATGGAGATCTCTTGGAGGGTTATTAACAGGGGAATGGGAGGAGACTGAGGGAAAAGGTACAGAGAATAAGTAGCAGAGATGGTAGGTAGAAAATAAACAGGGGGGAGGGTAAGAACGGTATAGAAAATGTACAAGCCAAAGAACTTATATGTATGACACATGGACATGAACTAAAGGTTGGGAATGTGGGTGGGAGAGGGTGTGCAGGGTGGAGGGGAGTGAAAGGGGGAAAATGGGAAAACTGTAATAGCATAATCAATAAAATATATATATATATATATATATATATATATAAAAGGGATGTCCCTTTTTTTGCCATCTTGAAGCCTGTGGTGCCTGCCAGGAACAGGACTTCTACAACAAATGTGTCTCGGAGGCTGTGGTCCAAGGCCATTTTTGCTGGCTATAAATGGTGTCTCCGGAACCAGAGGGAACACACAGCTCTTTTTAAAATTGAAGGTGTTTATGCCAGAGATGAAACTGAATTCTATCTAGGAAAGAGATGTGCTTATGTGTACAAAGCAAAGAACACAGTGACTCCTGGTGGTAAACCAAACAAAACCAGAATCATCTGGGGAAAGGTAACTCGTGCACATGGAAACAGTGGCTGGTTCATGCTACATTCTGAAGCAACCTTCCTGCTAAGGCCATTGGACACAGAACCCATGTTACGCTGTACCCCTCGAGGACTTAAACTTATTGATAAATTAATAACAACCCTGACTGTGTGGCTCAGTTGGGGGTCGTCTGGCAAAGCAAAGGATTCCGGGTTGGGGGACATGGTTGAGTAGCAGATTCAGTCCCTGGTCAAGATGCAAAGGGAAGACAACTAATGAGTGTTTCTCTCACATGTCTATAGTTCTCATCTTCTTTTTCCCCCTCCCTCCCCTCTCAAATAAGTAAATAAAATCTATTTTAAAGAGTAAAAAAAAAAAAAGGGATGTCCTAATGAAAACTATTTAAGGAGTCTGACCAAGAAAAGCTGTCAGGATCCTATTCATCTCCAACAACATAAATAAGCTCTGTTAAATTAATAACAAAGTTTTAATTCAAACCTTACTTCAAACTCTCCAAACCTGCAAAACAAGTAATACATTACCCTAGTTCAGGATTTCATAAACCCTTGCATGTCTATTACCATGCTCTCTTAACTGGGCAGGCTCCCACTCACTACCTGTATCAATCAGACCCACATACACATCAATCTTCTTTTTCTAAGATTTTATTTATTTATTTATTTATTTTTAGAGAGAGGGAGAGTGAGAGAGGGAGAGAAACATCAATGTGTGAGAGATACATGGATAGGTTGCTTCTCGCATACCCCGAACTGAGGACCTGGCCTACAACCTAGGCACGTGCCCTGAGTGGGAATCAAACCGGTGACCTTAGGTTCACAGGCTGGCACTCAATCCACTGAGCCATTTATCTAATCACTTTTCTATATGTAATAGTCCAAGCAGGTTTTTTAAAAATATTTGTTTATTCATTCGTTTATTCATTCGTTCGTTTATTTATAGAGCAAGGGGAAGGAAGGGAGAAAGAGAGGGAGAGAAACATCAATGTGTGGTTGCCTCTCACGCCCCCAACTGGGGACCTGGCCCGCAACCCAGGCATGTGCCCTGACTGGGAATCGAACCAGCAACCCTTTGGTTCATAGGCCAGCACTCAAACCACTGAGCCACACAAGCCAGGGCCAGATCAATCTTCTTAAAGAACAACTGTGACCATACTGTAACACTGTTCTATCAATAGTTTCTCTGCTACCTACGGCATAAAGGGTAGACTCTTAGCTGCACAAACTCACATTCCAGAGTAACTTTTCCCCCATTACCAGACCCTTCGTGTACCCTGTAACATTATACTCTGCTAGATGCCAACCTCTCTTACGGCCTCCACCTTCCTCACTTCTGTGCTTCACATAGAAGGGCCTTTTCACACTCAATTCTGTAATACTACATATTCCTCAGCTTACCCCCAAGCATTCCTGATTCCCACAGCCATATGAGACCTCTTCCTCTTCTGAACTTGACATTTACCATTTGGTATTTCAAGATATCCTACAAACCCTAGGATCAACATTTCATTCACCTCTCTTCAATCCTCCACACAACTTGCTTAACACAGTTAAGTACTCAATTCAATAAATATTTTACAAAGAAGGTGGACATATAGAAAGGACACATTCCTGTCTGTTTTGTATGTACCTACTCAATATATTTTCAACATCAACAAAGCTGTCAGAAAACACTAAGGCTTTTCTAATACTGTGAGCAAGCTGAGTTCCTGTCGCCGTAAAACTGATGTCACACATAAGGCCCAAAAAACAGCTAGAATGAGAGGGTCACCCACCGAAACCGTGACAGTTTTCCTCCCACAGTAATCTAACAAGTTAACAAAGTAATCTATTGTTGGGGTCCGCCCTGCCTGATCTCAGGGAGCTGTGACCCCACCATGGCTAAGGCTGAGTGAGAGACCTCCGAACCAGGAGACAATAAGGAGATAAACTTATTTCCCTGGCATGAGCGCTGCCTGCTCTATGTCTGGCTCCCATTGCTTGGTCGGTAGTCAATGACGGGTAACAATTCTCTGAAGAGAATGACCCTAAGACAGGCACAATCATGTGGGAAAAGCCCCCAGGGAAGAGACTCAGGGGGCTGTGGAAATGAGGGGGTGATCGACATCCACCCATGCCCCCTCAGCTTTGACGAAAGCCTGAGTCCTTGTTCTGGCTGTGAGAAATCCAAGTCTCCGGCTGCCTTTGTCTCCTCTGCCCGACTCAGGCCTGTGGATATAACAAGGGGCGGTGCAGTCCAGACCAGAGTCGGTGGACCACTGGAGTAATTATACCTGGGACATAAAATATGCAAGATCCTGTGAGACCTGCTTGCTGAAGATGCTCTTGAATTAGAATATGAAGGCATGGGCAGGAAATGAAACTAGGCTTTTAGGTCCCGTAGCTCTTAAGTGATAAAACCCCAAACTCAGCATGAGCCCTGTCAGCCCTTTGAAAGCTATCTATTCGTTTGATCTTCCCTGCCAGACTGTAATCAACAAACTATATCTGTGTTCCTAATAAAAGCCTGCTCGGGCGGGAAGGCGGGGTGCTCTCCCCTTGAGAGAGTGGCCGCTCAGTCCCTCTTCCCCACACAGGACTCAGTAATCTGTGTGAATGTCTCATTTTCATCCATAATGACATGGACCCCAGAGCCAGGGTCCGCATCAATCTATGAACTAATATTTGAAAGAAAATACAGCCCTAGCTGGTGTGGCTCAGTGGATTGAGTGCCAGAGCCTGCAAACCAAAGAGTCGCTGGTTCGATTCTCAGTCAGGGAATGTGCCTGGGCTTTGGGACAGGTCCCCGGGGGGAGGGGGGAGACATTAGAGGCAACCACATACTGATGTTTCTCTTTCTCCTTCCCTTTCCCTCTCTCTAAAAATAAATAAATAAAATCTAAAAAAAATTTTTTAAAAATTAAAATCTTTTGTGCCTCCAAGGACATTATCAAGAAAGTAAAAAGATAACATATAGAATGGGAGAAAATATTTGTAAATCATATTATCTGATAAGGGATTAATACACAGAATATATAAAGAACTCCTACAACTCAGCAAAAAAAACAACCAACCAATCAACTACAAAATGGGCAAAGGACTTGCCAAAACTTGATATTATGAATTAAAAAAAAAAAGATTTTATTTATTTATAGAGAGAGGGGAAGGGAGGGAGAAAGAGAGAAAGAGAAACATCAATGTGTGGTTGCCTCTCGCACACCCCCCACTGGGAACCTGACCTGCAACCCAGGCATGTGCCCTGACTGGGAATCAAACCAGCAGCCCACTGGTTCACAGGCCGGCACTCAATCCACTGAGCCACTCCAGCCAGGGCATCACAAGTGTTTTTAATAGCAAAAGATTAGAGATAACTTTTTGTCAATAAAGAACTGGTAAATGTAAATAGATGTATATACAGACTTGCTATGGACTGAACTGTTTCCTCCCAAAATTCCTATATCGAAGCGTCAACCCCACAGGCACAATCTGGCCTCATATGCCCTCTTACACCTTTTAAATCTCATCTACTCTCCTCTGCCTCACCCTGCTCCAGCCGTACTGGCCTTCTTGGTGGCCCTCAAGCCAAGCACACACGGATCTATCTATAGACATTCCTCAAAGATATTGAGGGTTTGGTTTGACAAGGAAAATATATATTCTGAGAAATCCTAACTTAAATTACAGCAGGCCAGAGAGTGGAAGGAAGGGATAGGAAGGGATTAATCAGTTAACAACTGCAGAGCAAAAACCAACAAGGCTGCTTACATTCCTGAGTGTGTGCTGGAACTCTGAATTAACTTCCAGGTGGCTATTTCTGCCATTATCCAAATAAGAGACTAGCCAGGTGCCACTGAACCCCAAGAGCCATCACATACTGAGCATGCACGAACTTCTTCCCGACTGTTGCCTGCCGATCCAAAGGAGCAAACACGTCTTCTTTACAGACCCTGTGCCTACCCCAGAACCAGCCCGACTCCCTCCTCGCACTCCCTTTATCTGTACAGTCAATTTAAATTCTTTCAAAACAATTTACATCTTTCTCCTTCCTACTTGACGTATAAAAACTCTTGCCGACTCCAGGAGGACAGACATGTTACCTATTCCACCTGGCACTGCTGCTGGTGGTTTTGACTTCATGCCCCAGGACATGGCCATTTTTTCTTGCTAGCAATGACCCAGTAAACCTTTTCTTTTTAAAAGACTTTTTCAGCTGTGGAAGTTCAAATTTTTGTTTAAACAGCTTCCAGACCACCTCAATAAAGTGAGTATCACAATTAAGCAAACTGTAATCTTCTTGCTAGCAGAGGATCTTGCCTTCAATTTGTAAAAATTGCAACATTTGTGAAGTACAATAAAACCGAGGTATGCCTGTATCTTCTCTCTCCCCCCATCTCTCTCTTCCCACAGCTTGCACCAAGGAAAGGCCGTGTGAGCACAGTGAGAATGTGGCCACCTGCAGAACAGGAGAAAGTTCTTACTAGAGCAGACGAAGACAATACTGTCGTATTAAGGGATACTATTCCATGTAATGGAATACTATATAGTGTTTAAAAATAATGGCTCTTTATGAATACATATAAAATGATCCATAATATGGAATAAGTGAGAAGGCAAACTGCAGAACAATGAATAATATGCTCCTATTTAGAAGAAGATGTGCATTTGCTTGTAGGTACACAGAATATCTCTGGAAGGATACACAAGGAAGTCGTGGCCTCTGACATGCGGCAGGAAGGTTAGGAGTATTAGGGAGATCCTTTACTGCGTATTCTATACATTTCAAATTATGTACTATGTGAAATGTATTATCTATCACAAAAACATTAAGTTAAAAAAATTAAAGGAGCAGGTGGTTCATTTGTTACTTCTCAAAAATGACTTTAGTTGTAAAATGCTTTTTTTTTTTAACAGTACTCAGTTAAGCAAGTTGTAGCCACCCACAGAAAAGACCGTCATTCATGGTTTACTGTAACAGATTAACCACCTGGTCTTGAGATTATTGCCCAAACTATCCAAATTCAGCAACCTGCCTAATCTCAAATCCCTTCCCACCTGCTCAGTTAAATCTTCCTCGTTAACTCCACATCACAATAATCTCACCTCCCAAATCACATTTCCCTCGAAACAACTCATCTGGGCCTATATCCTGTCTCGTAGAGCGTAACAGCACTGGCCTTTGCAGCGGTGAGAACTGGGCTTGAACCCCTGCTTACTTGTGTAAATGTCTCAGTCACAGCCTCAGTTTTTCATCCGTAAGCAGAGATTATGGTAGTATCTACTTCACTGATTTTTTGTGAGTACCTACCAGTAGTAAAGCATGCACTACCGCAGCAAAGTGCATCTCTTGTCTTCCCTCTAAGACTTAGAGTCTTGAGCGTTTTCAGCCGCAGTTTTCATGGACCACATGGCTATTATCCTTCTATCTACCACATAGAGTTGCACCAAACAAGAGAACATATCTGAAATACTTAACACAATGCAGAGTTTAAAATGCTCAATAAACATTAAAGACTGTCTCATGTTAGTTCCTTTGTAATCACTAACACAGAGTTTGTATACGTGACAAACCTGGGTGTAATGTCCAACCCTTCCTATTCGGGCGCACCTGGTTTAGTTACTCAGCCTCAGTTTCCTCATTCCCATACATGTGATGATACATACAATGCATATTAAGTGCTTAACCAGTGTATCTGGCACCCGGTGGATGCTCAATAAATATTACGCCAGTTCCCCATCCCGTCTCTTCTATTTTTCCCCTGAATTTCCTGGTCCCCGCAGGTAGATGGCCTGCACCCTGGCGGCCCCGCAGGATGGGAATCCCCCAGCGCTTCTGCGGAGAAGCCCTTGCGGGGACCCCGAGTTCCTCCGGAGTCCGCCTGCCCGATCAGACTCCTCGGAGCGACCTCTTTCCACCCGCCCCGACACACACTTGGAAACCTGCTGTCCCGTATTTCCATTCCCTGTGGTCTTCTTCCGCCCCCATTTTCTCTCCGCCCTCCCCAAACTCCATTTTTCATCCTTCTTCAGGTTCCACTCCCCCTTGTCTTTGAATTCCCAAAGCGGTTCCTTTCTGTCTCCTCCGACTTCACTTTCCTCACCTCACCGTCCCCCAAACACATTTTCGCTCCCCAGCGTCCCACCTGCACTTTCCGCCTCTTCAGCGCCGCCGCGTCCAGCCATACCCCGCAGGCCTCCTCCTCCGGGTCTCCGCGCCTCATGCCCGCTGAGGAGGCCAAGCCAACGCGACACCGGGTAGAAACTCCAGCCGCCTCGGGGAACTGCCACAACAGCCTCCGCCGACGTTCGGATCTCGCGCCAACTTTGGGGGCGGGACCACGTAGCGGCCGCGCGGGCGCAGGTACCGCCCCCAGCGTCAGCTCTGGTCAGGACCAAGCTCCACCCCTTCCCCTAAGCCCCGCCCTGCACTTCCAAACCCTTCCTCTGTGGTGGATCCCGTTTCCCTTTACGGTGGTATTATTTACGCTCTTTTCATTCAAGGGAAATATGCTGTGTGAACGCGTCGCGACTCTGCATAAGAAACGTGCATTTTTTTATGCTGAGTTAGTTGTACTTTCTTGTTTTAAATATAATAACCACCCCGGGGCCCAGGGTTTTTCCTTGTCTAAAAAAGGAGGGGTGGAGCCTAGGTTCAGATCCAAGAACTTCAAAGCTGGGGCCCACAGCACTACCCTAAATGGTTAACATACCATCGAGTTTATTAATTACTTTGTAATTCAAAGAAACTAAGCTTAACTATGAACATCGGGGAGGGCTTAGAAAATGTTAAGGTGAACACTAAAAATTTGAAGTCAAGAAAGAACTAGCTTCCAGTCCTGCCTTCGTGGCTTACTGTGTGACCTTGGATCTGAAACATACATACATATTTCTTAGGCATTTGGAGATTTTTCTTCTCTGTACTTCCTAATTTGCCTTCACTGTACATATATTGCTCTGAAAAAAGCAATATTATAAAGGTTAACATATAGCAATACTATAAAAAGTTAACATAAAATCCTGCTTGTTTGAAGGAATAACCTAAACATGAAATCTTTGTCAAATTATAAAATGAGGTTATATATATTTTTAAAACATTCTTTTAACATCTAAATTTTATTTAGTAATAAAACTGCCCCCGACTTGCCTGCCAAAAAAAAGTTCACACATATAGTGTATAAGGCCCCAATGTCACCTCAGGCAAAGATAAAATAGTCACTGCCCTCTCCCTCCAGTGCTCACCCCCAGGGGGGATCCAGCCCTCCCCCTCTACACACACACACACAAAAAAAAACAAAAACCCACACCATAAGCAGACCTATGGACCTCCCTGAAAGAGGAGACAAAAACAAAATGGCAGCTGTTATCACAGTAACTTTATTGCATCTAGGACATATTGGAGACCAGACCACCCCTAGCTCCAACCCCATTGAACTTCCATACCTCTAGGCCTTTCTTTGTAACCTTTTTTCCCCTCGCCTAGAATTCCTTCCTTCTTCATCTGCAAGACTCCTATTCACCCTTCTCATACAAGACCCTGAGAGCCCCAGGGCATACTGATTATTCCCTCCTCAGTGCTTCCCCTGACAGTTCATTCCAACATTCAAGTCTTTGATCCTGCATTGATCCAAAGGGCCCTGAGCAGAAGCCCCGAAAACACTGAATGGATCACTGAATCGCAAACAAGGTTAACTAGGAGAATGGCTGGGAATAGGACATGTGCAACATGGAGGCCAAAGCTGGGAGTAGGGCTCAGCGTGTGGAACAGGGACTGAGAGGTATGTGGCACTGGATGAGATCCATTTGCACCTGACACAATCTTTAACTCTCAGGACTCTGAAGCTCCAAAACTCCAGGCTGGGGTTCAAGCAATGATAATCCCTGTATACATATTGGCCCCGCCCCTTCCTATCCACTAGTGAAATCTGGCTAGATGGGAGTTGCTGAGGCCTCCGCTGCCCCTAAACTCAAATCTAATTCTGACCTACATTCCACCTTTACCTCCACCAGACAATCTGGAAGCCCTAAACCAGAGTCCTGGCCCCAGCTGACCCTCCCATCCTCATGCCTGGTGAGAGGCAATGGGGGGAGGCAAACCAGGGTGGCCCGCATCTCTATCTCTTTCCCTCTCCCAAGTCAGGGAGCTAGGGCAGGCTCAGGAAAGACTCCGGCAGCTCCAGGCCAATCCCTACACTGAAGGACCAAAGACTGGCCAATGCCACCCTTGGCAGCTGAGGCACGCACAGAGAGTCACTGCATTCCAGACACAAACAACTTTACCAGGCCTTGTTCCCACATGTGGCCAAGACCAGACCCCTGGGCTCCCGCTCTACCTCCCTCCCTACCAACTGCCATCTCCCTTCACTGGGTCTTCTGATTGAGTTTGCGCTGCACCAGCTGGCTCAGGAAGAACGCGGTGAGGACACTGCTGCCCACGGTGAGCAGGAAGAGGCCAGAGAAGTTGTGGGGCCAGCGGGTGTGCAGTGGCTCATAGATGGGCCGCCGGGCTTCATAGTCCAGCGCCACAGCCTCCAGCTGAGCCAGCGTGCACAGTACCAAGAAGACATGGAAGATCTGGTGGCCCTGCCCAAAGAGGTGGCAGCTGCCAGGGAACCAGCGCTCAGGCATGAGGGCTGAGAAGAAAGCAGCAGCCAGCAGGAAGAAGACCACCTGGCACTTGTAGTAGAGAAGAGCAAGGTCATCTGTGGCGGGGTTGGGGGACACCAGGATGCGGTGTGCCACCGGGCTGATGTCCAGCATATAGGCCAGCGCCGAGGGCACCTCCTGGCATGTGCGGCCCAACAGGCCGGGCTTCTGGATATACTTGTTGTAGCATGAGCCAGTGCAGGAAAGCCAGGCGAGAAAGGCGGCCATGGGCAGGAAAATGGCCTGCACTTGGGCATGCCAGGCAGGCTCAATGGCATAGTAAAAATGTGCCAGGGCACTGCCAAATTGGTACACAGCCACACCCACGTAGTCCAGGAAGAAGAAGTTATAATGCCAGAATTCAGACTTGGCCTGCAGGAGGTGAGCCAAGGCACTGAAGAAGAGGTAGGTGAAGGAGGTGAGGACAATGATGAAGAGGGGCATGGCATGGGGGTCTCCCCAGAAGTCCACAGTCCCCACAAAGACGGCCAGCCGCAGCAACAGCATCAGGGCTGCCAGCAGGTGGGTCCAGACGTTCACTGCCTCGTTGTGCTGCTGGAACAGCGAGCGGAAGTAGAAGCTCCAGGTCTGATGCAGCGGCCGGTAGCCCACGTAGATGTATGGCTTCCAGAAGAGGGGTGGCACCTTGGCTCGGTCTACCGTGAAGACAGGCTCTGGCTGCACAGATGACAGAGGCTCCTGGTGGTCCTGCTGCAAACTGGGCAGAAAGTGGCTAAGCTTCTGGGCCACCGCTGTGGCCATGGCTGTGGAGTGGGCAGGGAGCTGGGAGAGGGACCAGAGCAAAGTCAGGAGCTGCCGTCCTCATCCCCTACCCCCATGCCCAGTTTTTACTCCCTCCTCCTGCCCCCTTATTTCTACACTGAGTTTCAGGAGAAAGGAGTCATCCTAAGGGAGAGTTCATCTCTGACTCATGATTATCCTGCTCCCTGGTGTATCCCAAATGCCTAGGACAGTGCCCAACACATAGTAGGTGCTCAATGAACATTTGAGGAATGCATTCACGAATAAGGCTCACTGCCTCAGCCATTTCCTTTCCAGTCCAGGCTCCACACAGCAGCCCCTATAGTTTTCTCCTATGTTTATGCTGCCATCAGTGTTCACCTAGTGGCGACAATGACACTGCCAACACATCAGCTGCCTGTCTTTAGCCCCCTCAGTCTCCCACTGACCCTCCATTACCATACATGATCTAGTCCAGGCTACTTTTCCCAGCCTTACTGCTCAACCACAATGCATTCAAATCCAGCCATAGCCTCACCAACCCACTGGGCCTGCTTCAAATATCCACAGTTTGCATAAGCTGTTCCCTCCACCGGAGACATTTCCTTCTCTTGCCTGTCTGGCAAACTCATATTCATCCCTCAAAACCCATTTCTTCTGTGATATTTTCCTGGCTCCCTGAACCTCAGATGATGACTTCTCTACTTGAGTTCCTACCATCAGATACTTATCTTCCAGCCTTTCCACCCCAGCCATGGTTGTTAACTCCAAAAAAATAAAACCTAACCCCTCACCCCAGTATTCAAGACCCGATGGTCTTCTCCCACCCTCATTTCCCACCTAACCCAAAGGTCACACCCTGTACCAACTTCCTTTCCTTCCAGGAGCTGCCACCTCCAGGGGAATCTCCTTCCTGCCCCCTCCCCACATTCCTCTGTGGGAAACCTATACTGGGTTGCACCATTTAGCATTTAAAACACATTCATTCATTCATTCATGTAGCAAACTGAGCACTCCTCTTCTGCCTCAAGTCCTGTGCTGGATCCCGGGGAAGGCAGAGTAGAAAAGGATTTGAGCCCTGTCCTCCGAAACTTCATGATAAAAGACCGAGATCATAGAAAGGAAAACAAATCATTGCAAATGCTTACACAGCACTCACAATGCGTCACTGTTTTAAGCATTTAATTGACTCATTTACACTTCATAGCACCTATGGAACTGATACTATCTTTATTCCCACTTTTCAGACAACAAAACTGAAGCATGAAGAAGTTATCCACCCACCTAGCTCAGAAGCAGCAGAGGTACAATCTAAATTCTGTTCCTAGTCTTGATCATCACCCTAAACTGCCCTCTGCAAGGTAAGCTGGCGAGTGCTATTAATCATTTTATAATTATATGCTATAAATAGTTTTTATAGCATTTGCCTGGTGCCAGTTGTGCTTTATTCAAGCTTATCATTATTCATTAAATCAAACATCTATTGAAAATACAGCACCTGCCAGACAACTCTGCTCCATCAAATAAATTCCCTCCAACAAGCTTATTGAACCCAGCATCCAGGTTTTCTATCCATCATTTATCAGATTTTATTACAGCTACTCTTGCACTGCAAGAGGCAAGGAAAACCAGGCAGGAAAAAGCATTCATGCTCTCTACCACCAACAGCACCACGATCACCCCCAAAGCCACTCACTAATTCACACATAGTCCAAGTATATGCAGGGGCCTTGCTGTACAAAGGCAGCATCAAGATGAACCCCTGCCCTGGTTGGTGTGGCTCAGTGGATGGAGCACCAGCCTAGGGACCAAAAGGTTGTTGGTTCGATTCCCTGTCAGGGCACATGCCTGGGTTGCAGGCCAGGTCCCCAGTTGGGGACATAAGACAGGCAACTAATCACTGTTTCTCTCACACATCATGTTTCTCTCCCTCTCTTTCTCCCTCCTTTCCCCTCTCTAAAAATAAATAAATAAAACCTTTAACATCTATGATAGATGTTAAAGGTGTCACTTAAAAAGAATTCTACTTTGCCATAAAAAGGAAGAAAAAAATTTTAATATACTTTATTGATTATACTATTACAGTTGTCCCATTTCCCCCCCTTCACTCCCCTCCACCCTGCACACCCTCTCCCACCCACATTCCCCCACTTTAGTTCATGTTCATGGGTCGTACATGTTAAGTTGTTTGGCTCCTACACTTCCTATACTATTCTTACCCTCCCCTTGTCTATTTTCTACCTACCATCTATGCTACTTATTCTCCGTACCTTTTCCCGCTCTCTCCTCCTCCCACTCCCCTGTTAATAACCCTCCATGTGATCTCCGTTTCTGTGGTTCTGTTCCTGTTCTAGTTGTTTGCTTAGTTTGCTTTTGTTTTTGTTTTAGGTGTGGTTGTTAATAACTATGAGTTTGCTGTCATTTTACTGTTCATATTTTTTATGTTCTTTTTCTTGAATAAATCCCTTTTACATTTCATATAATAAGGGCTTGATGATGATGAACTCCTTTAACTTGACCTTACCTGAGAAGCACCTTATCTGCCCTTCCATTCTAAATGAAAGCTTTGCTGGATAGAGCAATCTGGGATGTAGGTCCTTGCCTTTGATGACTTGGAATACTTCTTTCCAGCCCCTTCTTGCCTGCAAGGTCTCTTTTGAGAAATCAGCTGACAGTCTGATGGGAACTCCTTTGTAGGTTACTGTCTCCTTTTCTCTTGCTGCTTCTAGGATCCTCTCCTCATCTTTAATCTTGGCTAATGTAATTATGATGTGCCTTGGTATGTTCCTCCTTGGGTCCAACTTCTTTGGGGCTCTCTGAGCTTCCTGGACTTCCTGGAAGTCTATTTCTTTTACCATATTGGGGAAGTTCTCCTTCATTATTTGTCCAAATAAGTTTTCAACTTCTTGCTCTTCCTCTTCTCCTTCTGGTACCCCTATAATTTGGATGTTGGAACGTTGGAATGTCCTGGAGGTTCCTAAGCCTCTCCTCATTTTTTTAAATTTTTGTTTCTTCATTCTTTTCTAATTGGATGCTTCTTTCTTCCTTCTGGTCCACACCATTGATTTGAGACCCAGTTTCCTTCCTGTCACTGTTGGTTCTCTGTATATCTCCTTTATTTCACTTAGCATAGCCTTCATTTTTTCATCTAATTTTCGACCAAATTCAACCAGTTCTGTGAGCATCCTGATTATCAGTGTTTTTGAACTGTGCATCTGATAGGATGGCTATCTCTTCATCGAGAAACAGTGAGAACTTTGATCTATTCTTTCATTTGGGCCATTTTTTTTTTTTGTCTTGCCGTACCTGTTACGTGTGAGGGGCAGGGTCTTAGGTGTTCACCAGGTCAGGGCAACCCAGTCGCTGGGTTGTGAGGCTGTATGTGGGAGCGGGTCCGAGAGGGAACAATGGTGCTCTCTCTGCTCTCTGCCGGATTTCAGTCACTTCCCCCACTTCCCACAAGCAAACTGGGCCCTTCTGGTGCTGATTCCTGGTGGGTGGGCTTGTGTACGTTCTAGGACCCTGTAGGTCTCTCCAACGAATTCTCCTATGAAGCTCGGAGTTTCTCCTGCTGCCACCTCAATCCCCACAGGTGTTTTCAATCGATGGTTTGAGGCTTTATTTCCCCGCGCTGGGGCCCTGGGTTGCTCGGTCTGTCCCGCTCCCAGTTGTTTCTCCTGGTTTATCTGCGCTCGTATGTGCGACCACCCGGTCCGCAATCCACCGCCTCACCAGGTCCACTAGCTGCCGCCTTGCCATGAATCCTCTCCGCCCAGCTGTCCATCTCTGCCCCTCCTATCAGCCTGGATGAATGTGTCTTCTCTAACCCCTTGGTTGTTGCACTTCCATACAGTTCTGTCAGTTCTGGTTGTTTATTTTTAAATTATTGTTGTCCTTCTTTTGGTTGTGCGAGGAGGCACAGTGTGTCTACCTACACCTCCATCTTGGGGCATCAGTAGTCCCAGAAAAGAAGAAAATTTTATCCTTTGCAACAGTATGGATGGACCTGGAGAATATTATGCTACGTGAAATAAGCCAGTCAGAGAAAGACAAATACCATATGATTTCACTCACATGTGAAATCTAATGAACAAACTGAAGTAACCGGCAAAACAGAGAGACTTAGATGGAGAACAGATGACAGCTAGTGGGGGCAGGGAGGAAGGTTAGTGGTGGAGGAGTTGAGCAAAAAGGAAAAAGGACTCGTGGGCATGGATGATAGTGTCATAATAGCTGGGGGGAAGGGGGAGATAAAGGGACTAAATAGTAATGGAAAAAAGATAATAAAGATTAAATTAAAAAGAAATACAAGTCCCCAGCCCACACTCTTCCTCACCGTAGCCTGATTTGCATCTGTAAGCTTCTCCCACATTACAGTTCTGGAGAGCTCTGGTCTGTAGCCTTTCCCAGCCAGTGGGGAGGCAGGTGTGAAAGCAGGCATCACTGCACTGCACAAAGAGGAAGGGCACTAGGATGTGGGCGTCCAGGGCTTCTCCACTTCCTGTTCCCCAGACAGCCTGGCACACAGTAGGTTTAGGAGGCAGACCTTGCTGGTGGACTAAATAATGGGACCGCTTCCATCCCAAGCACAGGAACACCCCTGCCCTGCCTTGCTGGTTCGGAAGCCGACATTGGATCAACTCGTCCCCAGAAGACTGGGCTTCAGCCTCCACAACCTGGCCTCCATGCTTGTCTACAACTTTGCCTTCCTGTCTCAGGACCTCAGGGAGCCGAAAACAGGCCTCTGAAAGCATCTCATTCAGCAACTTTGCTTTACATTGAAGAGACAAGAGCCACGAGACAGGAAGGCCTTTCCCAAAGTTGTCCAATCCAGGAAGGTTTCCGTCCCACCACAAGGACAAAGACCAGCGAAGGACGACATAGTGTGGTGGCCTAGTTCCTGGGTCTCCACAATCTGTTATATGTCAGCCGAAGGCTCCGTATCCCACTCTTAGCACGCCCCCAGGCACCGCAGCATACTGAGGCTCTGAGCTCCAAGAAGTCCTGCAGCAAAGGAGCCTGATTCGCTTTATTATTGAACCTGCATTTGCCAAGCTTACTTCACCAAGGATTCCTTTCCTGGAGTAATAATTATATTACAAAGCCAGCTAAAATGTAGTGTTTACTGTATGCTTACTCTTTACAACTTTGTTGCAATTAATTCTCATAACTAGCCTGTGAGGTAGATATTATTATGCCCATTTTGTTGCTGAGGATAGTGAAATTCAGAGAGGATAGCTTCTCACCCACGGTCACACAGACACAGAGAGGTGGAGCCAGGATCGGGACCCAGCTCTCTGACTGCAGAGCACATACCCTTAGCCACTCCGCTGCGGCCCTGCCTCCTGTCACACCTATGTGCACCCCACAGAACTATTACCTGGGAAAACACTGGTCTAAAACTGGCAACCAAGTTCTTTCCTATGAATTATTCTCTTACGCTTCTAACAATGTTTCACATCCAGAGACCTCGGTCTCCCCCAGTCAGCAGCTCCCCACTGGCTCCACACCACAGATGCCCTGGCTCACAGTGACCCCCCCTTCACAGCTTTCCCCCTCACCCAGGCACAGTGGGCCCTAAACACAGAATGCAGAGACCACGTACTGAGATGACAGAGGTCCTGCCACCCTATTTCCTTCAGACCTCAGCCAAAGGCCCCCATCCATCTGGACAGGTCTATTTTCAGAATATTAGTACCCATATGCCGACTCCATGGAAAGGGGCCCCGGATTCAGGGAAAGGAGCAGGTGGAAGGACGAGGGTGGGCATGCAGAGGACACCCTCAGGGCACTCTCTGAGTAGTGTGCCCACCAGGCTGCCAGACCAGCCTCTTCCAGGTGTCCCACCCCCGCCCAGTATAGCTCCATGGCCCCCTTGCACTGCTTACGTAGGGGTTTCTCTAGAGCCAGGGGCTGATGACTTCTGCTGTGGGACTCGGCACATTCACCAGATGCCAAGCACTGGGTGGTACTTCCACAGGTAGAGGGTCACTAGGGGCAGGGTTTCCAGGGACTGGAGCTGTCTTGTGTGATGTCACCAGAGGGTGGGGCTAGAAATAACTTCCATTCCTCTCTCCTCCCCCACATCACCACTCCCACATTAGTCCAAGCCAGGCTAAACTCTGCCCTCCTGGCCAGACCTCAGCTGCAGAAGGAAACTGGCCATTGACCTCTGCACAAAACTTTTGCGGATACCAAAGGCTGGCCGAAAAGCTGTGACTTACCCAAGACCACACAGCAAGGTGGGCACAGTTGGGCTGAGACCAGTTGTCCGGGGCCTGGTTAATGGATATCAGGCAAACTTGGTTGGCTTTTGTCCCCTATGCAGTAGGAATCAGAATAAAAGTAAGTTAGGAATAAAAGAGACAGCAGATGCTATAAAGCCTCATGAAAGAGAGGGGCTTCCGATTCAGACAAACCAAGTGTGACTCCTGATTCTGCAACACACCAGGTGTGTGACCTAAGACAAGTGATCTATCTTCTCTAATCCTTCACTCCCCCGTGGAAATTATTGTCTACCTCTTAGATTGCTGGAAAGATTCAGTTTATTAGAACATGGTTTTGGCACAGTTTAGGGACTCAATCAAGGATTGCCATTGTTATTAATTACCAATAGTGGTAATTAATTATTATTAATATTGTAATGGAAGTATTTCTAGCCTGAGAGATTGGCTTAGGGTTCTCCAAAGAACTCAGTCCTGTTTTAGTGCTCAAGAGCTGGCTCCACTGGGTTCGGGGCCTTTGAAAGGTAACTGTGTCTCCTTAAATATTTACCTTTCCCTGAGGGTGCTTCTTGGGACAAGGGGAATTTGGCTGGAGTTTGGACTTCTGGGGACACTGACCTTATGAAATAAAATGTTCTCAGCAAAGACCATTCAGAGTGACCCCTCTGGGTTCACAGAGCCCTGAAGCTTTACACTTGCCCACAGACCCTAGAGAAGTGGCTGAGAAGTGAAACCCCCAGGGAAAGGGCCGAAGCCCCAGCAGCCCTCTCCCTGAACAAGCAGGAGTGTGAAGGGGAGAAGGTAAAGGACCTAAACCGTGCTAGCAGGTCATGCAAAAGGCATGTGACCGGGCATGTCTTGCAAGTTTGGGAGGCTGTCGGGTTAGCAGAGCCTCCAAACTGAAACCTCCAGGGCCCAAGTGGGAGTCAGGGTCAGTCTGAGCAGCTCCCTCCTCCTCCCCCTCCCACCTCCCCAGCCCCCCCAATTCACATTCCCCTTTTCCTAAATTGAGGTCAACCTCCTCACCTGCTCCTCAACCAAGGCTTGCCGCCCTCAGTGCCTCCTGGTCTCTCCACTGGATACACATTGTCAGAGTCCCCCCAGACCTCTGGGGGCAAAACTAGGGGACCAGGTCGTGGGGATGGGGTAGAGCATGGGATCTGGAGTGGGAGAGGACTGGGTTGTACCCATCCCACTGATGTTACTCAGTGCCTGCTATATGCCAGGCGCAAGGAGTGCTCCAGGGGCTGGGACGCGTGGGGAACGAAACAGACAGGCTCCCTGCCCTGACAAACAAACCACACAAACCAAATGCCCAGGGGCCTAGGAAAGTCCCGCCCAGAGAGAAGCCACCCAAGTGGTGACTGAGAGAGAGCTGCTGCCCCAAGGGAGGGTGTCGACTACTCGCCTCTGGCTGACTATTTCGAAAGAAGCCAGGCTCCCATTTTTATGTGACAATGGGATTTCAAGTCTGGAACTTACAGGCTATGGGACTTTGCTAAAATTCCTTAGCCTCTCTGAGCCTGTTTCCTCATTTAAAATCAGAGGATAATAACTACCTCAAGGGCTCTTGCAAAAGCAAAACAGTCACAGATCCTAGGTGTTGGCTCTAGCACAGCCTGGGCTCCCCTATTTTTGTTGGGTTCTAGTTTTGGCTCAGTCACTCAATCCCTGTGTGACCTTGGATAAGTCCTTTCCTCTCTTGGCTCCGTTTCTACAAATGTCAAGGACAGTGAACTCACCAGTAACTTCCAAGGGCCCTTCAGGCCCTGAGACAACATTTGCTTTTGGCCAGTATTATGTGCCAGGAGCTTCCACAGTGAACAAAGTAGTTAAAATACCACCTCAATACTCTGGTTTCTCTTCAGATCATATACATCTTTCACCTTTTTAAAATACCACCTCAGAGAACGGATAGCCCAGCTAGTTAACAATTAAAGGTAACACCCAAGGATATTAATACCCTGACCTCTTGGAGCTTAAAAGCCTAACTAAAAACACCTATTACAAGTGTTATTTGGTTATAATTCCACTTCTTCTGTTGCCTCCTCTGGTAGCAAAATACAGCTGACCCTTGAACAACATGAGTTTGAACCACACGGATCCATTTACATGTGAATATCTTCTCAATAAACACAAATGATACTGTACATGTATTTTCCTTGTAAGTTCCTTAGTAATATTTTCATTTCTCTAGCTTATGTTATTGTGAGAATACAGTCTATATAATACATATAACATATAAAATACATGTTGATCAACTGTTTATGTTATTGGTAAAGCTTCCAGTCAACAGTAGGCTATTAGTAGTTACGTTTTTGGCAGATTTTTAGGCAGTTTTTAGGCAGATTTTAGGCAGTTTTTAGGCAGATTTTTTACTGGAAGGGGCTGCACCCCAATCCCCTCCTTGTTCAAGGGTAAAATGTATTCAATGTTGCCTTTGTAGGCTCTGATCGTTCAGCACACTCCCTTAGAGATAACTTTATCTTGCCATGGAAAGCAAAGTTTAGCCTCATTAAACAAAAATAATAGCAAGGCCAAGACCTGTGTTAATACTGGGGTCGTCAGAGGTAAACTCTCTTGGGGGATCCTGACAAGGATGACATAGTATGGTAGAGCCTGAAACGTTAATAAGATTAGGCACTAACATTAATAATGTATACAGTTGCTTGCTTTTTACAAAGGGCTAATATTAATAACTTACAGTTGCTTGCTGGTTACAACCTTCTCAACCTGCATCTAAGCTGGCGTCAGAGCTCCAGAGGCAGGGTGGCAGAGCACAGCACGTCCATCCATCTAACTCTAAAACCAGTTCTCTTGCCCTTTATCCACTGTGGCCAACTCCCAGGCACCCAGTGGGTGGCCACAGATTATACAAGCAAAGTTTTCGTGCTGGCTGGCAGCAACTGGGTCACCTCCCTAAATGGAAACCAGTTCCCCAACTCACCCCAATGTGCTGGAAATGTCCTTCCATAACTTCCAAAACTGAACAGAACCCATTTTTATTTTTTGTAACTGTACTTGGAGGGGGGCTCTCCATTTGTACTGAAAAGTGTGATCAGAATGAAATAAATGACTCTTAAAGGGATTCTTCCACGGAGCTCAGACACACAGATGCTCTGAAGACAGGAGGCACGCAGTCCCAGAAAGGTTGGGTAAGCTGGCCACAGTCAGCCAGCATGGGATACAGAAAAGAGATCTGACTTTCACCACTAGCCAGCCACAAGTCCTCTGGGCATGGGAACTGAGGCTGGAGACGGTCTCAGACAGCATCCTGGCCCACCCACCCAGGCGCAATCAGGCTCTGAGAATCCATCAAACTCTCCAACCTGCCATCCCTGGCCTGCCCGGGCCATGCACTCCCGCCAGGCCTGCAGGGGCTGTCCCAGGGAAACCTCTGGATCCTCAAAGCCTGCGGGCTTGAGGCAAACGCTGTGGGCGGTGTGCGGCTCCATCTTCCCCCACCCCCACTGGGTGAGGGGAACTCCCATGCTCTCCTGACATCGAGGGCGCTTCCCCATCGCGAGGGGCCCAGGCTCCTTTAGGAGCGAGAGCCCCTCTCAAGCCCCAGCACTACCGTTCCCACTGTTCCCGGTTTTCCAACCGGGACCCCCTCACATTACCCAGCCCCAGGTACTCACACCCCCTTTTGCCCCTACAGTCTCCCTAGGTTCCCTCTCCGGTGGAAGCAGCGAGCTCTTCTTCCCCTTCTCCTCCTAACTTCGCCCACTCATCCCCGAGAAGGTCCCCTCCGCCTCTGCTCCTCCTTCCTGCTCCTGCTCCCTCCGCAGTGGTGCCCCCCCCCCCTGCTGATTTCCCCTGGCGTCCGGAGATGCCCCAGCTCCAGCGACGCCGTCCTGCCTTCCCCGCTCTCTCCCCACGTGACCCTCCGCACACCCACGCACTCTGGTCCCCGGGCTGCCCGCAGCACCCTGCGCTCCGCAGAAGCGCCCCAGCTGCACGCCACCCGCCCCTCCAACTGCACCCCAGCCAGGTACCTGCAGCCGCGGAGCCAGCGGAACTGGAAGAGGCGGCCTTGCGCTTCTCCGGCCGCGAGCGCGCAGATAAGGGGAGAGGCTGGTGGCGGCCCCACCCCAAGCCAGGGGGAGGGCCAGGCAGCTGCTGGCTGCGAGCTAGGCAGCTCCAAGACTCCCGACCGGGCCTCCGCTGGCGGAGACCTAGGCGAGCGCCAGCTTCTCCCCGACCACGTCCACTTGTTGCACACGGATGCAAGAAGGGCAATACACACCGACGGCGGAGACCTGGGAGCTTCTGCGGTTACTGTGCAGATTGGGAAACAGAGGCCCGAGAGCCGAAGTTGTTGCCCGAGTGCCAGGGCTTGGTGGCGGTGGCACTGCGGAGGCTCCCTCCAACTGAGCGGTTCCCACTTCCGGGAAACTCGAACCACTGGCTCTTGAGTCTGGGCCTTGATGATTTTACTCCGAGGGAGCAGTTGTAACAGGATGGGACAAGTTTCCCAGATGGAGCCCGAGCGAGCCCCGCAGCCACTTAAACCCACACACCCCACCCCTCCCTAAGCTACTTCTGCTTGAGATAATGCCTGGCCTTCCCCATCTTCATCTCTGCCTGGGGAGCACCATCGAGCCTCTGCACCCCTATCTTGTTCAAGTTCCCACCTAAAGCCCTCTCCTTGGGTAGCGACCCCTGATCTGCGCAGGCCCAGGCACGTTGTTCGGCCCCGTATTAGTCCATCTAGGGGAGACAGTCCATCTCCCCCAGGAGCCAGAGCATCTAAAGAGTGAGGGATGCCTGCACATAGTAGGCCCTCAGTAAATACTGGACTAAGAACGGCAGCAGTTGTCCACTCCCCAGGTGTGCAAAGACCTGGACCAGGCAGCGTGGGAGACAGCCCACGGTACCTTGGGAGCGCACGGTGTGATGGATGGAGGGCAAAGAGGAGACGGTCCCGAGAACCGCTGCTCTGCCCTCGGGGAGCGCGGAGTCCACTGGGAAAGAGAGCTGTGGGGCTCGGTGACAGGACCCAAGTCCTGGTCCTACCCCTGACTCGCCATGTGACCTTGGGCAAGTCTCCGCGTTCTCTCTGGGCTCCAGTTTTATCGAGGTAAAATGGAATGCCAACCCGACAGGGCTGTGAGGAGGAGTAAAAAGGATGGATGTGAAGGTTCTTTGTCAGTTAAGATGTACCCAAGGAAGGTATATTTCTTTACTAAAATAAAATGCGTATTAACATAATATGATAGGAAACCGGTCTCTACTTCGACAGGTTCAAACAAACCCATAGAAATTAGTTAAATCTCCATTACCCATGGGGATGGGAAAAGTGACATAGAAATCTGATCACTGAGAAAAGGTAAGGTATAGGAAATGAAAACAAGCAAGGACACTATGGAGAGTGTATTCTATAAGATGAAATGCATTTTATCATAGTGAATAAATTTTTAAAACTTGGAAGGTGACGGGTTCAGCTTCCATTTTTGGAACTCCCACCCTCTACTGGGCTTACTTTTAAAGCTAGAGTTAATTATGCTCTTCATGTGTGCAGCAACATGCCCTAAGCAGTTGCCATGACTACCTCCTTTAATCCAACAACCCTATTAACCCATTGTACAAATTGGGAAACTGAGGCTCAGAAAGGGGACCTGGGACTGTTATATGATCTCATTAACTTCGTGCATGAGGGGAGTGTGCTGACCCCCATTTTAGGGGTACAAAAACTGAGGCCCAGAGAGGAGAAATGATGTATTCCAGGTCACACATCCCCTGACGTATTCAGGCTCTGAGAAGTGGACCTGAAGTTGTGCTTGGGGAGAAAAGTCAATTAACCATTAAACTTAGCTGTGGGTATTTGAGAGCTGAATGTTAAAAATCACAGAAGTAAGACAGTGACCAGTCCCAGCCCAGTATACAGCCCCTCACGTGCACTGTAGGCCCGTTGGTGGGGGCGGGGGGCAGGTTCTGTCATTATCTCAGTTTGGAAACAGGCTTGGGAGGATGCTATTGCCCAAGGCCGCACACTCGGCTAGTGGCAGGCCTGGACCCGAGTCCAGTCCCTATCTGCTACACAGTGCTGCTATCAAGGAGTGAAACTGCGGGGCCAGGACGCTTTCTGCCCTGCCCTGCTCTGCTGCAACTCCTTTAGCACAGCCAAGGGCACCTCCCGTCCTACCCTCCTCCTCCTCCCCCAGCGTAGGCACCACGTCCCCCCCCCCACCGTGAGGAACAGTGACTCTACTGCTCTAGAAACCCTGAGCCCCATAATCCTTTAGCCGGGGAGGGGAACCT